TAGCAATTTTAGATATTTTAATCTAAACTTAAGATTATATGTAAGTTTAGATTTAAGATTAGATTTAAGATTAGAATAAAAATTATAATAATTGTAAGTATTAAAGAATTATTGAAAATGATACAATGAAAAATATTAAATTTAGAGTTAGAAAATGAAAGAACTTTTGAACTTAGTTATGATTATTTATATTTTAATTATGAATAAACTATTTCGGGGTGAGAAAAATAAATAAAATCTTCTATTATTCTTACATAAACAAGGAAAAACATGAAAAATAGTCAGAAATTAGGTGGCATTAATAAATTGTAACAAAATTGTAACCATGAAGACTTAGTCTTATAGGAATAAATAAGCCAAGAGATAAAAGATGAGATAATTTAAATCTTAAGAAAGAGTGAAGAGAATATATCTGTGTAGGATTCTATTATTGCACTGAAATCTGAGAGTTTTATTGAAAGTCATAAAGCAATAATTAAACTAAGAAGAACTTTATCTGTAAAAATGTTTTAATAATTAAAAAGAATTTTGAGTAGGCAGAATTAGTAGCTTAGGAAAATGAACTTATTCCACTATTATTTCATGTTATAGAATACGGAAGTACAAATTTAATAAAAATAGAAGCTGCATGTTGTTTAAATATTATATATTATTTTATAGAAATCATATCAATTTTAGCTGGCGGAAGAAGTGAAATAACAAGAATCATAATGGAAAATGGAATTCTTTAATTGTCATTATCTGCATTGGATAGTAATTAGAGTGAATTGGTTATGCTAATAATAACAATTTTAGGTAAATTGGCTGGTGAAACTGTTAAATATAGAGATTTAATTTTATAAGTGTGTAGTATGGAAAAAATAATAAGTAAAATGGAATGTAAATACAAATCAACTTATATCTGGTGTTTGGCTAATTTATCTATAGGTAGACCAAGTCCTAAATTTGATAAAATAAAACCAGCATTTGAAATATTTGCAAATGTAATTTTAGAAGAATTTAATCAATAAAATTTAAAAATGATAAATGATGCTATTTGGGCATTAGGATATATGATTGATGGTGAACCAAATAGAATAGCTGCTTTAATAGAGAGTGGAGTTGTACCTTAATTAATAAATTTATTACCAATGGGCAATTTTGTATCAATTCTTAGAATATTTGAATGTATTTTTTATGGAACAGAAGATTAAATTAAATATTTGTTAGAATGTGGATTTATTGCTCATATTAGAATGATAGTAGATCCTAAAAGTAGAGAAAAGAGTGGAGATATGATTTAAACCTTTGCAGCTACAGAAACTCTGTTTAAGGTTTTATCGAATTAAAACTTTTTGATCTCTCTTTTTAGATCATTAAGTTATGATAATTCAAATTTAAGAGGAGATGCTTTAGAAGTAATTGGAAATGCTATTCAACATGGGACTAATGAAGATGTTAATTAACTTGTTAAAAATGGACTTATTTAATATATATTAAAAATGTTTGAAATTGCAAATGAAAAAGAAATAGCACCCAATCATTTAAAAAAAGGACTCGAAATACTTATTAAAATTCTTAGAAAAGGAGAAATTAAACTTAAAGATAATAAGTCTAATTAATTTTTTATTTTATTTATGTAATTAGATGGAGTTAATATTATTCAAAAACTATTATCCTATAAATAGGATGAAGTTGCGAAATATGCTTTAATTTTTAAATAAGAATTCGCCATATGAATATATTAAATAATATAAAATTTAATTTGCAATATTTACTAATTTATGATCATTTTCATTTATTTTCTCATCCCTACTATAAGCAAAGCAATTTAAACCTATTTTGTTTAGTTTGGTGAAGTTAAAACCTTATTTGAAGTTGTAGATGCATTAGAGGCTTAACTTATTCAGATTGAGTATTGATTAAATTTAATCTAGTGATAATAATAAAATAATCACTAACTCATAGTTCTGCATTCTTTCAAAACGAACTTTATTCACAGAAGGCTAAACATTTTAATTAACAAATTATGAATTTGATCCTATATCTGAAGATTCTGATCTCTTGATTGATATAGTTATTTACGGAAATAGTGATATATATGGGTTAACCATTAACAATGGTTTATTTCATGCAAATCTAAATACAAAAATCACAAATCTATATCATCTAAATTTTACTGATGATCAGAATTAATTACCTCAACTTATTATTTCTTCTAAACATCTTTTTTTTGTATCTGCTAATTATGCTTATTATCTAGATTTTTTAAATCTACAAAATAAAGGACCTGTTTTGAATTGGCAAAGTAAAAAAACACTATACTATTCTGAAATAATGGATAACTATTTATTTTCTGTTTTAGGAATAGATGGTTTAGAAATTTATTTTATTGATTAAGATTATTAATCTTATCTTTTAGATCATTAATCCATTGGTTTATTGACAATTGATTTTAGAGATTTTTCTATTGTTAAAATTAAAGATAACAATTATTTTCTATACATTTTATGTAAGATTAATGGTGTTATTATTATTGAATTAATAATTTCAGATACTAAAATTTTAAGCAAATTACTACTGAAAAATATTGGTTCTAAAACTGATGGAATTGCTCTTACAATTAATTTTAATGAAGCTCTTTTTGTTGCTTATAAAACAAAAAATTAATATTATGTAATCCAATTTAATATTGAAATTGTGAGTAGAAAATGGGGTTCTGTAGCGAGATTCAATATTTCTAATAAAATTATTGATATTGATGTTAATAATTAGTTTATTCTTGTTTAAGGAACACACACTCATTTTATTATTTATTATTTGGATAAATAAAATGCAATTCCTTTTCAATTGACTTCAGTTAAACAATTTGTTTTAGCTGATAATAATATTTATGGAACAACTTCTAAATATTTATTTCAATTTCAACCCAAAATATAACCCTTTTAGATTAAGTGCTTTATTGATTGTATTTTTATTTAATAGAAATTTTAGCTGATTCAAATCAAATTGAGTAAAAGTATAAGCTTATGTATAGAAACAATTAAGGTTGGTAACAAAAAGAATTTAAAGTTAATTTTAATCATTCATCTTTGATTGTTTAAAAAAGCTTTCTACTTTTTGTTTTTTTACTATTTTTTATACAAATCCTTTTGTGTGTTGCTTATCGTTTATATAAAAATTAAAGAGAAATATTAACATAAAGCTAAATATTAGAATCAAAGATTAGATAATTACCTTAAAATAGAGCTTCTAAATTATTAATGCCTCATACTTTTAGAGCTACATAGCCAAATTTAGAAACCAGAATTAATACTAATGATTTTACAGATGACAATACGATTTTATAGAAGGACAAGAAAATTTTTTGATATATATATTTTAATTAAATCAATTAATTAGTTAGTATGGAATGTGTTTTTTAAATTGTATTTGTAAATCCATATCTAATTCGTTAAATAACAATAAAGCTTTAGTTTTTTGAATAAAAATATTCATACCATAAAAATTGAGAAATAAAAGGTTAAGATTTCTTTCTTAATTTTATTTAAATTTTATCTACATTAAAATGCAGTCTTCCAAATCTTGAAATAATATGGATATGCGTTTTTTAGAGATTGAATCAAAAATTTAAAAGATTTAAACTAAAAATATTATCAATTAGGAAGAATAAGTATAAAATGTAAATTTAACATTTTTTGGAAGTATTTTAATAGGTTTCATACTATACTTATACAAATTATTCAATTTTTTGAACATTTTTGTTATTTCCACTTCTTTCAAATGCATCTTATTAATTAACAAAATAGATAATAAACCTTAATTAAACAACCTTTAATATATTGTTTTTTATTTTTATGATTTAATATGTTAAAAAATTAAAAGTCTGATTTTTGATTGCATAATTTATTCATTTAAATCAATTTTTGGTTGTTCTAAAATTACAATAATATTTAGATTCTTTATGCCAATGCAAACAATTCTTAAAGAAAATGAATGATGTTTATATTAGACTTTGATTGAATTTTGAATAGTTTAAGCTTATTCTAGAATGAATTCAAATAAATTAGATTTGTTGTATTAATATAGATGAAGAATTTATCTACTATTGCATCCTTCACATAAATTTTCATCATAACCAGGGAAATCACATAATTAATTTGAAGAAACTAAATCAATTTTCATATATTCTTTATTGTATTGAACTCTAAAATGAGGTTTTTTAATTAGAATAGATAAAGAATGATCCCATAAATCTTCAGAAATACTTGCTAAAAATTCTTTCCTTGAGTTTTAATCATTGATATAAAGGGTGATAAGAATAAATGATGTTGATGCAATACCTATTAAAACAGTCTGTAAATCAACATTTTCTATCTTGAATGATGTAATGATCATTTTTATAAGTAGTAAAGCTATAACTTATATAACCCCATCTCTAAAATCAGAAATAAAGTATGCAACAGCTTATAATTAAGTAAATGATGAACTTTAAGCATAGTATATTTAGGCTGGAGTTTATTCATTGAAATTAAACTGCAACAAACCAGTGGCTATATTTGATATTATCAATAAATATTTTATTAAATCTGGTCTTCTGTATACAATAATGGCTTAGAATACCATGAATATTAGATAAGAATAATTGATGTAGATTTTTAATTGTTAAGTTTATTCAGTAAACAAGGTTATAAGTGCATTTGAACTTATCATGCAAAAACATAGTAATAATAATCCCAAATATATAGGTTTTCTAATTTTAGTCAGTTTAACTTTTTAATATTATTCTTCTAATATTTGATCATCAAATATTAAAGTAAATTTATTCATTCTTAAAAAATAAAATATTTATTTAGAAGTTATCTACTAAATTTTAGATTTTATATGAACTATTTAGAACATTCATTTTAAAATTCTGTACTTTTAGTAAAAATAAAATAAATCTATATATTTTGAAAATAGATATAATAAATTAATAATAATTCATAATATGGAATCTATGTATTTTTATTAAGGTAGTAGAGGATTTTGAACAAACCAAAACATGATTAAATTTCTTCTTTTTCTTTCTTTATAAAATTTGATCTTTCTTTAGGTGATTTTGAACATTCTAAATAATAAAAAGAATAAAGAACTACTCTATGATATAATAAGCTGAATATAATAATAATCCTGAAGCAGATTTTTTAATTAATAAGGGAGCATGAAGTTCTTAATAAGTTCTTATTAATAAAACTGGACTAAGGATACCTCTAAATATTAAGAATAGTAAGAAATAAAGTAGTTCAATTGATTCATAGATTTTTGTTTATCTTAATCCAAAACAACCTAGAATGTACCTAAGATGCATTGGTAAATTAGATATTTCTGATATAAACATACCAACTATAAAGTTAATGTGTAAAGTTATTACATATAATAATATGTCCATATTTTTAATTGAGAATGCTTTCTCCAACTGCCATTAAACTAATGATATGATGAAATATCAACCAATAGTCATACAAATCAAAATAAGTACAGATTATGACGTCGTATGCAAAATAACCTGCACTAACTATCATAATGAATTGCATCTCTATAGAATTCATTTCCTATAATTAGTAAGGAGTCTGTTGAAGTATAATAATTAATGATCCCCAAAAAAGTAAATTGTCCATGCAATATTGATACAATTCGATTAGAAGCATCTACTTGTTTTTTAGAACTAAGGTTATTCAATTTGATTCTGTCATAACAAAGTATTAATAAAGCTTTCCACACTATAAAACAATAACTGAACATTCTTAACTAATCGTTTGATTCATTTACTAAATCCCATAAATACATTATTAAATGAATATTAAAGTTAAGTTTCCTAATGGACATTTTTTAGAGTTCTAATGTCCTGATCATTGGACTACTGAATAAGTATTATTCAACTATATCATAGATTCGCTGTTTCACTGCTAAAAACTAGTCTTTTTATGATCCAGATGCTATTAAATTATATCATGGTGGTGTGGAATTAATTGGAAATGAAAAGTTATATGAAATTGCAAAAAAATATGAACAAATTGTATTCTTAATAGGAACAACTACTAAAAAATTACCTTTATAAACAAACAAGTAATTGATCTATCTAGAATACACTAAAAATATACAAAGACTTCACAATATCAATTAAAATACTTCAACTAATTTCTAACCTATCATGAGTTATATGCCAATCATGGGAATTAAGTTTTCACAAAAGAATGAAGAAAAAATTCAAAAAACTCAATAATAAAGGAGATAAGGTATATATTCAATTTTAGAAATTAGATGATAGAGATACACCCATGTAACAAGAGATCTTTTTCCATTTCAAAATGATTTGTTACATTGGAGCATTTTATACTTTGTTTAGTTCTTATTTTAAAGGCTAGAATTATTATTATCTATTAGTTATTATTGGAATATTCTATTGGATCAAATATCAAGAATTTAAGGCACAATTAAGACAATAATAATAATTATTATAAAGACAACAATAACAATAACAAGAATAATAAAGAGATATAAATTAAGAATAATAATAATAATAATAATAATAGTAATAATAATAATAATAATAATAGTAATAGTAATAGTAATAGTAATAGTAATAGTAATAGTAATAGTAATAGTAATAGTAATAGTAATAGTAATAATAATAGTAATAATAATAATAATAGTAATAATAATAGTAATAATAGTAATAAGATTATGCACAGAATAAACGGTAAGATTAAATGATAAATAAACATAATCCTAATAACAGTTCTAAATCAAATGATTTGAATTTTGAATAAAAAGTAGAATAATAAGAAATACTTGATGAACTTGATTCATTCAAGGATTAAGATAATGAATTAGATTTTTAAATCAATAATAAAGAACATTTATAAGATTTTTTAATTAGACAGGCTAAAATATTATAAGAATAAGAATTGTAGAGAGATTAATAATTAAATAAAATAGAAATAAATGAAGTTAGACAAGAATACAAAGAATAAGATAATTAAGGGCAAATCAAGATATAAAAATAATAAGAAAATTATTAGTAAGAAACTCAAGAATAAATAAAAGGAGAAGAAGAAGAAGAATTACTTTTTGATGAAAAATAATTTCATGAAAACATTGAGGAATTAAGTAGTAAAGGAGTTAATTAACCAGATAATGAAAATATTTAAACCTAAAAAATTTAAAAAGAAAAAGATGAAAATTAGATAGAAGAATAAAAAGTAAATGAAAATACTGAGGAAAATATTTAAGAGATTGAATATGAAAAATAATAAAAGGATGAATAAGATGAAGAACCTGAGTTAGAAGAAGAAGTTCGAAAACTTAAATAATAATAATAATGTAATACTTTTAAAAATAATTAATTAGAAAAGAAAAGAACTTTTAGTTCATTTTTTAAAGCAGTTTTTGAATTAATTTACTGTTATATAATGTCTTTATTTCCATTTTGGCATGTAGGATTATATCAATAAGAATGAATTCATTTAATATAAATTATTATATAAATTAATTGATGCTCTTAAAATTAGATTTTTATATGAGAGAATTATTTAGACAAGAAATAATTAAGAATTCTTTTTCAGAGGAAGAGATTTTTATTTTAGTAGTAGATTAAATAATCCCTTAAATTTTTAAATTTCTATAATAAAAAAATTTAGCAAATTTAAGAGTGTTTCACTAAGTCATATTTAAATTGATAAATGATAATTTGTAAAATAAAATTTGCTTAAATAAATATTTAATAATTTAAAATTATCGTTATAATCTATTAAACTAGGTTTATACATATGCTACTAAGTATTAACAAATTTATGTTTACTGCAATAAAGATTATTAATCATTTTATTCTTTTTAAGATTATTGAAAATATTTTAAGATTAAGTATTGAAAAGAGTTATTGTATGAGTGTAATTCTAAATTTGTAAGTAACAGGAGTATATTTCAAATAATTGTTAGATTTAAGGTTTTACAAATGTATAAATATAAATAAAGTTGGTTTAATAAAATAATTACTAGATTTTATTTTAAGATATTTATTAACTTAAAATATTAAAGACAAACTTAAAATAGTAAAATTTTAAATTAAAATTGGATAAAATTTTATAAGATTTTGATGATAAAATAATTCAAGAGTTATTTGGGATGATAATCTAAATATTATGAATAATAAATATATTGTTGTGAATATTAAAATGAAATAACTCAGTATATCATGATGAATCTCTAAATGAAGATTGTTTGACATGTATTGTAGGCTTAAAAGCTTCAACTTTAGTGTCTTAATGATTATTTGGATAATTAGTTCTATTTTATGATTAACTTAGTTAGATAATCAAAGAAGAATTGTTAACTAGACCATCATGTACAATCAAATCATCCATACATTATTATCTTATTTCTTTATTTTGAAACCAGATATGTTTTAAAGCTTCTTCTGCATTTAGTCTTTTTTTTGGATCAATTTATAATAATCTACTTAAGAGATCTTTACTAATTTTATCTAGAGCAGGATGATCTTAGAATTAAGCTTTGCAAATTAATTCAATAGTTCCATGTGCAGTTTCATCTTAGAATGGTAACTATTTAGTTAATAATTAATAGAGAATAACCTATGATCATAAATTAATTATAATACTCCAACAGCCCACATATCTACTTTATAAGTATAGCTAACTTTTGTATAGATTTCAGGTGCACAGTAAAATTATGTACCGGTAGGTGTCCACATATCAATATATTATTATTTGATATAGAATCTTTTGCTTACTCCGAAATCTAAGATTTTTACATTTAAACCATCAAATAGAATGTTATCAGGTTTTATATCTCTATGACAAACCTTTTATTTGTGCATATAAAGTATTCCATTCAATAATTCACTATTTTAATTATAATTTATAATATACCGCATAACTGTCTTTATCTATATGAGATTCAACTTTTTTATCTAACTTTCTAAATTTGGATATTGACACAATTCCATAATTTAGTAGGAATATCCATTTTATTAATTTATATATAATTCTTTGACTTTAATTAAATTTGGGTGTTGTAGCATAGATCCAATTTAGTAAGTTTTTCTTATTGATGCAATTATTTCAGGGTCACTTGATCTAAATATTTTTACAGCGAATTCTTGATTATCACATTTTCTAATAGCCTTATGAACAATTGCATGAGCACCTTCCCCCAATTTATCACCCAATTCATAATTATCTGAAAAATCAGCAGCTATTTTTGATTGTTATTAAGATGGTGTGTCTATCTATACTATTAGATATATCAAGTTTATAAATTACAATCACTATTTGAATGTCTCAATTTTTATTGGTCTTTAATCACTACTATCTTTTTCTTTAATTAAGTTCTTATCTTATCCTTATAAGATGAAACTTTTTATTGCAATTTCTCATTTGGACTTTATAACATTTTTTAATTATAAATTAAATTAAAATAAATAAGTCACAATTTAGCTTTTTATTTCTTTTTTAATTATTATATATAATAAGATTCTTTAGCCATAATAAAAATCTATTGAGCATTCTTATTTCCAGTTTCAAGTACCATTTCTGAGAATTTAGTTTTCTTATTAATACTTTCAGCATTTTAATCATTGCTTAATAATTCAAAAGGATTTCCTTATTCTACAATTTCTCCATTCTCTAATACTATTACTTTATCATAATGTGCAATAGTATTAAGACGATGAGCAATTGTAATTATTGTACAATCCATAAATTTAGATCTTATAATTTCTTAAATAGCCTAATCAGTCAAAATATCTATATTTGCAGATGCTTCATCTAGAATTAGAATTTTTCTTCTCATTAAAATTACTCTTGCAAGACATAATTACTATTTTTGACCAGCCGATAAATTTAGATCCATAATATCACAATTCAATAATTGTTTTTATTATTCAATCAAATTATCCATGTTAACTTCTGATAAGGCTTTCCAAATATCAGAATCTGTATATAAATTTTAGGGATCTAAATTCTATTTTATAGATCCATAAAATAATAATGGCTATTATGGTATTATTGCCAAAGCTTTTCTTAATTAATTTAAAGATAGTTCTCTAACATCGCAACCATCAATAAATATTTAACTTTAAGAATCTATTTCAACTAATCTAAATAATGCAGCAATCAAAGATGATTTACCAGCTCCTGTTCTTCCAACAAATGCTATCTTTTCTTCAGGTTTTATTTCCATCTCAATATTTTTTAAAACTGGTTTTTAATTCATATCATATTACATTGATAAATTTTTAAGAACTATACTTCCCTACTTAGGCCATGCTTTTGGTAATATTTTATTTATATTCTCTTTATCTTTCTCTTAATCAATCTCTAATATATCTAATAATCTTTCATATGAGTTGAATAATCCACTCAATTCCATTAATTATCTAAGTAGTGTATTCTAAGAATGAAATGATTATAATAATAATAATGCTTATGAAAATAATGAATTATCTCCTATAAATGCAATTATTAGATATGTTCCTGATGTTTTTGTAAATAAACCTATCAAATCTATATATTATGAAAAACACTTTTAAGTTTAATGATATATATAATTTGATTAAAAACTATTATTTGCTAACATAAAAAATTTCTATTTTAATTAATTAAATTAATTCTATAAACGATAATGTGTCAAACCTTATAAATATATCTTAAATTACGATAATTAAGGAGCTCTCTAAACCAAATCATTGATTTTTAATTAAGATAAAATTTGAACAACAGTTTTGAATAAAATATAACTCAAAAACAATGTAAGTAATATAGGTAAGAAAAAGAATGGTTAAAGAAATCCAATCATTAAAAGTGATATAATAAATTAGCATCCATCTTCAAAAATATCAATTAAAACTATAGGCATTTAATTATCAAGGATAGATAAATCTGTAGAGTATTTATTAATTATAATACCACTTGGTAATTTATCAAAATATGCTTTTTTACCATTAGCTAGAGCTAATGTTGTTTTTGAAAATATTAAATTATTCATATCTAAAATTACATAACTACAAATTGAATATTTGAGTACATTGTTGATCAAATTACTTATTACCAATAATAATATTATAAAAGTATATTTTCTAATACTTTCATCATCTTCATTTAGAGTAAGTAATCTATAAAATATATTTCTAATAATTTCAGTTAATAAATTTAATATTAATATTAATAACAATTTTGATTTAGTAACATAAAATATCAACTATTTAGCAGTTTTTATAACTTTTTCATTTGGAGTTAGAAGATTTGTTTGATGATAAGATAAATTATCTTTATTTAATTTCTTTTTTCCATCAAAATTTTATTATTATTTATTTTTTTAATTCTAATTATTTTCTAGAATTTCTACAGGTTAAATATTTAATATCTTCTCTATTTATAAACCAACATCACTTGCTTTTCCTTAACAAATAATTTAACCTTCTTCTAAAACAACAATATAATCACATTTTAATGCATAAGATAATTAGTGAGTTGTCATTATAACTAATGGATTTGGTTAATTGTTATTTTTAGTAGGTTAATATTAAAAAATAAATTATTAGATTGCTTAAGAGAAAAGATGTTTAGCAACTTTAGAATCCACTGCTGAAAGTGGATCATCAAATAAATAAACACTTGGCATTGCATATAAAGCCCTTGCTAAACTTAATCTTGCTTTTTAACCACCTGATAAAGTTGCTCCATTCTCACCTATTTCTGTATTCTCTAAATCTGGGAGATCTATCAAATCTGATATAAAATTAGATGCTTTCAAGACCTCAAATATTTATTTTATTATACCTCATTAAATAATTCTTAATTATATTCTCTCCCAAACAAAATATTCTCTTTTATCGTACTAGGATTTATAAATGGCTCTTATTCTACATAACCAAATGTCAAGTTTTCTGCTATTTCCAATTAACCTTAAATATAAGGAATTTCTTTTAAAATTAATTATAAAAAAGTAGTTTTACCTGATCCAGTTTTACCTATAACACTAATTAATTATCCTCTATTTGCAATAAAATTTATATTTTTTAACAATGGTTATTTTTACATATCCCAATAACAATAAACTGATCGAATTTAAATCACTTCTTCTTATAATATTTAAAAACTTGGTTTTGTTTATTAATTAGTTTTTTCTGTTAATTTAATTAAAGAAAATTAACTCAACTCTTTATTACTTGAAAGTTCTAAAAAACTTTATGGATTAGCATTTGGATGATCATTTTAAAATTCAAGAATCTAAGCAAAAAGTGGTTCAATTTAAGTGAAATTTTTAATTCTCTTAAAAATAACATTTAAATTAATAATAGCTTTTAAACCATATGATACTTAATGTACACAATAGTATCTAATTGATGCCATTAATTATATTGTTAAAATAATCTTCTATAGATTTAGAGGAATACCTAAATTATAAATGATTATCAAAAATAAAAAGGAACCCCAAATATTTATTGATTAATTTATAGATCTATCTATTAAAGTCAAAATCTAAATTAAAATATATTATTTCCATTCTTGATGTCTAGTTTTTAATATTAATTATCTAACAGTTTCTTACCAACAATACATTTTTATAGTTTATAAATTATCTAAAAAATTAGTTTATTATTTTAATCTTAAGTCTTAGTATTCTTTTAATTTTTTTATCTTTGCTTAAATGCATTTTTAAATTATTGTTTGAGTTGGATAAGTAATAACACAGATCAACACAGCCATCAAACCATATGGTCCTTAAAATTAAAGCTAAAATCTCCAAAAATAAACTTTACCCACAAAATCCAGCCAGAACATAATAATGAAATTGGAACTATTGGTATACAATAAATATATCCATATTACCATTCTAAAGTTGATAAATCACTACAAATAATATTTAAAATGGAACCAGAATTTGATTTCTAAATTGAACAACTTGATAAAGTTGATATTTTCTCAATCAAAATATACATTAAAATTTATCTAAGTTTTCCTCCAAATTTACTAAGTTAAATGCTATTATTTATAATGAAATATTTTACTATTAATAATGTCTTCCAATTATTGTAACAATTGATAAAAATGTTAAATACAATGCATCCAATTGAGCCTATTCTTTATCACCATTTTAAAAGTTTTCTATTATATTATACAGCAAAAGCGAAATAATAAAATTTGAGTTTGATTCTATCATTCCTAAAATCAACATTATGATAGTAAAACAAGAATTAAATTTCCAAAAAAATAAATTGTAAAAGCTAAAATCTTATTTGAGCTTTAATTTTTATCTAATCTAATTTACATAATCTCCACTATATGATTCAATTTTATCCTATTGAGATAATTCTGGCAAATCCTTTATATTGACTGTTTTGTGAAATTTTATTATGTTTTAATAAATAGTTATTATTGCCTTAATTGTGCTTATAAAAAATAACTCTTTTATTAGAATACATCCTTCTTTATTTAGAGACTTTTTAATGATATTGTCTTATTTTTTATGTTTAAGTAGATCAGTTTATAATAATTTTATTGACTATGGGATTGGAATTTAGTAAATATCGGATTTTTGTGTATTTTCGTTCTACAAACTAACAACTCTTCTATGATAGACTTAAATTTCATTTTCACCTTGGAATGAACATTATGAATTCATTCGAAAATCTTTAATTTTTTATTTTTCTCTTTTTAAATGTTCAACATTCTTTAAAATTCTTATTACTAAAGAGTCTTTCTTTGGAAATTGCTAAATTAATTAATTCATCTTATTACCTCTTTGTTAGAATCGGCTGGATTTTTTTATTTTTCTTGGACTTATTTAGAATGAAGACATGAAATTTCTCCATTATCAGGAGACATAATATTAATCTCATTAATCAAGGAATCTAATTTATTATTGTGCAGCTATTCTTCTTTAATTTATTTATGAGCTCTAGAAAATTATTTCGAATTCATTTAATTATTAATACCTTTGAAACGATTCCAGTATAAAATGTAGGTTTATTACTAGTATCTTTTAAAATTTTAGTTTCCTTTGTACTTTTAAATAGATATCACATTAGTATTTTCTAGTTTTCAATTAAATAATTAAACATAATTAGATCACTTTAATTAAACTGTTATTGAAATATAAAAATACTTTTATTATTCTGATAAACTTTTTGCATAACTTTACAACACTTTCTATGTTCTATAATTACATCTATAATATTAAAAATTAATTTGGCTTTAATAATCAATAATTTAATTGGTTTAAATTTACATTTTGCAACAAATTGATATGCATTATTGAATTCTAGAATTTTTATAAGAATTTCATTGTTTTGATCAAAAATTAAATAGAAAAAATAATTCATTAGTCTAAATATCTTAAATTTTTGAAGTGTGATTAAGCTACAAAAATTATATATTAATAAAATTTATTACATTTATGGGGGTTTGCACTAGTCACTCCTAAAAATAAAGGAAAATAAAGGAAGAAGAAAAAAACGATACAATCTAATAAAACAAGAATTCTAATAATGAGACACTTAAGGCAAATTTCGATAATGCTAATAAACTCTCAAAATCTCCATCAAGTTAATTTTCACATTAAACTAATTAAAAGTAAAAAATTGATATGGGTATGATACTGAAAATTGGAAGAAGAAAGAGAGGAAGTGTGTAAACAGAAAAAAAATCATAATATAGTTAAGAAAAGAGTGAATATTCTAATAAAATTAGATAAAACAAGAAAACCTTTAAGGTGAATATAGCTTTAAAATAAGTCCCACTTTAACAATGTTATGAAATATTGAGTTATAGAGAAAATAATTGTTATTTAAGACATTTAATAACTAAAAAATTAAGAATAGGAACATTATACGAAAACAATTCATAATCAAAAGAACTTGTTTAATAAATTTTGGAATTGCAATTGGTAAATTTTAACATTATTGAAGTTCCATCCAAGATTATAGAATATCATTGAAATACTAGAGTTCGACAATTAAATTTTAATTGTTAAAGAACATTTCGAACATATTGATTTAATATAAAGCCAAAGTGATAATTAAACTGAAATTTTAAAGCAAATCATAGAAGCTATTGAATATTTGCATCAAAAAAATATTATTCATGGGTATTTAAATATTAGGTCATTTTAAAAATGTGCATCAATAGATAAAATAAAACTTATCGATTTAGAAAAAGTTTTATTGAAGCCTAAACATAAAGTGGATGAAATACAATATTTTTCACCAGAAGCATGTAATAAAGGAAATATTTATACAAAATAAAGAGATTGTTGGGCTATTGGAATTATAGGTTTAGAATTATTTACAAAATAACATCTTTTTCATGGCGATAGTATTGAATAAATTTAGGAAGACATTTGTTCTAATAATGAGATAATTATTAAAACTATTATGCACTAAATTGAAAATGTCCAATTTTCAGAACTATTACAATTATTACTGAATCCATAATAAAAAAGCAGAATATCATTATAAAAGGCTTCGGCACATATATGTTTTTAATCTAAATAAGTTATAAGTAAAAAAAGGTTATCTTAAATTATTAAGAAGGTTTTTGAATTAAAAAAGAAAACTTATGTATATTAATGTTTAGCTTTATTTATTATAAAAAATATTAATATTGAATTTAATGAAGATAGGGAAAATTAATTATTTTATGAAATGGATACATCCAATGATGGAAAAGTGAGTAAAAATGAATTAATGGAGTTTATGAAAAAAAATAAATATACAGAAGAAGAAATAGTTAATTTATTTATAGAAATAGAGAAATCTAATGATGGAATATGTTTTGATTATAATGAATACATTACTTCTCTCTTTGAAACTTCTACATGTTTAAATGAAGATTAGCTTTAAGAAGCCTTTTCCTAATTAACATATTCTAATTAAGGAATCACATTAGGAAAAATGATATCTCTTTTTCCTCATCGTGAAAATTAATTAAAATTAGAGTTTAATTAATTCTAAGATAAAATTGTAATAAAAATAATATTAATTTTAGATAACATTTCCTACTCTAAAATAAATCATGTGTAATTGATTGTTTATTATTTTATTATTTAGAAATTCTAAACAGATTTTATATATATATATCATTTATCTTCTACTAATTCAATCATAATTTTTGAGAATTCTTCAAAATTAATCTAAAATAAAGATAAAAAATATACCAATTAATTAGGAATAATTTCAAATCCTTGTTGTAGTTCTTCATCTTTATTTCTAAATAAGGGTTATAATTCATTAAATCCGAAAGGTTAACCATTATTAATTTGATTAAAAATACACTTTAAATTTTCATTGGTAATAATAGTTTTAGGATTTGAAAGGGCTATTAAAAATTCAGAAAATTCTATATCACCACTATGATTAAGATCTGAAGCATCAAATATTTCATTTACGAAATCTTAAATCTCTTAAGGTTTGTATTGTGTTTTAAAATATTATGTATAATGTTTAACTAATTCTGGTTTAGTGAGTCTTCCATTTTTATCAAGATCTAATCCCATAAATATTTCTTATATTTGAGTGTACTGATCATCAAATTATTTAATCATCATTAAAAGAAAACAAGATTGAAGAAAGTTTGTTTCTTTTTTCTTAGATAATTCATCTAAACATTATTTAAACTATGTTTTAGAAACTTTTTCATAACTTTTCATCCATTTAGATTCTAAGGCTTAAAAAAAATCAATTCTCTTTGATGGAGTAACCTATAAAAATTAAAGTATTAAATCTTTGATTATAGGATTACCAACTTAATTCTATAATTCTTTTTATATAAAACCTTCCTTTTTACAAAATTATTAAATATTATCTAAACATTCTTGTATTGATTTTGAATCAAATGGTATTTTACCAAAAGTAAGTGCCATAGTAATTATTCCAACAGCCCATTAATCTCTAAAAGCAGTATAATTTTATCTTTCATTACAACATTCAGGTGATAAAAACTATACATTATTTTCATTTATATCTGATTTGCAAAATAAACAACTAAAGTCAACAAGTTTTATTTTAAATTATCTCTTTCCTTAATTATGTTTTTCAAAGCTTCTCAAACTTAATTAACCATGATATAACCCAAATTTATGTAAATATCCCATCAATTCATAAATTTATCTACAACATTAAGCAGCAATATCTTCATCTAACTAGGAATTTCTTTCTGAAAGTAATGTTAAAAGTGATCCACCATTGCAATAATCAGTAACTATTGTATAATATTTATCTTCTTAAAAAATTCCATATATATCAAGCAAATTTGGATGATTCTAATATATTATTACTTATCAAAAATCTTTCAGCTATTCGAATTTTTCCAGTAACGATATGTTAAACAACAAACATATTATCTTTAAAATTTACACCTTCTAAATAACGAAGATTTTTTCGAACATAGTATTTTGAAATAGGATCATTTGTTATTGAAAGTGTTACTTTAAGACTTTCTTACTTTTTAACAGTCTTTTTTTTTTGATTAGGTAAATCTAAAATTTTAGATTCTGCAGTAATTCTTGAAACATTTGAGAGAATAATCCCATTTGCTTCACTTCCTTTTTCTTTATCTGGTTCTGTTTTTATCCTTTCATCTCTTAATTATTTTGATTTATTTTATCCTGAACCTGCACAAGCACCCATTTAATATTATTAATATTATATCAAAAAAAATCACATTATCTTTATTAATTTCTGATTTCATAAACATTAAATTAATCTAAATGAATAAATCACACTTATTGTGTAAATATATTTTTTATTTTTTAAATATTAGAATTCTCATCTCAAAATTTAATATTAACAGGATTTCAAAACAATTTATTAATTAGATGCTAAATATAATTGTTTTTATTTTATTCAATTACTCAACTTGGAATAAATTTATTAATTGTGTTTTAATTTATAAAACCATATTATTTTACATATATGCTTTGAATAATTATTTTTTTTAAGAATTAAAAAAACTCTAAATACATTTTTTTCTGATTCAATTTTTTTAAATTACAAAATGTTTAAATTTAGATGAGATTTTATACAGAATGGTTTCTAGAATTCATTAATTTTTTATATTTCTATTTGATTTGTTTCAAATTATAAACTTAAAGATTTAAAAAAATCCTTTATTAAGCTTAAAAATTTCTAAAAAAATTAGTTATCTAATATTGATTTTTTATATCTTTTTAAAATAAAACATATAATATTATATTTATTAGTATAACGACAAATTTATTTCCTTAAATATATATTCATTTTATATAATTGTAGATTAATAAAATTCCTAAATTTATGAATAGCTTTAAAAAAATTATTTAAATACTATTTCTTTATAAAAAAAAAATATAGATTTAATTTATTTTTTATTAAATTTTAGTTCCATATGTTCAAAAAAGTGAAAAATGTCTTGAAGCTTAAGAAAACAACAAAATAAAAGGGTTAAGATTTACTAGACATTGAATTAAAACGTAAAACAACAATTATATAATATGATCAAATGGTTAAAGATTAATTCAATTAAGATAGTACAATAGATACTTGTAAGAATAAAGAGTATGAGGATTATAAAGTATAAATAGAAGACTCTTTAATTGGAATAGCTTTAAAATTTGATATGAGTGTAGAACTATTAAAGAGAATAAATCATTTGAGCAGTGAATTTATTTGTTAAGGAATGGTTTTAAAAGTGTTTAAATTGAATGAAGAAAACTTTTAATAAGAAGATAATGATGAGTAGGATATTGAATAAGATATTTGGAATTATTAGATATAACAATATAGAAATATTCCAATGTATTATTGTATGGATGATTAAAATGTAAAAGGTTTAATGAGTGTAAGAGAGGATATGATACTATTTGATACAAATAATGTTCAATAATAATAAGGGAAGAGAGCCATTTATAATGCAAGCATTTCTATAAGGGATATTAATGAAGCTATTGTTCATGTTTTACCTAATTCAAATGGTTAAAAAGACTATTTGATATAAATATTATTAAATGGAATAGGTAGAGTAGAATTTGAAAAGAAGTTTAGAAAAAAGCTTGAGAAGTATAAAAAGTAAAAAAAGAGCATAGCTACAGTATTTTTTAGAGTATAATATAAATTGTAAAATTAAGTATCAAGAGAGAAATGAATAAGGTAAACTTTTTGCAGAAGAAGTTAAATTGGAAATGTGTAATGCTATAACTGATTTAATTAATCATTCAATTTAAAATGTTTAGCATCAAGAAAATTTAATTAATTTAACAAAGCTTCCTTATATAGATTTAATTGATGAAAGCAACCGCTATTAACATTTAATCTAAAAGGAAGAATTAGATAACGTTATTGGTAAAAGGATGGGAAGTAAATTAATTTAAATTATCATATAGGATTATGGGCAAGTATTTCTTATGTGCCGAAATATAAAGCTAATTCAAAATGTTTGAATGAGAGTCTTTATAAATAATTAATTGAACTGATGCCTGCTATTTATCGATTGTGTAATTGGAATATTAAATTTACAATTGATAAAGATGGTTCAAGTTATTAATAATTATTACTTTCATTACAAAATTAACATCCTTTCTTTTTTACTATTAAAGATAAGGATGGAAATGTTTTTGGAGCTTATGTTTCATCAGAATTATAAGTATCTAAACTTAAATTTCATGGAACAGGAGAAACATTTCTATTCTAAGTAAATATATTAATAATTAGATTTAAAGTAAGATGAGTTGCAAATGATTCCATATTATTGGAAAGAAACAAATAATGATTTTGTTTATTGTGATTCAGATGGATTTTGTGTTGGATGTGGTCCTTCTTTTGGTATCTTTATCGATCAAAAATTATACTTTGGTTATAATAATCCTTGTTCAACTTTTGATAATCCAAGATTCACATAAAATGAAAAATTCTTAATTTAACATTTTGAAGTATGGACTATAGAGTAATTATGATATTTATTATGATTTGACTAATTTAATGATAACAATTATTCTTTTATTTTATTAAATCTTTGTTTTAATATATTTATTTTATGTGTTCCTGATTATTAAAATAAAATTGATATTTTATCTGACTATTCCTAATATATAATTTGATTAAATTTTATTAACATATAATTTAGAAAACTATGAAATCAATTAATTTGTTATTAAACCTAGACTTAAATTAATAGGAATCATTCAAATTTATAATTAAATAAAAAAAACTTATTTTTTTTCATTATAATCCTATCTAAATATGACTTGTATTTATGTAAATTTATATTGTCTTCTTAACAATAATAATTATATTTAGTTATGCATTTGTAAATACCAAATAAAAAAACAAACTAGATTAGACCATCTATGTTTTTGAATAATTTAGATCTGAATACAGTTTTATTAAGTCCAAAATTGAATCCCTCTGATATTGAAAAGTCTCCTCTCATCAGTCAATTAAGATTAAAAAAGAAAAAAGATGTTCCAAAGCTACCTGTTATTAAAGAGAAATCTAATATATTTATCAGTAATAAATAATCACTAGAAAATACTCATTACAATGATTCAAATAACTAAACAACTTCTATGAAAGCTTCATTGTAAAAAGGGGAACAATTAAAATTACCAGAAATATAATATACTTCTCCGTAAAACGAAACAAAACATAAAAAAAATTTAACAGAGGGGAATTTAGATAAAAAGAGGGTTGAATTTAGAGCATCCATATTAGTGATAGATTTTATTAATTAAGTTATTAAGAAAGATAAAATTGATGGAAGTTCAAAGCCTCTAATTCGAAAAGGTTTCCATAGATAACCAACTAAATTTTTGCCAAAATTAGATTAAAAGAATGATTAAATTTGACATATAAGGAATTCATATGAGTTCAATTGAAAATAAATTAAATAAATATCCTTTAGCCATGCATGTTGTCCTATTATTTTTATATTAATAAAATTTTTAGATAATATTAATATTAATTGTTGTTAGGAATTCTTTATCATATCGAATAAATTGGATCGAAGTTTCCATTATTTTGCATATTTAATCTGTATAACCTTGATTTGAATTAAATCATTATGCTTATAAGATTTAAAAAATATTAAAATATCCACATAATTAAATATAATAATTATAAAATAATTGTTAGTCTCTTTTTATAGAGGAATAAGAGAATTGTTTTTTAAAACTTAAGTTCATTTTATAGAATAAATTACTAATAAGAATAAAAATTGGATTAATTATATTTTTAAAGGAGTGATAAAAAGTGATGTATTTTTTGTAGAGTATAATAAAAACTAGAAAAATCTTGAAATAATATAAAAATACATATTTTGATGATCTCTACAAAAGGGCAATATAAGTAAAAGTATGTTTTATACAATGTTTAATGTGCATTTGGCTTTACAATTCAAAGTTATAAGAACTTGTTTTCTGATTTGTTGTAGTTAACAAATGTAAATTTTGGTGATTTTTTAGTATGATGAATTAAGTAAATTTAGAGTTTAGTTAGTAGCACTAATGGTATATGGTATATGATATATGATAGATTAGATAGAATAAGAGAATCAATAATTGGTACTTCAAAATGTCTTATTATTGCAAATACTAAATTCATTTACTTTTTTATTTAAATTCTAATAATTATTTTTCCAAAATGTAAAAGATATACATTTTAAATTAGTTCTATTCATAATCTTTTTAGGATTTGTAAGTTCTTAATTTCTAATAGTACAATTTAGATTAGATCAATTAATCTCTTATTAATAAATCAAAAAGCAATTGTAAAACTACTAATGATATAATTATAAATACAATTATGATATCAATATAAAATATAAATATTAATTTAGAATGTAAAAACATTTATTAATGAATACTAGTCCACACATTGAGATGAAGCACATAACATAAACAACAAATAAAGGAGTTTATGTACTGTATTATGAATAAATAATTGAATCAACAGATCCAATTGTAAAAGCTCTCCAATTTTATTTTAAATCAAGAGAATTGGTTAAAGACATCAATTCTGTCAAATAAGTCATAATCTATTCTTTAAATGAAGATGATCCTTTTACTTATATAATACTATAATTAGCAACTACAGCTAGAGAAGATGGAGCAATTCTAGCAAGGAAAGCCTGTAATAAAATAGTTACATAAAAAAGTGAAGATAATTCGATGAGTAAATTATTACCTCATAATTATACAATTCATGATATAGCAGAATTTAACTTTGGATTCTAATTAGCTAATTATAGATGGACATATTAATCTATTAAAGAAGGAGGTAAACCATCATAAATTCCTATACATTATTTATATTTGATTACTTAAATAAAATAAGAAGATTATCTTACCGAAATAGAATAAAAATGGAATCTAAAATAATAAGAGAATAGAATTAATTATTAGTTTACACCATTTAGGGAAACCTATATTAAGATTACGAGAATTAGTTCCAATGAGACCAAACATAGCCATAACAGGATTTATGAAGAATTCCATTTAAGATATGTAAAAGGATTTGGTGACAAAGGGATTTCTACTATTATAGAAGGTGATGAACTCTTAACAGCTGGTTGAAGACTTATACATGCAGTTGGAAGAGTTTCAATTCATAAACCATTATATTCATGTTTGTCTTATAAGGGAAAACCAGAAAATGATAAATATTATGCTTTAGTTGGAAAAGGAGGTAACTAATTTTATATAGAGGTTAAGTTGTTTTTGATACTGGAGGTTTAAGCATTAAGACAATATCTAGTATGATGATAAAGAAGGAGCTTGTACTGTTTTAGAAACATTCAAAGCTATTGTAGAATTAGCATTACCTATTAATGTTGTTTGTTCAAAAGCTTGGGTTGAAAATTCAGTTGAACCAGATTCATACACAGTCTCAGATGTCATTTAATCTTATAAAGGAACTAATGTTGAAACATTAAATACTGATGCTGAAGGTAGATTAATATTAGCTGATGCAATGTCTTATGCATAACATAAGTTCCTCATTTAAGAAATGATTAAATTATCAACATTTGCTGGTATTATTAAAAATGCTCTTGGTAGTTATTGTAGAGTCTTTACTAAGAGAAAAGGATGTTATTCATTATTATAAAAAGTATAAAAAATTAATAAAGAACCTTTTTGGTAATTACCTGTCGATGATTAACATAGATTTTTGATTAAAGGAAGTGTTGCTGATATCAATACTTCAAGCTCTGTTAGAGTTGGAGCTTCTGCTGCAGCTACATTTTTAGAATATTTTGTTGAAAAAAAGGTTAGATGGATCCATTGGGATATTGCAAATGTAGCTGTATCTGATAAAAATGAAGGAATTTATAATAAAGGTGAAACTGGTTTTGGAGTAATGTCCTTGATATATTACATGACTTGGGATATTGTCAGTAAAGAACGTAATGAATAGAAATAAGAAAATGATGAAGATGACAATTGAAATATAAAATTTAACTTTTCTAATTAAAATATTACAATAATAATGAATAAGTATACACTTAGATTTCAGAATACATAACTAGAAAAATAATACTAAAAAACAGAATTTGATGCTTTTAGAAGTAAAACTAATACTTACTTTTTATTAATCTTTTTCATAATATGTTGTTTGAACTTTTCCTCTTAATTCATTTACATACCTGAAAATCCATAACATTTATGGTCACTTATTAACATAATATCTATTGTTTTAATATTTACACTCATCAAAAAGTGTCCCTCATTAGCCAAACTAATAATATTTTTGGAATGTCTTCTTATCATTTCATCAATACTTTAAATCATATTCTCTCATAATATGGCAAGTAATTCTTTAAATTATGTACTGCCTTTAATTGATATAATATCTAATTTACATTTATTGTAAATATTCGATCTCACTTGCCTTTAGATTTTTATCAATATGGTATTTAAAATCTACCTTTAGTGTGCTAGTCATTCTGATATAAATATATTTACAGTATTAACATAAATCTTGGGTTCTACTATTTAAGTTATTACTATCTACTATTACAAAAAATGGAGTAGAAAATAATTTACTCTTTATATGAAAGACTTGATTTGGTAATAATAACTTCCAAATCTAATTAAAAAACCATTTTTTAAATTTACACTTGAAACTCCTGTTAACAATTTTGTTACTCAAATATCGAATTAAATTAATCTTTTTCCAGGATTCATGTCTAACTTTTGTGATAGTTGTAATTTAAGAGCCTTTTTAAGATTATGTTTAAATTAAAATGTATCACTTGAACAAAAATTATTAAATGATTACATGACAGATAAAAAATTAATTACATAACATAATTATGAATTATCATACTAATTCAATTAAAAATCATTTATCATTCGTATTTGCAATCTAAATATTGAGAAATTTAGACGTTTATTAATACTAGAATAATTTAATAGCTAATAGAGATAGCCTGTATCAATTTCCAAAATTAAAAAAACTATGTTGAGTTCTTTTACTTCTAACTCTAAATTATTAAATTAAAAGTTCTTTAAATTAGGAATATTAACTATAATGCATTTTAACAGTAAATAAATTGGAACTTTTAATTGTTATGATCTAGTTAAAAAAGTAGTCAGTTATTTCACCTTTCTTAGTATTGATATATTTCCAAATCAATCTTCAAGTATCTATAGAATTTCTACATATAAGTAATAATTATTTATTTTTCTAATTTGCATATTCAATATCTTAACTACTATAACAAGAACGAAAAATAAAAAAATATTCATAAATATTTTGAATGATTAAGGAATAATAAATATAAAACTATAAGGAATAAACGAAATTTAATTTTAAGAGTTATTCAAAATGAATATGTTTTTGATGTAATCTCAAAATCTACTACTTCTAAACCCAATTGATAAAAATTTGACACTTAAACTCTTGAATAAGTGATTTGTATTGAATTTATTTCTAATCACTTAAAATTTGCTATATCATCATACTATCCACATTCTATTCAAGTTTTTAAAATTATAAAATTTTAATATGATATTTTTTATTTTTTTAAATGAATAAAGAGAATTAGAAGTTAAAATTTTATATATATATAGGTTTTAATAACAATTGTTATAATTCTTATAGATATAATCTTGAAATTACCAACTATTATGTTTTAGACTTTATTAATTAGAGAATCTAGCTAAGAAATTCAAGTAGATCAAATGAACTAAACATTTCAAATTTTCTATAAGTGGATTTAGTAATTCTTAAAAGTTAAGATTGTAATATAAATTATAAGTATTTGTATTATTACTGATGTTTTATAATATTTTGCATATGTTATCAGTGAATGAATTTCAGCATCAACATTAAGAAGACTTCAATCGCAACATAATTTCATCCATGATTGCAAATCTTATAAACTATATTTTAAATCAAAAGCTACTAAAATTTCTATTACATTAAAGTATTAAACAAATAAGATAGAAAAAATAACTTTAATGATAATCCAAATAGTTATTAATTTGAATAGTATTCAGTAAGTATATAAATCTAGATTAATTGAATCTATAACATTCAGAGAAGGAACCAAAAATATACTATACTAATAATAATGCAAAAATATAATATTAGTAATAAAACACATCGAGAAATTCGTTTTAAAATAATCATACTCTTTCCTTAAAAATTTAAACAATCATTATTATAAAATATGGAGATTTCATTATCTCATTCAATGGATTCTCAGAAAATAAAGGCCTAAGTTAATATGTAAATATTATTTGATGATTACAATTATATTTTAAATTAATTTATAAAAAAGTTTGGTCAGTAAATCAGATTCTTCTTATCTATTCATTACTATATTTTCTATAAAGGTCTGGTTTTTTAATGTGCAATCCTTCTCAGTGGTTTTTTCATTTCATTCAATTCCTATTTATCTTAGATTCCAGTCTCTAAATCAATTACAACCAAAGATTTATTAAACTCCACTCTCTTACTTTAAAATTTAATTATTGGAGTATCTGTTTTTGATTCTTGACGTTTCAAAAATAATTTAGCCTTCTTAGCATTTCTTTAATATTCTATAGGAGAAGTATTTCTTGATTTTTATAACTTTTATTCTTTTTAAGTACTCAATAATGGTAATTTAATATGAGAAGAAACATCTATTAATGAATTACTTATTATCTCAGTTGGCATTGTTTTGTAAATAATACTTCTGTTAATTTCTACCTCAGTTTTTACAGATTGAGGAATAAGGTCTATTTAGTTTAGAAAAAGAGAAGGCCTTATTGTTCTTGTTACAGATATTTATTTAGTTTAAACATCTCTTTATCCAATAATAGGCAATGAAAAAATATTAGATGAAAGTTAAGACATTTTTTGAAAATTTCAATTTTATTTAATTAATTCTTCTCTCAACTTTATAGAATTGAAACTGGTTTTAAATTCTAATTAATTTTATAATAATAAAATACTTGTCATCTTTTTATTTATTTATCATAAAGCAATTATCTTATTAGCAATTGTTTAATTATTTAAATAATTCATTTTGTTAATAACAAAATAAGATCTCTCTAATTATTTATAATTAAAAAAATCTATATTATATTTATTTATTTTTAAAACAAAACTCATCTTTAAAATTTTAATCAATATAATTAATGATTATTTTATACATGAAAGAAAGCCATTTTTTTCTTTATACTTCTTGTATAAAAAGCTTCTTTTTATTAAGTACTAAATTTAAATAAGAAATCAAAAAGTACCATTCAGAATTATCTTTATTGTTTTATTGTTAAAAGTCATGTGATAATAATAAATTTAGATTGAAATTCAAATAAATAATTTTTTCTTCTTATTTAATAGGANATCAGATTCTTCTTATCTATTCATTACTATATTTTCTATAAAGGTCTGGTTTTTTAATGTGCAATCCTTCTCAGTGGTTTTTTCATTTCATTCAATTCCTATTTATCTTAGATTCCAGTCTCTAAATCAATTACAACCAAAGATTTATTAAACTCCACTCTCTTACTTTAAAATTTAATTATTGGAGTATCTGTTTTTGATTCTTGACGTTTCAAAAATAATTTAGCCTTCTTAGCATTTCTTTAATATTCTATAGGAGAAGTATTTCTTGATTTTTATAACTTTTATTCTTTTTAAGTACTCAATAATGGTAATTTAATATGAGAAGAAACATCTATTAATGAATTACTTATTATCTCAGTTGGCATTGTTTTGTAAATAATACTTCTGTTAATTTCTACCTCAGTTTTTACAGATTGAGGAATAAGGTCTATTTAGTTTAGAAAAAGAGAAGGCCTTATTGTTCTTGTTACAGATATTTATTTAGTTTAAACATCTCTTTATCCAATAATAGGCAATGAAAAAATATTAGATGAAAGTTAAGACATTTTTTGAAAATTTCAATTTTATTTAATTAATTCTTCTCTCAACTTTATAGAATTGAAACTGGTTTTAAATTCTAATTAATTTTATAATAATAAAATACTTGTCATCTTTTTATTTATTTATCATAAAGCAATTATCTTATTAGCAATTGTTTAATTATTTAAATAATTCATTTTGTTAATAACAAAATAAGATCTCTCTAATTATTTATAATTAAAAAAATCTATATTATATTTATTTATTTTTAAAACAAAACTCATCTTTAAAATTTTAATCAATATAATTAATGATTATTTTATACATGAAAGAAAGCCATTTTTTTCTTTATACTTCTTGTATAAAAAGCTTCTTTTTATTAAGTACTAAATTTAAATAAGAAATCAAAAAGTACCATTCAGAATTATCTTTATTGTTTTATTGTTAAAAGTCATGTGATAATAATAAATTTAGATTGAAATTCAAATAAATAATTTTTTCTTCTTATTTAATAGGATAATAAAAAAATAAATATTAAATTTAAAATTATATGGTGCTACATATTCCAAATTTTTTGGTGAAAGGTGTTGTTTTTTCTTGGATGGGATATTTAACATATTAATATATTTAGTAAGAATCATTACAATATTATTTAGGATATATAGATTAGATTAATAATCGAAAAAATTAGATGCTTATATCAAGTAAATTTGAAGAATTATTTAATAGAAACAAAACTTTAAATGGAGAAAAAGTTGATATTCCAGAAGAGCTATAATAAGCAAAATTATATTAGGAAAATCATTGTAATAAATAAAAATTATACAGATGGATAAAAGCTTTTAGAGAGAATGAAAACGTAACATGTTTTAGAAGAATAAGTGAAATATGCACTAGCATAGAAAAAGGAATTAAGATAAAAATTAATTAATGAGAGTAACGAAAAGGAAGTAGAGTAATTAGAATAAGAAATATTGTAATTGAATCAATTATTCTCAAAAATATAATCAAAGAATTTACCAAAAGATTGATATAAATATTGTATAATAATAATTTTCATTTGACACTAAACATTTTTATTAATGAAATAAAAATTTTGATAATTTTATGAAATTTTTATTGATAATTTCACTTATAGTTCTGAAATGTATATCATTTGTTGATGTTACTCTTTTTGAAGTAAATTTGAATGATTTGATAATAAACTTAAACTAAAATGAAGCAAAGAGTTTAGTTTTGAATGAAGCTAGAAGTGCAATATTATAATCTGAAAATAATAGTCTTGGTTGTTAAATTATTCCTTTACATTTAAAATTAGAAACTCAAGAACTTCGAATTATTCAAGATGTAAATTTTCTTGAATCTGATTTAAATGATGAACTTAATTTTAAATAGTTTATATCAATGACTCATATAAATGATGGTATGTTAGCAATAACTTCAAATTTGGTAGTTTATTTACTGAAATTCAATTATAATTTTTTATCATAACATGATTTTAAGGAGATAGGATAATAATTTGCTAAAATTGTTTGGAGATTCAATCTTACTCAATTAACTACAGCAATTAATTTAGAGTAACAATTTCCTAAATTATTGTATGCTCCATCATCTAATGTAGCATTTCTATTATAGAATGATAGAGCATAATTATTTAGTTTGGCTTAAATAGAATCTTAGGGAAGTTCTTTAAGTGTATATGATGTTCCAACTTGGAGAAATAGAATATTTAGAGGATTTACAAAAGAAATAGATGGATTGATTTTTAGTGCTGTCGGTAAAGATGGATTAGATATTTATAAAATTATAGAGAAGGGATTAGAATTTATTAAAAATATTAAATTTCTTCATTAATACGAATAAATTAATATAATTGATTTTTCAATTGTTAAAAAGAGTATTATTGATAAATGTTACAGTTTATTTATTTTGGATAAGGAAAATGGATTATTTTTAGGTGAAATAGAATGGAATTTAAAAGAAATTAGTTATAATTTTAAATTCTGGATAGAAAATGTAACTGGAGGAATATCAGTAGATTCAAAGAATGGTAGAAATGTATTTTTTGGTTATTAATAACAATAATAAGTTTATTATTTAATAGAATATTATATAAATATATAGAATGGATATAATTTTATTATAAGAAAGAAATAAATTAATTCAAAGATAATAGATATAGATGCATCTGATGAATTTGTTATTGTTTAAGGAGTGAATTTACACACAATTATCTTTTGTAATGATTATGATTATTTAATGAGTAATTAAAGTGATTAGATTTTCAAACATGCAGGATTAAGAGATTTTGAATTTTTTAATTAAGAATATAAGTTAGAAGGATACAATGATTTAAATAAAGAATATGAAAAAGATGACTTTTTTTTTGGTATAACATCTTAAACAGCCTTTTTGACTCGTTTTAGAGTGTAACCAGTATAAATTCATTGTTTATACCATCCATAGAACTGTATTGAGTAAATGTTATGAAATTAGCAATTACTGGTGATACATTTATTTATAAACTGTAATACAATATGACACATAAAAATTTAACAGGATTCCTAGTTAGATACACATAAAATGTGAAAGTAAATATAATAGAAATTTACTTATATGAAAATGACATGGAATTAATATAGTGGTTTTTATTTATTTTTGGGTTTTTGTTATTAATTATATCAGTGAAAGCAACTATTTGGTTTGATAGATAGAATAGAATAATAGATAAGATAAATATTACCATAGAAAATATGAGATTGTACAATAAGGAATATAAATAAGATATTGGACCATAAACAGGTAAGATAGATGAGACATCTGTTTTTTAGGTTAAGAATTAATCAATGATATAATAATGAAAATCAATAACCATACATCTCTTTAATTTATAATTTAAGTATTAATTATAATCTTGCTATATCTTTTCATTGGATAAATGAAAAGTCAACATTGATATTTCAATTCATTATTTTATTTCTGTTAAGACACATTTCCATCATTTAATCTAAAAGAATCAATACCTCAGGTTCTTTAGAGATCTATTATTTATGCTTTGAAACACTTTAAACTCTTTCTTTAATTATTTCTCAATTGAAAGAAGTTAATTTTGATTTAATTCCGCAATATCAATTAAGACTTAATAATCAGATAATTATTTTATATTAGATAACAAACCAATTCTATCTAAATATTATTAGGTAATGGTAAAAAGTTCAGCAGCTAATTAGTATTCATTTTAAAGTTGACTGATATATTTGGAATATTCATTAAATTTTTTATTAGATTCTAATAATTAAAATACTTTTGATTATAATAATTTAAAGGAATTAGCAGTAAATTTAGCTGAGAGTAAACATAAGAATTCAAATTGTAATTCTTTTTATAATACTAAGTAATTATTGTAATATTTTATGTGATTTCAATTCTTTATAAGTTTAATTAATTTATTTGATTAATAAATTATTAATTTTAAACTTCATTAATTTAAAGAGGAATAGGATTATCAATAATAGTATTGATAATTCTATTTTTAGCAAATTTGATATTAGTTTAAGGTAATTATCTTTTTTATTATTCAAATAAGAAAAAGTTCATTCCATTCCATTCTTTCAGATTCTTCTTTTTCTAAAGCTTTAATAATAAAGTTTCTTCAAAATCAGATAATTGAATATGATTATGAAATCTAATAAGTTATTTCATAATATTTTCTGTTAGATTCTTTTCATCTGTACTTGTCCATGGAGAATGACCATAAATCATTTCATACCATATATCTGATTTTGTAGTATATTTTTCTTTTTCTAATATTTAAGATGCCATATATAATGGTGATCCTACACAAGTTCTTAATAAATCCCCACTAAAATTATCAACAATTTTAGAGAAACTAAAATCAGCAATCTTAACTGTACCTCTATGATTCATAATATTTGCTGGCTTAAGATCACGATGTATAATATTTGCTTTTACCTATTGTTTAAATCCACATGCTAATTAACAAAATATTTAATTAACTTCTATTTCAGGAATCTTTCTTCCTTTCATTATATTCCTTAAATCACCATCAGCATAAAATTCTGTAACAATTTAGATTGAACGATCTGTTGCAAATTTATCTATAAACTTAACAATATTTGGATGATCCAATTATTTCATTATTTGTATTTCACTATCTATTCATATTTTATTACTTTTATTACTAAGTGCATCAATCTAATATTGATCTTTATTTATCATTGAACTATCAATTTTCTTTATTGTCACTTCAATGTTTGTACTTATTTTATTCCCTCTATAAACCTTCCCAAATGCACCTTCTCCTAAAAGATATTTAGAATCGAATTGATAATCACCTTATTTTCTTATATTTTACTCTAATTACTATTACATAATTGTAATTATATAATCATTTTTATAACACCTTCAAAACTTTCTGTATTTCTATATTATTTATTTACCTTAATTCATGCAAACTCATTAATTTTTATTCAGATCTTTCTTTTCTATCACTTTTTGAACATAACATTATTATCTTTATTGAAGAATTGTCAAATTTATAACTCAAATCTATAGATTTTGTGGTTTCTATAAGAAGATTTCCTATAGATTAAAATTTCTCAACAACATTACACAAAAGATTTGAATTGCAATTATATGTTTGAATATTATTTATTAGTGTCAACTTGTATTTTTATTATATATGAAGAATACTAATGAAATTTAATAAATAAGTTAAGATTACTATTTTGTATTAATATAAATAAAATGTTTTAAGCAGAAAAAGGTGCCAATGCCATTCCTGGATATACAGGGTAAAATATTGTTTATTAATTACATTTAGTTTCATACCAAGTCAAGATTACGATTAAGATTTATTATAAATTTAAGGTAACAGAAATCATATTCCAAGTATATTATGTTATTCATACTTTCAGATTATGCAGGATTTGTTCCAGGAATCAAATCAGAAAACCTATTTGGAAAAACATTCGGAAAGATTACTTTACTTTCTAGTACTCATGAACATCATCGAGGGTATAATCTCAATTTATAATTTCAGATCTGATTTACCTGCTGATATTAGGTACAAAAGTGAAATCAAAGAAGCCTATTGTGATCAAAGAGATTAACGTGGAAGAGATATTAATCTATATGGTAAATTAGATTCAGAAACATCGGTAACTGTTATCTTAACTATTTTTATTAGAAAGCACTTGCTTATACTCTATCCAATCTGACACACTTTGAATAAACTAATAATCTTCCAAAAAGATGTAATTATCCATTCCATTATCAAAGGTGACTCCAAAGATAGATAGAGTACTCTAACTTATGAAGAAGCTTTGCAAAAATTAAAATGATTATTAATATTCGATAATAATATTTATTATTTTCTTAGATTCATTTTCTTTCACTTTAATAATTCCATTACACTTATAAATTACTCTAATGTAAGCTATCATTTAAATTTTATTCTTTACTTTTTATTCTACAGCCAATTCATTAAATTAACCTTCCAGATCATCATTTATTACATTTAGATATTTTGTAATGTTTGTAGCTCTTATCTCAGCTTTATTATTACTTAAAAGATTAAAAGTAGTTTCAAGATTCATTCTATTTACCAATTATTCTCTTGGAGCTCCAAGTGATAAAAAAGTAAATTATTCCATGAATTCTGATTTTATTTAATGATCAATGAATATTTTATTTATATTAAATTCTAGATCTCTTAATTTTGTATATTTTTAGAACATTTTTATTAATTCATCCTTATTCAATTTCATATCTAAATCTAAATCAAATTCTCCAAAAAGTTTTTATAACTAAAGTGCTGTTTCCTATTCTAATTCTTATATCATAATTTCTAATATTGCTTATTACAATTCACAGCTTTCTTTTTAATTCAGCATATTTAATAACAATCTTTCTTATATTGGTATTTCAACTTATCTATATTTATTTAACCACTCGCTATTTTATAATTATTCGAAAGTCTTTTTTTTTTTTTTATTCTTTTATCCTATTAATGATGAAACAAAATATCTAAATTCAGGTGACCATTTCTTTAAATCTTAATCTACATCAAATTAATAATTTAGAATAAATTATTTTACAGATGGAATATCATTATATAATTTAGGAGGTATTTTATATGGTACTTCACCTTTACCAAGGGTGTAAATAATCATCATTACAGCCCATAAATCTCGTGTTTCTTAGATTTCATCTTTATAGAGAACATCTGGAGGGGTAAATTCTAAAACTTCAATATCATCTACACATTTAACTGATATAGATATAGGTTTTATATCAATTAATTTAATTATTACTTATTCAGATTGAAATTAATATTCCCAACTATTAATAGTCATATTCCCATGAATCATTTATTAATTTTTTAAATAAGCAAGAACTGAAAACATTTAATCAGCAATATTTACTAAATCTTTTTCAGAAATATCAACTGAACTTGGTAATCGTGATAATTAGCAACCATCAAAATATTCATAGATTAATTGATAGGAGGTATTATCTTAATGGACTTCTAAATTTTTTAGTATATTTTCGTGTTCCTTATAATTACAAAAATGAAATACTAATTAATTGGATTTAAGCCAATAAATAAATTTTATGCTTTCTTCTTCTTCTTTTTAAAGAATTTCTAAATGTACCTTTTTACCAGTTTTGTTGTTTTAAACAAACGATAACTCTTTCTAGATATATTCATATATAATTAAGACATACATTCATTTGTAATTCTTTCTTATGTATAAATGAGTATTTTTTAGATGCATTTGTACTAAAAAATTAAACTCCTTATAAAACAGTTCCTCTAAGTGGTTAGCTACAATTACTTAATGATCTTGATGATAATGATCTTTGAGAAGGAGATTTTTTAATTTTTGCTCCTATTGCTCTTTAACATTTTTTAGATAGATTATAATTTTGTAATTGCTATTTATCCTCAGATATCATTCCTGGAGAATGAATACTCCTCATACTATGTATACTTTATTGACTATTTTAGGCTGATTATTCTTTTATGGATTAAATCACAATTTAAGGTTCTTGAATTTTTTCTTATTAAAACTAATTAGGTAGTACAATTTTTAGTTATTATCTTTACTGCTATTATTTTATACTTCTCTATGAAGCACATATTCCCATTTTAATTAAGATTTGATGCAATAATTAAATTATTTAAGATTTAATGAATTAATGCAGAAGCTAAATATACTAATCTTTAATGTTTTTATAGCCAGGACTATTTTCTTATTTGTCCTTTTAATTCAAAAAAAAACTCATATTTATCATATATAATGATATTCTATATTTACAATTATTTTTATCAAAATTATGATTCTATTAAATTTATTATATATTTTCTATTGATGAACAGAGATAAAATAAGAATTTTTCCATCTAAGGACCTTTAAGATAGAAATCAATTTATAAATCAATATACCAATTTTCAACTTTAGAATTAATAACCAATCCTATTTGAAAATCAAGAGTTAAGAATAAGCAGAAGCAAATCTGCTTTGGAAATTAATCATAACTAAATGCTTAACATATAAAATTAATTTTCATAATTCTCTGGTTAAAAATAACCATAATCACAAATTACTTAGAATGGATAATTTATTGATATAAATCAATAACAAAATAATTAGAGAAATGCTAGTATAAAAATATTATAGTAACCAAATACCATAACCACCAATTATTTGAATAAAGATGCATATGCATAATAAAGAATAAATAATTAATAAAATGTTTAATAAAATAATTAATAAAATATTTAATAAAATATTTAATAAAATAGATAATTTAATCGTATATGCCTACAACAAAACAATGAGCGAAATGCTAGTATAAAATTTGAATCGCAACCAAATTATAATTAAATAACTTAGGATCCTTAAGAAAGAATCAATTTTAATTAAAATACATAATTTAATGATTTATGTCAATAATAGAATAAGGGGCGAAATGCTAGTATAAAAATTTTACCTTAATAAAATATCAGAAATAACAATGAAATGTCTCGTAATGAAAAAATAGATAATATAAATTTTACAAATAAATTATATAGCAATTATTTTCCTATAAAGATTTCAAATAAACAAAATTAAAATTAATAGTATTAAGAAAATAAATACTAGAGCTACTAAATTTGTCTATAATAAAACTCAAATGATTCATCATAAATATAAAAAGAATTAAGTGTTCCAGAAAAAAAAGTATAAATATTTTAAAATTCATAGAATATTTCTTAAAAAAGCTAATAAGATTTTAACATCATTCCAAAAATCACAGATTAAGAGGAAATTTTTAACACAATTTTGTCAACATAAACAATGAGCTGTTATAATTGTTCACAAGAACTAAAATCTAATTCTATTAGTTTGAATTGTCAACATTCATATCATATAAATTGTTTTATTTAGATGGTTTAATCCTAAATTTAAGAAAAAAATTAATTTACAAATATTTTATGCTCATGTAATAAAAAAATTCACCCACATTACTTAAGAAAATTAAATTTAGAAAATTTTTTATAAACATTGTTTCAAAATTAGTTAGGCATATTAAAAGAAAGAAATCCTAATATTTATTTAACATGCGAAAAATGTCAATTTTTTTTCCTTCATACAAATGAATTCAGAAGACCTTGTGTTAATTGTTAGCCAAGTTAAGAATAATAAACTTATTATAAAAAATGATTTATAAAAAATAAAATAAGATATAAATTAATTCATGAAACTTGATTATAAAGGCAAAATATATGTATTAGGTGTGCAAAAAACTTTGTAAGAGATGAAAAATAAAATATTCGAATTAATTTAAGAATTAGAAAAAAGAGAAATAATTATTTTTATTTAATAGAAAGAAACTAAATTTTTGCTTTAAGAAAAAAATTATGAAAAGCTCATAACAATGAATAATAATACAGAATAATTTATATTAAAGTGTTATATTCTGGAAGACTACTTGCAAAATATGAACTTTCAGTTTTAATAACTCAATCATTAGAATAAAATACTTCAAAGTGAAAAAGAATAAAATAATTAAATAGATCTGAAACAAAAGCAAAATTAATAAAATATGGAGCAATAAAGTTTTACAAACAAAGATTTTGTTTCAATTTAAAAAAATGATGTGAATATTTAAACATAATAAATTGAGCAAAGCACTCAATAATTAAACCATTCTCTTCAACCTTAAACAGAAGATGAGATTATTAACCCAAATAGAATTGAATATTAACAAGAACATACCTAGTCAATCTAATAAGAAAATTTATAGTCTAATAAATTAGAAGAACAATCTTAAGAGAGGCCATAATAAATCTTCGAATCAATTTTATCTAGAAGTTCACTCCGTTTGGAGGATAGAATGAATTAAGGATCCATTTTCATAGAGTTTTTCTAAAATTGTATGAATTGTGGTAAAAAAATCGAAGATTATTCAATTATGTTAAGTTGTTGTCATGTGTTTCATGAAAGTTGCTTAAAAGAGATTTTTAAATCATAAATTGAATAGAAAAATTCTATTTTGTAATGCTTATGTAATTAAAAAATATTACATGCTAGAAATTTTTTAAAAAAATTAGATATAGAGGGATATTTTTAGGAATTGCTAAAGAACTAAATTAATAATATAAGATAATAAAATAATAAAAGGATAAGAAATTGTACTAATTAGGCTTGCAATTTCTTCATGATTATACAATAAAATTTAGGATCTAAATCATTCTGCCCTAACTGCTTGATGATGGTAAATATAGATTCACCTTAATGAAATATATAATAAACATGAAAATTATTATAAATTGATATATAAGAATATTTAAATGTGTAAAGAAAATAATATTAGAGAGAGTTCATTTAAAGTGTATTTGTTCTTTAAATGAGAGTTTAATAAATTTGAAATCATAATTATTCATTTCCTCAACTGAAATTATAAGCAAAGCAATTTTTGGCTTAATCAATTCATTAGGTTCTTTTTATTTAATACATTTAAAACTATAAATTTTACAAAATAACTTAAGATATAATCTATTAGTTGATTGTGAGATTATTCTACAAAAAAAATAGATATAAAAATGATTATTTAATATTTTAAATATTAATGAATGAGAGTGGGTTAGGAGTTTATGGAATTTATTATAAAACTAAAATGTAGACTACAAGAGAAAATACTGTTCATGATTAGATATTTCTGTAAACTTCTTTTTAGAATTAAAAATCTAATAGAATCAAAAGTCAAATAGCTAATGAATAAAATTATAATGGATTTAGAATGAGTAAGACAACATTTCAATCCCACAGATAAAGATATTAATCGACTTAATAGGAAGCAAGATAATAAAGTTCTATAAACTACTAGTCTTAAATGTAGTATAAAGGATGTAATAATTACAAGTGTCTTAAAATAATATCTGATTTATAGGAAATTTAAAAAGAGAATTAGTAAACTATTAGGACATTAACATAAGAAATTGAGAGATTGAAGAGAGAATTGTAACAGAATAATAAAGTGATATATAATGAAGAAAAGTTAAAGGAAAGATTAGTATCAGCAACTAGCAGAGTTTAAGTTTAGAAATCTTTAGGTTTATTCGGATAGAGCTTAGATAGTAATTAGGTTTTTAATGTTTCCAAAACTGATTCAATCATTATGAATAGAACTATATCATAAAAAGTAGAAAACATTAATATATCATAACTATTAAATAATAACTAAAATATTGGATAGGAAATAACTAAGTTATTAGATATATATAACAATTCTTAAATCTAAAATTATTCCTATCATTCTTATAAGGACAATCAAAACTAAGTACCATATATAAAATGCGATAAATGTAATTTAATCAAGAATTTTCACATTATTTGTTTAGAATGTAAACATTATTATCATTATAATTGTTTAATCAAACATATCAGCTCTTAATTAGTAAAACAATAGGATAGTTTCAATTTAATTGGAACTCTTTAATGTCATTGTAATGCTAAAATAAAATTACACTTTATTAAAATGATTTGCTAACCAGAGTTCTTTATCATTTATTAAATTATTTCTAATTTTTAGCTTTTCCAATTAGCTAAGTCATATTATTTAGCAAATAATTAAAACTAAAATCAGAATATTTATAAATGTATCAAAGAACATTGTTATTTCATTATCATAAGTGATGAAAATAAGGTCTCATATTGTCCATTATGTTGTGAATTCAATTTATTTGTATAAATTAAATTTATTTGATTTATAATAAAAATGATTAATAACAAATAGTATAAGTAATAATTGCCAACAATAATCTAAAAGTATGAGGATAGTTTAAGGGAGAGTATTTATAAATTAAAATATAGAAAAGCTAAAGGAAGTTTCAAGCATGATCAATCATTATCTATTGACAGAGAAAACCATAATTTAAGTAAAAATAAAATCTCGATAAGAAGTTCAAGCAATAATTAATAATAGAAAAAAGAAAAAGATAAATTTTTATGTAGCATCATTCCATCATCTAAGAATATTATATATTAAAAATCTAAATTCTCTATTAATACTGAAGAAATAAATAAACATAATCATAAAACAAAAAATGATGTTCAATTACTCTATAAATTGATAACTTAAGAATAGTAAAAAGGACATAAATTTTAAATTCCAGAAAAATTACAATCCAATAAATCTAAACTGATTGGTTCACTATAGAAGGACTACACTAATCTTTCATCTGATTAATAACTTTTAGAAAATTGTTAATATTGTAATAAATCTGTCAAAGGGTAATTTGTTTAAATTAAATGCCATCATATTTATCATTATGATTGCTTTTAATAATATTTAGAAAAGTATATAAAAAAAGGATATCCATAAATCTATTGTGGTTGTAAAATCAAAATACCATAATCAATTATTTTAAGTCATGCCACCCAATTAATTATTCATCGATATTTTCAGAATTAATATTAAAAAATATAAATTAAATATTTTAAATACTATTAGTTTGAGAAATGTGTAAATTCATTTTGCAATTTCTTTTGGATTAAAACAAATGAAAGTTAAAAAAGAAAAACTTCAATTTTATAATATTGTCCTAATTGCTTAAATAAAAATTTCGAAATAGGAATAAAAATGGAATAAATATTTTACAAATTTTGATTTATAATTTTTTGTAAATAACAATCATCATTATCATTTTTGTAAATTTCTTGGTAAATCATTAATTATCCTCAATAAGAAACCTCAAAATTTTGAGAAATAATTATAATATCTTAACTAAATGTGATCTTATTGGAAATAGTATTTATCGTATATATCTATTAGATAAAATTACCTTTTTCATTCATGATTTTTAAAATTCTAATGACAGAAAATTGAAAAATCGTTAATGAAATTATTCTCTTCTTTTATTTTACACTCCAAAATGACTCACCATGAAAAATTTCTAGATTAATAGGGAAATTAAATATTTATAAGAGCTCTTTCTTAAAGCTATCTCCTTTTGTATTTAATTAAAAATGAAAAAATAATTATGGAAGATTGATGTCTATAAAACAAAATAATCAAAGGATAATGAAAATTAAACTAATATTAATGAAAATTAGAAATAGATTATAAATTTAAAATTAAATAAAGTATATTCAGAGACAGCATGAGAATAATGAAGAACTCATTTTCCTTTTTATTAAATTGATTATTTCTGGATTTTAACTAATTTTTATAGCTGATCTCAAATCTGCATCACTATATTTTATTTAATTTAAAAGTAATTTAACACATTCATAATGATGCCATCTAACTGAAACATCTAAAGGGCTTTCAGTTACATCAGCATATACCCGACTTTTAATATGTGCATTACAATCAAGTGATAATAAAAACTTAACTACTTTATCATTTCCATTTTTGCAAGCAATATATAATGAATTTTATCCGTATTAATTAAATTAATTAATAATGTGATTTTCATCTTAAGGATTTGTAAGATTTCTATTTTAATGAAATATTCTACTATACCTTTTTGGATCTTTCTATAATATTTTAATCATTTATTAAATATCTTCATATGAACCTGACATTGAGTGTTAAGTTAAATGAAAAACTAGTTTAAATTGATGTAGCTTATCCAATACTTAAAAATCCTTAGATTCTTATACAGGATGAACTTTATGAATATTTTTAGTTGTTTAACATGGACTTGGGTTAAATTTTTCATAAAATTATTCCTAATACCTATAAATAATACTGAAGATGTAATTTATTCAACAACATTTTATTGTAATCTTCTTATTCCTAAGACTAGATTACCGGCTGCTTTAAATTTACAAGATTTTCTAGGGAATACGATGACATCATTTATAATTTTGTTTTAAAAATTATTTTCCTCTTAAGGTGGAGTGAATGGTCTAATATCTTCTTCATTTTATAAAAATTCATTATTCGAACCAAGTTTAATAAAATTGTTAGTAGGATAATTGGAGTTCATTAAAGTTAGAGCTTAATGATATGAGTTTATCATACATTATTGATTAAAATGAATGATATTATCAATATTAATTTAGAATTCTGATCCAGTCTACTTATATTATAAAGTTAAATAATACCTATTTGAGAATTAGAGGGATTGTTAAATTTGGTTCCTGCTTTCCTGTATCAATTTAAGAGTTAATGTTGAATTTATCTGAACCAACCTTTTCTATTCCTAAACTTTAAGTTCGAGCATGATTGTTACAAATTGGATCATCCTTGAGTATTTATAAATAATTTACTTCTTGTGAATACTATCGAATATAGACTTCTGATTATGGTAAAATATGCAAATCAGTTTTTAGATGGAAATGTTATCCAAAATTATTATTCATAAATAAATAAAATCAATTTTTTTGGTCATTTTGTAATATTTTATTCATTGTTAGAAATTTATCCTCCAGTCATGATAGGATGAACTTCATCATATTAAAATGATATCTTTTCTCTTTAGTTATGTAATAATAATAATTTAGTATCTCTTGAACTTTAAGGTTAATCACTTTATTATCTACCCAATTAAGAAATGACAAAATCTGCCACTTCTTTCATTACATCATTTGGTCTTTTAGAATTGTGATTTCCATCAAAAGATTTAAGTAATTTGGTTCCTTTAAAAAAACAATGTAATTATTTAGCATGTTTTGAATGAATCAATTAATCTTGATTAGCACTCAAAAATGCAATTGATACTTAAGATGAAAGCTCTAAGAATCTATAAATGATAAGAATTACTTCCTATAATTTAGATGACATTTAGATCATCAACATTAAATTTAGCTTCTTTTCTAATTTTAGATTTTACAAAACAGAAAAAACAATCAAAACAACATCCAGGTACTCCATAACCAGAAGTTGCAATCTCTTTACATAATAAAGTTAAATTAGAAAAAGGACTATCACACACTAATACTTTTATCTCTTCATTATGACTAGCACTTAAAATAGCTGTTACTGATCCCATAGATCTACCCCATAATCCAATTTGAGTTATGTAAGGCTCTATTATTAAAGTTGTATCTTACTTTATGATCTCTCAAATAATTTATTAGACTCTATACATCTTAAGATTCATAATAACCAAGAGATATGTAAACTCCTTCAGAATGTCCAGAACCTGTGTAATTTAAACAGAATATACCTGATAAATCTATTCCACAAACTGCTATATTATAAGGAATCAAATATTCTAAAATTGTTAATGCTTCAACTCGGCTGCTAGAATTTCCATGCAAATAAATCATGCAAGAATGTTACCTATCTTGAACTCTCACTGGTTCAAAAAGACTCGTTATATTATTATAAACGTGTACCTACATTATAATGTAAGTTTTCTTTTATTCACTATTTCAAAATCTGTTCGTTTTGTTACTGTATCCATTACCATTGTGATCTAATTTCCTAAATCTTTTAATTAATAATAATGTCTTGGAGGACGAATTATCGGTTTCCATAGTTTTTCACTACAGGAGTACGACATTAAAATTTTATCAATATTATATTATAAAACAATATTTCTAGCCACTTTAACTTTGAGTAATTATAAATTTACTAGACAATTTATCTAATAGTCAATATCTAAATTGAATCATTCATAAATAATCATTTCGTTGATAACGTGTAATTCGAATACTCATCTATTACATCATTAAATGCATTTTAAGTATTTGTAAAGATTTATGCTGCTGAATATTGTCTAAACTTTGACATACGGATTCCTATTTATTATTTAATCAATTCTATACCATTACTAGTATAATACTACCCATTTGCATCAGTTCCCAAGAAACTCACATATACTTTGGGATCACAAGCACCTCCAGTACATTGAGTAACAAAGTCATTATTTTCTGATACAGTTGATCCAGTTGTTGTTGTGATTGAATTTTATTCGCATTAACCTCCATCAAAACAAACATTATCCCAAAAAACATCAATAATGCTACCTTAAATCATTTGAACAACAATGGATTAGATTGGAAATGCTCCACCAGATTAAGTGTATGGTGTACCATAAGCAGTAGGAATGCTACCAGAATTAGCCCATATACTACTCTATTTAGTAGAGAGACTTTAATAGGTTCCAGATACTAATAAAGCAGTGTATTAGTCAACTTTTAATTAATATACTTATCTGTAAAGTTGATTGTCGGTGGTTTGGAAGAATAAACAAATGACTATATGGTCTCCCTAAATAAGATAATATTAAGTACCTTTTTATATCCAGAATTGAATTCGGAAGTTTGGCAGATTTGAGTTTGTGAAAGTACAATTGGAAATAATATAAATAATAACATATTAATTATTATAATAAGAAAGAAGATTAAATGTGAGTATAATTATTAGAATAAGAGATTTATAAAATAGAATAAATTAATAATGGTTAATATAGAAAAGTAATTAGAATTAGTTGCATTGAATTTCTATTATTCTAAAAATACATACTTTAAAAAAGAGACAAATATTTGAAATCTCAAATCTCTAATAATAAAGTAAATGCGAATCAGACAAAATAATTGAGAATAAAAGAAGTATAGTTATAATATGAAGGATAAACATATATTCATTCCTAATGATTCAATTTTTATCTTTTTAATTTTAAATTTATTAATATCGGATTAAACAAAATATATCCAAATTCATTCAATCCTCCAAATATTATTAGCTTTTCATTTGAATATAATGAGCAATGGTCATATCTAGCTTTCAAATTTAAGTATCCACTCAATTACACATTACACCAAATTTTACTTTAAATATTTAAAGTATACAAATCTTCAAATATTTCAAAATCATTCATTCCTCCAAATATTATTATACATTGACTATTTTCATCATAGTTCATAGTAAAATTTCTTCTTGCCTTTGGTTGTTATCCAACTGTTTAAACTACATTAACTTAAACCTAATTTCCTATAACTATTTATATCAGATCTCCATTAAAATTATCCTCTTAATCTTTCCCTCCAAATAAATATATACCATTCTCTTTCTCTTCAAAATATTAATTCTTTTTATATACTCTTATCACTTAATGATAAGCTAATCCATTTTTCATAAACTACTTTAATAATTATGTTGATCTCATTGTACTTAAATTAATACTTTGAATATCCCCATAATAATTAGGCTTTGTATTCATTATTTCAAATCCTCCAATTATTATTAATTGATTATCCATCAAAGTTGATGTATGATTCCTTCTTGCACCTATTCCACATATCGCAAATTATTGTATTTAATGATTTTTTATCTGACTCAATATATTAATCTATCTTCTAANAATTGAATTCGGAAGTTTGGCAGATTTGAGTTTGTGAAAGTACAATTGGAAATAATATAAATAATAACATATTAATTATTATAATAAGAAAGAAGATTAAATGTGAGTATAATTATTAGAATAAGAGATTTATAAAATAGAATAAATTAATAATGGTTAATATAGAAAAGTAATTAGAATTAGTTGCATTGAATTTCTATTATTCTAAAAATACATACTTTAAAAAAGAGACAAATATTTGAAATCTCAAATCTCTAATAATAAAGTAAATGCGAATCAGACAAAATAATTGAGAATAAAAGAAGTATAGTTATAATATGAAGGATAAACATATATTCATTCCTAATGATTCAATTTTTATCTTTTTAATTTTAAATTTATTAATATCGGATTAAACAAAATATATCCAAATTCATTCAATCCTCCAAATATTATTAGCTTTTCATTTGAATATAATGAGCAATGGTCATATCTAGCTTTCAAATTTAAGTATCCACTCAATTACACATTACACCAAATTTTACTTTAAATATTTAAAGTATACAAATCTTCAAATATTTCAAAATCATTCATTCCTCCAAATATTATTATACATTGACTATTTTCATCATAGTTCATAGTAAAATTTCTTCTTGCCTTTGGTTGTTATCCAACTGTTTAAACTACATTAACTTAAACCTAATTTCCTATAACTATTTATATCAGATCTCCATTAAAATTATCCTCTTAATCTTTCCCTCCAAATAAATATATACCATTCTCTTTCTCTTCAAAATATTAATTCTTTTTATATACTCTTATCACTTAATGATAAGCTAATCCATTTTTCATAAACTACTTTAATAATTATGTTGATCTCATTGTACTTAAATTAATACTTTGAATATCCCCATAATAATTAGGCTTTGTATTCATTATTTCAAATCCTCCAATTATTATTAATTGATTATCCATCAAAGTTGATGTATGATTCCTTCTTGCACCTATTCCACATATCGCAAATTATTGTATTTAATGATTTTTTATCTGACTCAATATATTAATCTATCTTCTAACCCCTTAAATTCTTTCTCCTCCAAAACAATATATTGTTTGCTCTTCCGCATCATAATTTAATGAAAAATGACTCCCCAATCTTGTATCATTCTCTTTCATTCTTTATTTTAAATATTCCCATTCCTAAAATTATTACTTCTACATCCATTATCCATTTTATAAATCCATAAAATTGAATTCTAATGATTCTCTATGAGAATGCCCTCCTATTACTATTCCTAATTAATTTGAAAGTTCTATTGCTCTACAACCTTATCTTGTTTCTGGCATTGTATATTTATGTTCATTTTATAAAGGTAATATTGCTGTTGCTTTTGTTGACGCTGTATAAAGTGCTTAAACAGGAGATTATGCAAATTTCATTTTTATTGGTCTTTCTGGACTAGGTGTTGTTCTTATTCTAATTTACTTTGAAGGTGTTATTGTTCTCACTTTATCATACTTTTTTTACCATTCTGATTACATACGTTGTTAATATAACGTTATCATTTATCTACTTCTATTTAATTAACTTTGAATAGTTGATTATTTCATTAATTATTATTATGTTTCTGATAATGTTGTTGGGGTTTTTTTATAAAACTCAAACTCTTAGTTTCCAGATTCATAATTAGAATATAGAGTTCTGATTTTGATCTATGAAATAACTCATTCAATTAAACATAGACACTAAATCTTCAGATCGAAGGATTCCTTTAAGATGATACCAAAAAAAAATAATTTTGTTATTTTTGACAATATAATTTTAAGAGGGTACCAAATCTAAATGCAATACTAAATTAGAAAGATCATAGATTGATTACCTTTTATTATTAGGTGATGCTTTTGTTTTATAGCTATTATACTAGATTCGATAAAATGATAATAGAATTGGATTTGCACCTTCTATTAATAATGGGGGTTTAAAACTTAATTTTAATAAGAGATATTTAGTTAGTTATGCTTATACTCTAATTTTATATGTAGGATTATTATTAGTTTTTTGATATTTTGTTAAGTAGATTAATATTATTATTTTTAATTATATTTTTATGGACGGATCAAATCTCACTTCAAGTGGACAAAAGGAATTGTAAACTTTTCTCAATTTCTTTAATCTTAAAAAGTAAGAAGCCATGACAGAAATTGAATTAGAATTCAAAGATTTCTCAAAATTCTAAGTTTCAGATACACTCTACAATAAGGATGATGTCTAAGAACTTCTAAAGAAATTAGAGGCTAATTTAGAAGTGCTTATGAATAAAGAAGTATCCAAAATTATTCATATGTGTGGAGTTTATGTTAAAATATTTTTATCTGTATGTTCTGATCAAGAATTTCATGCAGATTTTAATTTTATTGAGAATGCGTAATTAGAATAATAAATTTAGTAAAATCATAGAATAAATGAAAATACTTGAGAAAGGAGGCACCATAGTTGAGGATAAACCTCTTTAGAGTAAAATTAGATATTCGAGATTGCCAACAATCGATACTGCTCTTTAAAGTAAGAAGATCAATTTATTCTATAAGAATAAATGGAAGAAATGGCAAAAGAGAATGATTTCTTAAAATAGTACAATTAAAAACTTTAAAATGAATTAATTTTGCTAAAAAAGGAATAAGTTTCAGATGCTGATTAAGTAGGTTCATTTTAGGATTAGATAAATTAATTGAAATAAGAGAATTAACAATTGAAATAAGAGATGGAGAAGAAACTAAATGATTGTGTTCAATTTAAGACATTAAAACAAATGATTTAGGAGAAGAATTAACAGATTAAAGAGTTACAAATGAAATTATAATGATAATCATTATCATTCAATTGTTTTAAGAAATAGTATCCAATTTATTTTAATTGATTTACTATAATTAGATGTCATCAACATTAGATGTTCTTCTAGATTTAAAATTAATATTTTTTTGAATGTCCTGAATTTTTAAAGATAAATGTTAAGTTTAGACGATAATATTTTAAGAAGTCTTTATCTTTTTTGATGGATAACAATCTTTTTAGTTCAGATATCAGTAAAATAAATTATCTGATTGAAAATATTTAGATGTTCTCAAATTATTTTTGTTTATTGAAATTCTTAATTTTTTTGATTTTTCAATGAGAAATATAATTAGTTTTTTTGTGTTTCTTTCTGAATTATAAAGACTTAAATATATGTTTTTCTTACAGCTTTATTCATATATTAAATACAATATTATAAAAATCATTTAAGTGATTTCTTTTTGTTGAGAAGAGTGCATTTTATTTTATTTTTATGATATTATAATTATCTATGACTTAAAACATCAGACCATCTCTTATAGAATTCATTTCTCTCATCTGGAGAATGTTCTGTGTATAAAGTGAGTTGTTTTTTGTGACATTTCTTCTTTACATCTTAAAGTGTATGATAAGTATGATAAGTTCTTTTGGTTTCCTAAGTAGTAGCAGTGTTAATATTATCCATTTTCAATAATCGTTTCAATTAAGGTGATTGTAACATCTACTACTTTTACTTTTTAATTAAAGTAGCAATAGCACTTTTATCATATCGTAATGGTTTGATTTATTTAAGCAACTGTTACAATTGTCTGGAAGTCTATAGTTCGCTTATACCTTTAAGTGCTTTAAATGAATAAATCATATCATCCCTTGTTGTGTCTTCAACATGCATTCCTAATTATTTTTTTATTTTTTTATATCTGATTTCTCTTTATTTTTCATGATAAGCTTCTAATTATGGGGTGATATTCTTAATGAAAATACGTGGAATATCTCTATGATATCTATAATATTCAATGAGTTGTTTTTGATTATCTTTCAAATAAGGAAAGGTATAATAACTAAAGTAAATAACTAGAGCTAATACAATTTGAAATACTCTTCCAATTCTTCAAAACAAGCCTAATCTTAGAAACGAATAGTAATAGGACTTCTTAATTACAGTTAACAAAAATCTGTCTGATACCTTGAATAAAGAGCCTTTAATGTTTTTCATGTTTACCATATTCAGTAATTCTGGAAGATTCCCATTGTGATCACAAAACATGCATGGCACCTACATTTAATATAAATTTTAATATCAAGGAAATTTATTGTTATTCATAATATTCATAGAAAGAGATAAAAATTGTACAACTGAACCAGGAAGATGATTATCCTCTAAATCTTCATTATCACTACTATCAATATTAACAATTGAAGGTCTAAAAGTACTTGTTTTAACAACACATTTATCTGTTATATTCAATCTATTCTAACAAGTTGTTTTCTATCCCTTTAAAGAATCCTAAGAATTTTAACTTATTAAATAAAGAGATCTAATTCCAACTTATTTACTCATCTATGATCCATCAATAGAATTTGTTTAATAAACATAATCCATTAATGATGTTTAAGTTCTTAACATTTAAATTACATCATTCAAACTTATTCTATTCTTAGGATTCTTTTAAAGCATTGCTTTTACTAAACTGATAACTTTATGACTGACATTAACAAAACAATATTCACTAAAATCAATTTCACATATTTTATTCGCTCTCAATATATTTTCTTAATTATGTCCTCTAAATGGAGACTTCCCAGTTAATAATATATAAAAAACTACTCCTAAACTAAAAACATCTCCTACTTCTGTGTATGGCTAATTCTAGAATATTTCTGGAGCCATATAACCTACAGTTCCTTATCCTGATATTAATACATCTCTGTTTATTTATTCTGCAAATCCAAAATCTATTATTTTAATCTCAGTTTTATCTAATAATAAATTCTCTAATTTTATATCCCTATGAACATACCCTAAACTAAATTAATTATCTTATTTACCTATGAAGACATTGTAATCCAAATGCTATTCGCATTATTATTCCACTTGCTTCCGTTTCTTGTATTCTAACCTTCTCTTTTAATAATTAATATAATGATCCACTACTTAGTAATTCTGTTATCAATACTATTTATATATTAAATCAATCATTCTTACTTAATTGCTCATCTAATTAAATTATCTCAAATAAATTTAGAATGAATGGAGAATTCAATTTTTTTAAGATCTCACATTCTTATCTAATTAATTGAGATATTGACACTAAATTCTTTTTTGAATTCACATCACTTTTATTATATACTTTACCAGCATAGAATTACTTTTAATAAGGTAGTCTATTAACTGGACAAAGTTAATACACTTTTGAATAACCACCTTTTCCCAATAAATCTTAAAATGTATACAGTTATTCAAAATTCTAACAAACACAAAATCCTGCTATCCTTTTAAAATATTCAAACGTCTTCTAACTCTATTCACTTAAACTATTACTAATCTGAACTCCAAAAACATGCATATACTCTTTAATTTCTCTTTATTCGAATCACCTGTACAACATCATGGTCTCTTTAAGGTAACTTCAACTCTATTAATTTAACACTCATCTATGTATTCAATTACACCCATCTCAATTTATCTTACTTCAAGTAGTAAAATTATCCCTTATTATTAAGGAGATAAGTTCGTTCTTTTATTGATACACTTTTATAGTCTGTTTTCTTTAATTCTTCGCTTAATAAAATATTATTGTCAACAACACAATCATTTCTATTCCAAAATTTTGTACTTGCATCGCATTCTTAAAACACAGGCCAACTAGATATATGAGACATTAATAATTTATGACTTTTTTATTAATTACTTCACTAATTTAAGACTTTTTAAATAAACATATCATTCTAAAAACTTGGAATGTGAATTATTATTTATAAATTGTTAATATCTTATAAAAGTTTAAATTTACTATTTCTAATCAACGAAAAGATTTAATTTTAATTTGACTATTTATACAATTTGTTTTCTTGAATGCCATAACCTTTAAGAATGTTTTCTGTAACACACATATTCATTTGTGTAAATCTTAATATTATAATATTATATATTTTATTTTTGTTCATTTGATTAATCATTTGAAGCTTCTATTATTTTATTGATTATTATATTATCTGAGCCATTCTGATGTATACAATTCTTAATTTTGTCTTTCAAGTCTTCTAAATATCATTTAAGCTCTTCTATCACCATCTGGACATACTTCTTTCCATATTTAATGTTCTCTGCCACAGAGTTTACGATTGACTGCATTAATAATTCAATTACCATTAGTTGAATTTTCTCTATCCAAACATTAAAAATAATCCTCTTAAGCAGTAAAACATGTTTAGGCATTCCATGATTCCCCACCATATCTTGAAGGTGTTATTAATGCATTTCCATTATAACTCATGATTGTTTAATAATAAAAAATATAAATTAATTATAGTTTTTGCTCAGCAAATCAAATTTTGTTACCCCATATGATTATCTTAATTTGCATATATCAATTAAGCTATCTATGGATTTTTCAATTAATTATCTGCAAGATGAAAACATATTCGACATGCAGGTTTATAACAATCATCTCCACCAATTAATTCAACTAATATTTATATTTTTTATTTACTTTCTTATGATTATACTATTCTTTTAGTAAAAGAAGCATTTTCTCTTTTACAAAACCAACATACTGCTGTTAATTTAGTTATACGCTCAGCTATTGGAATCAAATTTAAGATGTTATGAAAAGGTTTTCTATCAAATGTTCCATCAAGAGCTGCAACTATTACTATCTTTCCTAAATTTGCCATCTTCTCACTAAATTCAACAATCTACCCAATTTATTACAATTAAATTTACATCTGAAAAGAATTAACCCTCATCTATAGCTACAACATCACTTTCTTTACATTTCTCATTAGCTTCATTTAATTTACATACTTTTATTGCTTTCAAATATTCTCTATATTTTCAAATAGGTAATATACTTATCATGACTTGAAATGCATTAATCCTCTGAGTATCTGTTATCATTTGCATAATTTAACACTATACATTTTCTTTCTGAAATTGTAAATCTCTTAACCAATCTCATTAACTCACTTGTTTTACCAGAAAACTAACATTTATTTATTCATTTACCATTGGACCATATATTACTGAAATTGTACCTGTATACATCTTGATTTTCAATTTAATTAATGCTCATATAAAATATTTCATCTTATTAAAATATAATTACCGCTATCTTTGACAAATTAAAATATAACCAAAAAACTAAACAATTATAAATTTTAAGATTAAACCACTTATTTAATATTTCTATTTTCCTTTCCACAATTATAATTTAAATATATATAATAAATTAAATATCAATTTATTATTCTCACAATTATTAATACAATCCCAATAATTTATGTTCTCTTAATTTTATCATCTACTGCTTCATTTAAATTAACTTTACATTTTATTTTTGATCTATTTGCTTTTTCTAAAATATTTCTTAGATTCAAACATATAAATTAATAATAAATAAATGATTTTAATAATTTTTCATCACATTAGTTTTAATAATGATTCTTAAACAAGTTGAACTTTTACTATTACCTTGGGAAAATTTAGGATGTTGTTATTAAAGGATTTCAAAATGCTCTACATATTATTAATTATTGTTTTTTGGATACGTAACTGCCAATACTCTTTCTCAAATTGTTTTATTTTGATATATTATAGCCTATTCAATATAAACATTTATATCTAATATATCAACAGATGTTATAAGATAGATTTCAACTTTTAATACTATTTCATAACTGATTCTGTAAATAAGTGATTAGAAAGCTAAATTAATTTGTCTTCTTATTATCAAATTCTAACACATCAATAAATGCTATTTTTGATTTGTAAATATATTATGCTTTGATGTTGTTTGGGCAATATTCTCATCCATAATTTATGAAAGTGAAAACGTTAAAGATGGTTTTAAATTTGATTCACTTTTAAGAAGTGGAAAAATAACGAAAATCTTAGTGCTTCTAATTTAATATAAAAATCAAGGGCAAAAGATGTCATTGCCACTTATGGATATATTTAAATTAAGTAAAATCTGGTTATCTTTGTATATATATAAAAATATTGGATTGGTTGAAAAAAGATTTCACTTAAAAAACCGAATTTTTAATAAATTATTATTAAATTTAAGAATACGGTTTATTAGAGGTTAAATTCTTTTTCAAAAAAATACTATACTATTTACAATTCTGAGAATTAGAATCGTATAAAAGAGAAAAACTTTGGGCTTTGAATTGAATTAGAGAGCAGCAGTTAATCAAAAATAAATTCATGATTCTAATTAAAAAAATGAAATTAATTTTAATATAAAATAAAATGAGCAATCAGTCACTACAAAAATAACAGTGCAATTAAAGAAAATTTATTTATTCATATGCAGTAGAATTTTTTAAACTTTTGTAATTGAGTATTATAGTAGCAATACAAAAGGGAGGGGAAACTTTGTTATTTTTGAGCTAAATATTTCGATTAGTTATAATGATATTTTAGATTTAATCCTATTCATTATAACCTGGTATACAATCTCAAAAATTAATAATATTGATATACACAGATTGAGATACATTTTATTCCATTATATTCTGTTTTTTTTTAATTTATGATTAATAACTTAATTGCCAAATGATTTAAATTTGATTATTAATAATTAATGGGAGTTTGTACTTCTTCATCATAAGCAAATAATTAGAAATAAAAAAAACTAAAAGCAGAAACAAAAGCGAATCAATAAATCTCCTTGGTTTATGATTAAAAGACGAATACAAAATAAAACCCAGAGTAAATTTAGAATTAAAAAACAATTACTTCTCAAAGGAAACTTTCTCCGAATTAAACCACTACTTCAAAGTAATAAATTTAAGCTAAAAATGGTACAATGATCATTAGAAGATCTTCTCATGCTACTACAATGACAACAAAGACAATGATTGTTTAGCCGTCTTAGGTGTAAGAATAATAAAAAACTGGATAATAATTAAATCCTCCTTTTAAAAGAAATAGTTTAAGATAAGGAACTAAGACTCAGTTAGTATCTGCTTCTAAAAACTATTCAATTGTATCGACTAAAAATCTTGGTATATAAGACTTTATATATTGAAGATAATCAAGGCAAAACGGTAATGCAGCATAATGAAACAGGCCAATTGGTATAAGTTGAGATTCTTAAATTTGACAATAAGAATCATTAATACATTGATAAATTAGGAGAAATACATATAGTAAGTAAATAAATAACATAGAATAATATGCACATTGTAAAAATAATCGACACTCTAGTAGATCATCAGAAAAGAACTTATTAAGTAATGTATGAATGTTGTCCAGGAGGAACATTAACAAAATATATGGAATGTAGTAAGTTAAATGATTAATAAATTGGGATTATATTTTATTAAATGGTAGAAGCATTAGAATATATTCATTCATTAGGATTAAGTCATGATGAATTAACAATTAATAGTTTTTCTGTTTTTGATGATTCTTCTACACCATATATAAAATTATCTGATATTAGAAGTATCTATCAGTTAATGTATTCTAAAGAGGCAGATTTATATTAAGATCCACATTCTCATTATAATCAACGTAAAAACAAAACTTAACATCATTCTAATAAACCTCATGATACAAATGAAATTGAAATCAAATATAGAAATAAATTTAATGATGTTTGGGCTTTAGCTATTATTATTCTCTAGTTAAGAAATAAAGAATTACCTTATTAAATATCAGAAATTGATTCATTTGATCCTCAAAAATATTTAAATAATAATCCTTCAGAGATGAATTCACTATTATTGTAAATGTTACAAGTTAATCGTTAAAATAGAATTACATTAAAATAATGTTTAGAACATCCATATCTTATTAAGATGTAATAGGTTTAACCTTAAGATTTCTTACAACCATTGAAAAATATGATAAAGTCTAAAAATATTACTTATTTTCATTAATGTGTGTTTTAATATCTTCTTGAAAACTATGCTAATGATCATTTAAAAGTTTTGACTAAATTATTTATAACAGCTGATACCAATAAAGATGGAACTTTAAGTTTAGAAGAACTGAAAGAATTATTTTCAATTGAAGGAAAGGATCTAATTGATCAATTAAACCTTTAAAAAGATCTTACTTTAGAAGAGTTCTTAATTTTGGCTTCTAATAAAGATATTATTCTAACTTAAGATATTTTAGAATCTAGTTTTAAGATTCTATCAAGATAATCAAATATAATTACACCAAAATCTCTTTATAAAGTATTAGAAGTTTATAATAAATAATAACTTCAAAAAGATTTTAAAACATTTAATTTAAATGAAATTGTAATAATATCATCTATATTTAGTTAACCTTAATTGAGTATAAAGAGTTCTTAATTAATTATGAAACTCCAACTCCAATAGTTTGATTAAAAAATAAAATTTAATTTCTTGTCATATTATTAAAATTATTATAAAAGAATTAGTTATGGCAGATTTTTTGAGGGCATCCTTTATAAGTAGTTCTTCAGGGACAGAAAGATAAACTCATTAAAATAAAATTGAGAATGGATTGTTCAGGAAAAAATTTAAGAAAAATAGCAATTAAATAAATAACAGTTAATTATAAAAATTTAGATCATTTCAGAATTATTCTTTATAAGATTCTTCAGATGAAAACTAATAATAATAAATTAAATCCGCAATAATAGAATCAGATACTGATTAAAATTTAACCTATTCAAAACAATCTCATATCCCTACATTATAAATAGATATTTAAAAAAATAGTAAATTGAAATAGTAAATCCACACAGAACCTATATAAATTTATAAATCTAAATCTCCATAGCATTAAATGTAATCAATTTAACTATTTACACTTTAATTTGATTTAAAGTACAGAACTATAAAATTACCAGTTTATCTTGATGATACATCTTTTTCTTTAACATATAAATTGTTATAGGAATTAAATGTATAAACAACAGCAGTTATAATATCAAAGACTTCAGATATTATATAATAAACAATAGAAATGTATATGACAAGATTGTATGATTGGATTAATTATAATCGATTAGGTAAAATAGATAGTGCTTTATGGAAAGCATAAGTTTATAAGAATAATGGTTTTTTACAAGATTTAGAAGATGAAATGTAAGTAGATTTATTATCAGAATATTAATTAGTTGATAAAAATGTTACAATAGGAAAGATTAAATTATATTAATCTGGTTAATATATAAAGGATATTGCAGTTTATAGAAATCAAGACCCTTAGGAATGTATTAGAAACTTTTTTTATTCTACTGGATTACATTATGATGAATAGAAATTTAATCGATTAGTTAATGAAGTTATATAGATTTAATTATTAAGTGGTGAAAGCATTGATGAAAAATATACAAAAGATGAAATTGTAACTAATGTTAAAGTGAGTCATGATAAAATAGTAAAAGTTAATGCTAAAAGAGTTTGTAACAATAAAATATATATTATTTTAGAATTAGAATATAGAAAAAATGATGATTAAATTAAGTGTTAATAATAAACTAACACCATAATAGACTATGAAAGTGAAAGATTAGATATAAAAAAGTTTTTATATTTGATTGTGTAAACTATACTCAATATTATCATCAAATCAGTTTATTTGGATACTCATTTTTTTTAAATTAAAATACAGTTTTTTCTGTTTCCTTTTCTTTTAACTTTGAATTCATCAATAAGCTTTTCTCTCTTCTTAATTCCATTCTCTGAATAAATTACCAAGACTGAAGGGTGAAAGTCAACTTTCTTGGAGCTTTCTAGAGAAATAGTTCTATTTTTAAGAGGAGTAATTTAATCTCCTTATTCTGTTATAGATGGAACAATTTTAGTCAATTTTATTGAAGGTCTCATGCTTAATTTTCTTTATATTGTTGGCTAATTAGAAGAAATATTTCCAGACAATTTTAAGTTTAAAAGATCTTAAATAGTATGTTATCTATGTAATTAATTCTTTGGTTCACTTTGAATTGTTAAGGAAGGACGATATCTTCTTTGTTAGAAAGAAAACTTTTAGTTGTTTTCCAAAGAATTTAACAAATTTAGCATTTTTATTAATGATATAATCAAATAATTTTCATCAATTTTCATTTTAAACTACCACGAGTTAATTCATTATTGTTTCATATTATTTTTATAATAATGGAATACAATAATTCTATATTAAAGTATTAAATATTACCTCATAATATAATTCATGCTTCATAAATTCTATTATTAATTCTTCCTCTGAAATGTTTAAAACTTTTTATAAAGATTTAACTGTAATTTCTTAATTTTTGTTAGATAATTTTTTAAAACTATGATCAAGATTATGATGTGTTATGTATATAGATTTATTTGATATCATCAAAATGAAATCTTACAATCCTATTTCAATTTAATTATCAATTAAATTCTATATGATTTTTATATTTCTTTATTATCCTTATGATTATTTAAGTCTTCTTAAAAAGTCTCCTAATTCTTAAACATTTAATTTTCCATCTTTATCTTAATCTAAAATATCAAATATACGATTTCCTACTTGATAATGAGAATTTTCATAATTATTTATAAGATATGTCATAAACCATTTTAATAAATTATCAGATAAACTATAAATAAAGTTATGTTTGAAAAAACAATTAAGATTGTGAGTTTTATGAATTTAAATGAATTTGTGCTTTTTACATTCCTCAACAGTAATTCTTTAACTTTTATCTGGATGAAGCATTTTAAAAATTAGATTTTAAAATTCTTCAGATATTTCATTTGTTATATCTTGATTAGTTGTCCATTTTAATATTGCTTATTTTACTTCTTAAACAGTTGATAAAGTTGAATCTCCTTCATAAATTAAATTTCTTGTAATAATTTAATAAGCAATAATTCCTAATGACCAAATATCATTAGATTTATTAGGATGATTAGATCTAAAAGATTCAGGACATGCATATTTAATAACTTCAAGTTAAACCTCTCTTGAAGGTTTGAATATACTTTTTAAATCAGTCAACTTTATCAAATAATTTTACAAATCATAATAAAAAGAAAAGCTATCTATTGTTAGTTAATTATGAGTTAAATTATTTTAATGCAGAAAATTAATGATTTCAAACATTTAATCAAGAATATTGCATACTACCTATTCAGACAATTTGTGATTTAACAATCTCTGATAATGGACCTCCTGTACAATATTCACTTACTATTTAGAAATTCTTTCCCTAAATAAATATTTCGTAAATCTTTCCTATATGGTAAAATTCCTTTTAAAATCATAATTAACTAATTACCAAATTGGTTTTCTATAACCAATCAATATAATCCTTTCCTTCTTAATCATATGGTAATTATTACATAATAACTAATTTTCCAAGGTTGTTATGTTGCATTATTCGATTCATTGAATTGTTGTCAATCTTAACCATTCCCTTATAAACTGAGTATTCTTTTGAAGCTATTCCCTCAATTACTTTGATTTTTAATTAAGGAGTACCCTAAGCCATTTTTTTATTATTTTCTAAATACATATATATTGTAAACTCTACTTGATTGTCCTTCAGTTTAAATTTTATCAAGATTGTATTCAAAGTAACTCAGCGTCCCTGATTTTTTAAACTTTCTTTAGACGGTTTGGTTTAAATTAATTCTTTATTCATTTTACATACAAAAAAATTCTTATTGAGTTTTTTGAGCTTCTTATGTGTTTGCTAGTATTGAATTAAACGTATTTTTAGTATTATCCTTGTTCTAACTATTCTTAGTTGAACTACAAGCACCCATTAAATATTTAAATAATATAAATAAAAATTTAAAAGCTTGCTTTTAGCTTTTTAAATTGTAATTTTTTCAAAAATAATACGATTAACTATGTACTTAAATAATGATAATNATATTTCATTTGTTATATCTTGATTAGTTGTCCATTTTAATATTGCTTATTTTACTTCTTAAACAGTTGATAAAGTTGAATCTCCTTCATAAATTAAATTTCTTGTAATAATTTAATAAGCAATAATTCCTAATGACCAAATATCATTAGATTTATTAGGATGATTAGATCTAAAAGATTCAGGACATGCATATTTAATAACTTCAAGTTAAACCTCTCTTGAAGGTTTGAATATACTTTTTAAATCAGTCAACTTTATCAAATAATTTTACAAATCATAATAAAAAGAAAAGCTATCTATTGTTAGTTAATTATGAGTTAAATTATTTTAATGCAGAAAATTAATGATTTCAAACATTTAATCAAGAATATTGCATACTACCTATTCAGACAATTTGTGATTTAACAATCTCTGATAATGGACCTCCTGTACAATATTCACTTACTATTTAGAAATTCTTTCCCTAAATAAATATTTCGTAAATCTTTCCTATATGGTAAAATTCCTTTTAAAATCATAATTAACTAATTACCAAATTGGTTTTCTATAACCAATCAATATAATCCTTTCCTTCTTAATCATATGGTAATTATTACATAATAACTAATTTTCCAAGGTTGTTATGTTGCATTATTCGATTCATTGAATTGTTGTCAATCTTAACCATTCCCTTATAAACTGAGTATTCTTTTGAAGCTATTCCCTCAATTACTTTGATTTTTAATTAAGGAGTACCCTAAGCCATTTTTTTATTATTTTCTAAATACATATATATTGTAAACTCTACTTGATTGTCCTTCAGTTTAAATTTTATCAAGATTGTATTCAAAGTAACTCAGCGTCCCTGATTTTTTAAACTTTCTTTAGACGGTTTGGTTTAAATTAATTCTTTATTCATTTTACATACAAAAAAATTCTTATTGAGTTTTTTGAGCTTCTTATGTGTTTGCTAGTATTGAATTAAACGTATTTTTAGTATTATCCTTGTTCTAACTATTCTTAGTTGAACTACAAGCACCCATTAAATATTTAAATAATATAAATAAAAATTTAAAAGCTTGCTTTTAGCTTTTTAAATTGTAATTTTTTCAAAAATAATACGATTAACTATGTACTTAAATAATGATAATAAAAAACGATTTATGTTTTTAATCATATTAATAATTTATATGAATTACTTGAAAATTAATTATTAAGTAATAGTAATTCTAGAGTAAAAATTGTTGGTCTTCAAGTTCAATTAAGGTAAAATTCGAAATAAAAACAAATTTCCACTTCTACATACCTCAGTTTAAATTTTTTTAAGATATCCTAATTAGAATTATTATTTCAATTGTATAAATTGATTATGCATAGCTTTTTTTTAACTTTTAGAGATACTAATGTAGAAGAATCCTATCAAATGAAAAACCAACATTCAAAGAGATTAAATACTTTTCTATTCATAAGTAGTGGATTTATATTAGCATTTTTGATAAAAGTTATACAATCTATTTCCCAAGATAATATGTATGCTTTCTATCTCAATATTATAATTCTTTCATATCTATGTCTATAATTAGCAATATTTTGGAAAAAAAATAAATATCTTCGCCTAGGCATAATAATACTTAATCATTTGATGACGATTTACTTTATTGTTTTTGAAGATAGAACAGGAGTTGATAATTAAATGGCCATGCTATAAGGGGTGAACTAGATGGCAGCATGTTATTTACTTATTTTAACAGGAGAATACATTGATGGAATGCTAACAATCATTTCACTATAAATATTTAGAATTAGTTGGGTTTTAATTAAGACTGAAAGAATTTAATATTCAGCTCCTATTACATCTATGATCTTAATACTTTCCATAAATTATTTCAATTTTTAATATAATAAAGCAAAACGTTCATAATATTTACTTTCTTTGGCAGATTGTAGATGGGAGGAAATTCTATAAAAGCTGTAAATTTAGTAATCTTACTTAATTTTATAATTTTAAGAAGATACTTTACGTTATACAATCAAAAATTTTAGGAATTGTGAAAAAATGTTTAAAACTTAGGAGGAAGCATAAACTTTTCTTAGAATAGCTTCTCATCATAATAATTTATTACAAAATGTAATTCACAAAAATATGAATGAATTTAAAAAGACTACTCATGGAAGTTTTAATGAAACAATTTTAATAAATTTTAAAAAATAAACAATCCGTACTGAGATTTCTATATACAAAGGTGATTAACCTACAATACTTTTGATATTTAGAAATTTTTTTATTGAAAACAAAATAAATCCAGTATCAATTCAAAAATAATTTGGGCATGCAATAAAATTGATAGTAAAAATACTAGAAAAAATACGTGGAGCTCAATTCTTTGAGATTTAATATTTGATGATTTAAAGAAAATTGATTTTGGTACATTTAATGATAAATGTACAAAATAAGATAAAGATAAAGACAATATTTCTAAATGATTTTATAAATCATGCAATATAACTCTATTCAGATTTAAAGATAAGATTATATTATAATTGTAATTCGAAAATAGAAACAATAATTAGTATTTTATAAATATTAATAATTTTGATTTTTGAGAACAGACAAAGTGACTTTTTAAGTATAACAACATTAATGACATCAACTGAAAATGTTCAATGTATATTTCATGGTAGATTTAATTTAGAGAAATTGGAAAGGTTTTAAAAAGTGTATGAGTTACCTTGGTTATTGATATTTGAATCTTTACATTTTGATGAATATGGTAATGTATTTAATAAATGTAGTTCTCACATTAACATTTAATAAAAATATTGGAATTCCTTTTAGTGCTTGATTAAAATTACTATAATAATATATATTTATTTTATATATATATATTTTTTATATATATATTTTTAATAGATTTTGATGATATGAAACTCAAACTCATCATTTATAGTTTTCCGTCATATTTATATTAATTTAATTCAATTTTTTTTTGCATTCTTCTATTCTTTAATTCTCCCTTTATTTAGCATTAGAAATAGCACTTTAAATTTAATCAGATGATGCAAATTTTGGCTATATGGATGGATGGAAGGTTGTAACTGGCCCATAAATTGGTTTAGATGTTCCACTAATAGTGTGAACATATGGTGGAAAAATAGGAGTAGGCATTTTGCTGGCCATATTTATGTAATAAATTTTAATTATTTATTGTAATTTCAAATATCAAAAACATCCTTTTAAGGTATTTTTTTGTCTGAAATTCTACAGAATGGACAACAACGTTTTTAAACATATTCAAATTCATGTTCATCAACATAGAAAAATCTTCCACAATCTTAACAAACATGAATAGGTTATTCTCCATTCATATTTTTATAATATTTGACATCAATAGTATTACAATATTATCTATAATCTACAATAAGAACTTCTTCAGGGGAGAGAGATTGAACAGCAGCTTCATCTAATTCTACAACTAAATATTAATCTTATGAGGTTTGCTATTATTAAATAATTTCATTAATTTTATCTTGAAATAATTATCCTGGTCTTTTATTAATGAATACTTTTTCTGAATTGAGTAATCTTTCAACATCTTCTCTAGATAATGAATTATCAACTTTGAATTCTACAAGTTGTAGAGCAGAAAAACTGATGAAAGAAGAAAAGAGAGGATGTAAACAAGCATTACAGACTGATAATTTATCAGTATTATTGATGATAAGATTGTAAGTTTGACATCTCATACATAGAGGTAATTTTGATTCATCATCAGTATAAGGTTTGGATCTAACTAATAATGATTATAGATCAATTTCTTCACTCCATTCAGCAGGAATTTTAAATTACTAAAATAATATTAAAATTAATTATTACATTTAATTTTTCATAGCAAATACGAGCAGTTTTATAACACATAAGTTAAGAAGCACATTTAGCTAAAGCATAATACACATAACTCATTTTAATTCCTTAATAAACACTTTTCCATTTAGATATAATAAATCTAGCAGAATTCATAATTTATAAAAAGTATGATTCTCCTGAAAGCGGTTGAAATGGTTCACAAATAAAACTATGTATTTTTTGATAAGCATAATAAACATCAGCAAGATCACTATAATCTTTATATTAATTAATTGCTTTGACATCATCTCCTGAAGGATTTTAATAATCTTAAATTTAAGATAAACAATCAATAGCTAAATTCCATAAATATTAACTAGCATCATGATATCGTTATTCTTCTATGCAATTTTTAGCCATATCTTTTGTCATTTTCATAGTAATATCAAATCTACCTGCACTTTTATAGGCTTTAAGAGCATCTTCATAACGATCATTAAGTAATAAATAATCAGCATAAGGAACTTTAGCAATTTCTAATAATTCTTTATTAGATCTTCCAATTTAAAATGCTTCTTACCATTTTTAAAATTCAACATGTAATATCATAAGATTTTTTAAATCATTTAATTTTAAATAAGCTTCTTTAGCTCCTCCATGATGTTTAAGTTTTTTGAAATAATTAGCACACAAAATAATATTCTCTGAATTCTCCTATCTATCAAGCATTCTACAAACATTAATTAATCCTTCTAAATATTTATTTGATCCATATAATTCAATAGCTTTTTTATATTCTGCACAAGTAACAAATAAATCAGCAGCAGCTTTCCAATCTCCAGATTCCTTAGTCCATTCTGCTTATTCTCTTAATAACATATTCATTTCTATTTTAGGAGGTGCAATATCTTATGGTTATGGCATTACAGCTTAACCTCTTCCTGTTCCTGTTCTACCTTATGAAGTAGGTGCTCTTACTCCAGTACCTGTTCTACCTCCTGATGTCACTGCTCTATAAGCAACATCTCCTTTCTTTGCAAAATCTATTTCTATTTAATTATTTACTTATAGCATCATCCCATCTTCTAAGCTCTTTAAATAATTAAACTGCTCTATCTGCTTAACCAACCTTTATTAATAAATTACCTGCATCCATAAATCTACCTTAATATGCTAATGCTTCTGCATTTAATTCATTCAATGTCTAAGCATCTAAATTCTTCTTCTCATATTTCATCAATAAATCTATGAATTAATAATCTTTATTTCTTAAAAAACACTATTAATTATCATAAACTTCTTTACCCTTCTTGCTATCTCAAATTCACCTGCTATTAAAGCTTCTATTCCCAAAGCTCTTATATCCTATTCTGTTACACCTAAACAAGCTATTTTCAAAGCATTCTAAAAATCTTTCTTTTCTAAATATCTTTACATATTTGCTGTCTGTTGAATATCTATTGTCTACACCTTATCACCATTTTGTAAAAATAATTTACATCCCTTAAATCCTATTACATTACCAGTAATCTTTTAATTTAAAGCAGGAAAAGCTATACATTTAAAAAATAACAATCCTTTTCCAGAATATGCTATCAAATCTTCAAATTCTTAATTAAATGCAACACCTTCAACACTCATCTCCCCAAATAATATTTCCTTACTTATTGTATCCAATACTTATAAATTTTAATTTCCATCTATTAATGCTAACTTACGTTTTGTTTAAGACATAGTCAAATGTTTAATTGTTGTATTAACTTTGTGAATTTAAATAGGGAATGAATTATCCAAATATATTTTATAAATTCCTCCATTTTCTAAACCAACTAAAATAAGTTCTCTTTTAGGTGGTCCTCCCTAACATGACACTACTGTAATAACAGATTCAAAACTCCATGTTTTATCCATATCTCCATTAAAATTGAAAGCTATTAATTTTTAGCCTGCTCCAATCAAGACGTTAGATGATGCTAATTGAAAATGTTCACAATCTACTCTTTTTTGAAATTTTTTGAATTATTTATATTTCATGAAATCATCACCTTTAATTACACAAGTATAAATAAGTACTTTAATACCACACAAGATAGCAACTTTTTCTTTGAATATAGCAACTCTTTTAACTAACTCTTTACATTTAATTCTAGCTTTTTAATTTGATATCATTGATAATATAATTGCATCTGTTAATTATTCTCTTTATAGATATCTGTCATCATACAATGCACTCACATTATCTGATACAAATTCTGAGACTACAATCTAACCATCATTAGTTCCACATGCAATCATAGTTGATTTAGGTTTAATTCTTGTACACCAAATCCAATCATTTAGTGAACATGCTTCCATTAGAAATCCACCTTCTCGTGTATAAAGATTTATTTTATTATTATTTCCTGCTATTGCCATATATTCACCATTATATTAATAATTAATCTACAATGGATCAAATGGTAATTCAATTCTAGATCCTATTTATTATCCATTGCAATCAAATTAATATAATGAATTCATCCATACTCCAATTGTTAATTGAGATTACTAATACTCTGATGTTATTGGTGTCCATTCCATACACCAAACTGGTCCTCCTTTCTAAGTTTAAATCTCTTTCAATTAATGTGCCTATCTATCCGTAATCACAATCAATCCTAATCTCAAAATAACTCATTTATACCATTAATTGTTCCAAATGATACATACTAACCATCTGCACTCCATGCTGCACATATTATTTTCTCCTTAAACTTTTATCTATCAATATTGCTCATTCCTGGAATCCATAAAGAGTATTCTTAATTTGAACCTGTGAATATTTAATACATCAATGGACTTATTGCAACACATTATATTGCTTCACTGTGTTAAAAATATTTCTCTGCATCCAACATCTTCTCACCTCTTCCCATATTAAATCCCCATACAATTACTGTCTTATCTGCACTTCCTGATACCATTTTATTTCCATCCTTAGATGCAGCCAAACATGTAATTGTATCTTTGTGTTGTCCTCTTAATGGTTGTCTTAACATCTCTGATTTTTATGTATCAAATAAAAGTAAAGCATTCCCTACTGCTGCTACCACAACATCTCCATCTAATCAAATATAAAATCAAATTTACCTTTTAAAAATGCACAAGCAAATACTTGATTTGTTAGATTTTAATTTGCATCTGTTGGCTTATCTATTGTGTAAGTCCATACTTCTTTCGTTTTCATTTTATTATATATATATTATTATTATCTATTTTATATTTATGTTTCCCATCTAATCAAGAAACTATTAATATACTAATAACAATCATTATTCATAATTAATATATTTCTATATCATACAATTTTGTTTCAATATTCTAATTACTATTTTGAATTTAAATTCTTCATTGTATTTCAACACATTCGATAACCTTTAAGGTACAATTTTTTAATTAATCAACTGCATAACTACTAAAATTAAGAGCATCTTTCCATATTTCCTTATTCTTAAATATTATTTGAAATTCAAATATAATTCAAATATTCACTAAAAGAAATAAAAAATACTTAATAAAAACTAGGTTTTTGAATTATAAGAGCTACTATAAGGATGACATTATTATATATATAATTTATTAAATATATTTTAGCTAAGATTTCTTATCTGAATAAATATAGGATTAATTTAGAGAATATAAAGTGAGATAAGTAGTTTATATTTAAAATTATCAGATAAAACGAAAAACAGAAACTTTTGATTAAAAATTGTAAAATACTTAAAATTATAATATAAATGAAGTATAAGAAATAATAGATCTTAGATTAATAATAATATCAATCAATTATGAGCTACTCTATATTAAACAAAATTGTGGATTATATTTATAATAATATATAATCTTAATATCTAAAATAAGAAAAATATTGCTGAAACAGTAAATCAAATATTAAGGATAGTATTTTAATATTGTTTAATTCTCTGAAGTGAATAATCTATTTTGATAAATAAGAAATATTGGATTTTCTTGATGAATGGATTAATATATAAAAAAATGCAATATCAGATTCAATAAATTCGTTAACATTTCAGCTCCATCGATCGCAAATTCCACCCTGTCCCTGCATTTGTTGTGACTAGACCTTTATTTGTATGTCGATCCCTTTCTCCTTCCTTTTACAAATTACGATCTAAGACTCTTTATAATCCACTCACACATTCTTTTGTGAGAATTAATCCTACACCTTAAAGAGAAAATAAATTTACTTTTAGAGGCACAGATAATAAACAGTATTAAGAAACTCCAATAAAAGAATTAAATGAGATTAAATTAACCAAAGTACATTCAACACATGAAAAAATAATGAGTGAATCTTAAGAAAGGTTTTATTAGTAAAAGAGAAAATCAAATAGAAATAAAAATAGTCAAGAAAAGATAAGTCAATAAAATTAATCACCTTTGCAATTTAAAATGTTGGATATGACAAAAGTATTAGAAAAATAAGATAAATAATAACTATTTCCAAAGGCAAGTTCAAAACGTTATATGTAGACAGAAAATTAAGGAGATTAAACAGATAAAAGTGAAAATCTTTAATAGTATTATGAATAACCAATATCAAAAGGAGTTTTCAATTAGAGCCGATAAAAAAACCAATAGAAAATATTAGATAATAATGATAGTAATGATATTGATTAAGAAAAAAAAGATTTACATGATATGTCTTATCCAGAAGATACACAATACTAATAATAATAATAATAATCGAGATTAAAATTATGGGCTTGCAATCTAAATGATTCCTATAGATAAATTATGGGAAGAAAGAATAATCATAAAAAGAGTACTAAGAAAAGTCCAACTAAAACACCAAAATCACCAAAAAAATAACATATAATTTATTATAATCAGATCTATTTATATAAGCCAAGAGAAAATAATAAATAAAATAGCTCTAAATTGTCTTATAATTCTTCATAAAAATAGATTAGTCCTAAAAAATAAAGTAAATAAATTTCATATATTCTTACAACTCCTACTAAGAGAAATACAAGAGTAATATAATAATCAAATGAAGATGATGAAATTGAAATCATTAATTTAGCTCCAGAATTTTCTAAATTAATTTGAATAGCAATAAGATTTTACATATTTTTTATAATAAATTATAATTTTTTTTAGATCAAATCCTCATTTATTTTGTTGATACTTATATAAACAATTATTCAAATAATTCTCTTGCATTTTCAACCTTATATAGTATTGAATTTTATTACATTTTTATATCCTGGAAAATGATTAATATCAATAATGTAAAATTTCCAATTCATTCCAATGATATCAAATCCAAAAAGATGTAGTTTAAATTCTCTTGCTATTATTGATGACAATAATTCTATTTGTTTTAGTAATTAAACCTCATTTGAACACTCATGAATTCCTTCATCTACTTTTATAAGACATTCTGAAACATTTTTAAACAAATCTTTTTATGTATCAAAAATATAAAAACCCTAACGTAAATTAATATCTAAAATACTTCTTCAAACTTGAAATTGTTTACTTCAATATTAGGGATTGATTTACGTTTTTGTACTATCATTTTACTTCCTAATTGATATATTTTGTATATAATGCTGTTATGGTTTATTATTTACTACAAGATTAATTATCCTCTAATCTACAAATAATCTGATACTTAAATTATTCTTGCTTAAATAATCCTATAAGCCCTTTTTCATTTACTACTATTGCCATTATATGACAATTAGCTGTAAGTGCTCCTTATTTACTTTTTACAATTAATGGATATTTCAAATTAGATAAATCTTACGGTTAACCATTATTCTCAAAAACTATTTGCTAAGGAGTCATAATCTTTATGTTATGTTCCTTTACAACATTTTAGAATTCTGGGCTATCAAAAATAGATTATAATTTGATATTTAATTCATCTCTCTAAATTAACAATTTTAAACATTCTATTGAGTCAATTACAGGAATTTATTTATTCTCCTTAATAAATAAGTCATAATTTTATTAAAATAATTCAACTTCATTTTGTTTCATATTTATTTCCTTTCTTTTATAAATATCCATAAATCTATGAAACAATAAATCAATTTCTCTATATTTATTTTAAAATCGAAAATCAATAGGAAGATAATTAAAATTGCTATTTGTAATTAATGCTTCAAATTGAATTAATTCATTAAACTTTTTAGGATAAAAATAATAGCCTACACAAAATGGATTTTCAGACTTTGAAAAAAAAGACATTATCTATTAAATATGAGAAATATGAAATTTTGGTCTAGGATTTTTTTCATAATACTTAAGTTCTAACTTTTTTTTTTTTTCTAATTGTTAAGAGATGCTAGAAAAATAATATAACTGATATTTTTGATTAAGAGTGAATTATTCATAATTATGAGTTACCACAATAATTTCTTGATTTTAATATGATGTTTCTTTTAATTCTTGAATGGAGAGTTATTTAGAATCAATTCCTTTAAAATTCTTTTGAAATTCATTAAAAAAGAATTAATTCGTATTAGGTTTAGAGTGACAGAAAACAACTAATATTTGAAAATGTTATTGAAGTTTCTAGAAAGATTTTTACAGAACAGTATTATATTTGTATGTTGTTTTCTGCCTAAAGTCATATAGTGTATATCTGGAGTCAATAATTAATAGAGGACTTGAATTTTATTGCATTTTTATTTATTAATTAATTTATATAAATTATCTTGATACTTAATTAATCATATTATTTCAAGGGATCAAGAAATTATAATATTTTAAATAAATTCTAAGGATTAATTATATTTAAGTAAAATAGGTGAATTACAATAGAATAGTTCTAGCAAATGTAAAAGTGCATGAAAATTTTCAATATTGGAATGTACAATTACATAATTGCTAACTTGAGAAATTAACAAATTGGAAGCTGATTTTGTTAAATGATCTTTAATCATAAAATATGTTTTTGTGAAACAGTAAAAAATCTCTGCTGGTTTTTTGAGTTATTGCACTTAATTTAAACAAGAAATTTAATCAATAAATGGATGATTTTAATTTAGATATTTTTTAGGGATCTCAAAAAATTCAAGTTAAGTTTTAATATGTTTTATTTTTTAGATAAAATTATTATGACTATTTTTATGAATTGTATTAAGCAAATTGATTATTTGACTTGTTAAATCTTCATCATAAATCTAATGTAAAAGATTTAAAGTACATGTTATAGACATAAATTGAAATAATTTTATTTATCTTTGATGTATTTATTATATCTATCTTCATTTAGATCTTCTCCAAAATCTCCTAAATATTCATTCAGTGAAAAAATTAGCATATTTATAAATATATCTGAGGAAATCTAAAATTTTTATAGCTTTTATTTTAAATTATGAATATTATTTTAAGAAATTTTCATACTAATTAATTAATTAAGTGCCCATTCTTTAAATTAATTAATAAAGTGAATAAATGGATGCTTTGGATTCATAAAAGCATCATTAATACAAGAGAAAACCATATAGAATTATTAAACTTAAGGATTTTAATCTTCAATTTATAAACTATCTTAAATCTTAGATGATATAGATTAAGTATCATTAACTTTATCTAATATAATATAATATCTTGAAATTACATGAATTAGAATTAGTAGATATAGTAAGATCTGAATTTCCTATGCATAATTGTATATCTTGTCGAAGATATTCATTACTATTTCTATTGAAATCATAATAAATTGAAATGAATTTACAAAAATATCTAACTTTATTGTTATAGCTCATCATATTGATCATCTTTCAATTTTTCTATTACTATGAAATAAGAAATAATTATACGAATTAATTTTATTTTGCTTCTAAATTTGTTTTACTCTTTGTTAGAAAATCTCTATAAACACTTGAATAGAGAAGTAGCCCAATCTTCAGAAATGCGAGATAATTTTTCTTTGATTATAGATGTCCAATCATCCTAAGATAGGGTTTATTTATTACATTAACACCTAACCAAATTGTAGAAATTAACTTCTAATCATTTTTTTGTGCGTTGCCCATAATTATTTAATATTTTAATTAATATCATCATTTTTAGGTATGTACTTTACATTACATTAAAGATTAAGCACAATGCTAGCAAAAGAGCTCCAACATGTCTAAATCAATTGAATTTACTTTGGCATCACTATTCGATGAAATATTTCCTATTCCCTTTACATTGACAACTTAAATTGCCCCAATAATTTTATGATTTTGAGTTTTCAAAGGCATACAAATTATAGGCATATTTGTTTCAATATCTATTGTTGGATTGAATATAGGACTTGTATAACAATTACTTACAGCAATCAATTATTATTCATCAATACATTTACCTACTATTCCTAATAAATTCTATGTCTCAGTTATCTTGCCTTCTTTGTTTATATGATACAAGTAATTATCTAAATAGATTACTTTAGCAAGATCGACATTCATTAATGATCTAAGACGCTCTTCAGAAGAGAGCAATAATTCTAATAAACTATCTTGTTTTCCTTATAAAATGATTCCTGTTTTGATAATATGTCTTAATTTATTTTGGATTAACATTTAAGCATCATGATTTAAAGCATTTTTAAGAACACTTTTACTAAATTCAGCCATAATTTATAATAAGGCTTCATCATCTTTAGTAAAGAAACCATTAGCTTTATTGACACATTAAAGTACTCCCATACATTTATCACCATCTAAAATTGGAGAGACCAAAAGTGTTTTAGTTTTATAATTATTTTTTACATCTTATTATGTATTAAATCTTTAATCTCTATAAGCATCTTCAATATTTAAGATTGCATGATTCTAAGCTACAAATCCTGCTAATCCTTAACCAAATTACAATCTAATAGTTGTTGATGTTCCTTTAGCTACTCTAGTCCATAATTCTTTTTTAGCCTAATCTACAATAAAACATGAAGCTCTATCACATTCTAAACAATCAACACATTTATCTATTATATTTTATAATGCATCATCAAGTAATACTGATGTATTCATTTATAATGCTCCAGTTACAATCTTTTTCAATCTTAAAACCAAAATAAATAATTATTGATGATCTGACATTACTCTCTTAAATTTATCAAAAAGAAATGATAACTTTTATGCTGATATTGATTAGATAATCTCACCAAAGATCTCTTCAGAATCTAAGAGTACTTTCATTAATGATACTGTACCATCTTAATTATATTAAACTGTTGCGTCTTCATCAGCTATCATACATAAATCTAATATTACATAATTGAATATTTAAAATAGCATTAGTTCTAAAGCAATCTTCTTATTATAAAATATCATAAAAATTAGATGACCCAGATGTGTTCCTTTCACTTTTAAATGTGTCTCCTTCTTCTTAATGATATTTCATTAACGTAGGATTACGAAATGTTTATCTTCGAAATAATTTAATTGATTATGTATTATCTTCAGGTATTTTATTAACCTTTTTTTCTAAAGGCATAAGGCATTTATGATTCTTTATTTTTACATTTGATTTACTTCCTTGATTCCATTATCTCTCATCTCTTAAGATACTTAATTTAGCTTGATTAGCTTGCATTAAGTATTCATTAATATGAGTTAATCGATCAATTTCCTTTTATTGTAGTTTCACTAAGTTTTAAAGTTTTCGTATTTAATCTTCTTTATTGTCTACAATTGCTTCTAATTTTTCTATTTCTTTTTAGTAGCCCTTGAAATTGTCACTTAATTTCCTTGCTAAATCTTCTTAGCCATCAATTTCTTTGTTTTTTGGTGATGCCATTAATTAACTACGCTCTGTTTTTATTTTATATTTTTTGTTATTTTCAACTGCATTTGATTCTTATAATTTACTCATTTATTTATTAAACAAAATTAAGACTAATTGAATCACAAAAATTCACAAATTTAATCAATTTAATTACTCTTTCCAGTTATACAAAAACGTACTTTTGAAACTCTAATTTTGATGATAAAATATTCTATTTTTCTAATGATAATCAAACATTAAATATTTAGATAGAATATTTATCATAATTTATAAAATTATAATTCACTATTTAGAAGGTTTCTTTTGTATTCAACTTTAATACCTTTTTCTTCCCAAGTTTCATTCCATCTTTCTAAAACATAACCTAAAAATCTTTAAACATCTTCAATGCAAACTCTTGGTAAATAAAGACTTAAGAAACATGTTACTACAGAAAAAGCAAATGCTAAAATAAAGGTAAAAAAACAAGGCCAGTATTTTACAACTACATCATTAACTTCATTTATAAAGGCTTCAAAATCATCCTTTGTTATAAATGGTTCTAATTCTATTGGATAATCATTTGAATATGATTTTGACGGACCAATAAAATAATGCACTCCATTTGATTTAACTTTAGTTATTAAAATTAATGGGTTTTATTTTCTTCTTATATTCTCTATTTTAGCTAATTCAAATGCATTTGCTCTTGGATCAAATGGATATCTTGAATCTGTTTATAAATCACAAGTTTCGTAACTCATTATTAATTACAAAAATATAAATAATGAAAAAGCATCCTTCCTAAAATTTATTAGATTATTGTGTATTTTATAAAGACAAATAACTTCCAGCATTACATTAAACTGAAGCTGTTAAACGAGCTTTGATTATGGATTCACTAACAAACAATAACCATCCACTTAATTAGTTAATTGAAAAAAAACAAACATTTGTACCTTTTATCAATGAAAGAGACAGCATGGGTAGATTAATATCAAGTGAATCTTATCATAGAAAAAGAAAAAGTGATGCATCCAGTATCTTTAATTCTCCAAAAAGTAGTCACCACTTTCTAAGTAAGAACTCAATTTCAAATACAAGTAGTTTATATGAAAATTAACTACCTGCAACAAGGCTAAAATTAAAGAATCTTTTAGGAGGTACTCCTGAAAATACAGAATTAATTTAATCTACTTTATTAGCTAGTTAAAGCGAATTTAAATAATCATTTTAGTTTAATTCTAAACATAATCAAGTCTCTTTAAAAATGCATAGAAAGAATAATAGTTTATAAAATAAACTTCCAATATTTACTAAGGAATAAAAGATTCCAGAATTAAAATTGATCAAGTAACCAACAACACCATAAGCTACTCGATTTTATTAAAGTAATTTTGTTATTGAAATGTTTAATTAAAATAAGTATTAATCTTTAAAATAATAAAAGAATACCAGAATATAAAATGTAATATGTTATATTAATGGAAAGAATGAGTAAATTTTAAATTGAATTTTTGAAGAATCTAACTGCAAATGAAAGAAGAAGAACGTTTGTTAAGTTAGACAATAATCGAAGATTTAAATTGAGTTTATTGTTACTAATTTCTAAACCTCATACCTAGTATAGAATGTTATAATGATTTGTATATAATTTATATATGATAATAGTTTAATTGTTATTTATTGTAGCTTGTATTCACTTTGTTTTAGCCAAATATACAATATTTTTAGATACCAAACAAGTATAAGAAAGTTCCTTTTTAATTGATATCAACTCAACCCAACAAGAAACAAATAAAACATTGGAATTACAAAACTTTTATAATTATTAATATGTAGGACAAATCCGAGTGCTTTCAAAGGATTCAATATTAAAGTAAATATTAAACAATGAATAGCTTTAATGTTATTTTTGATACAGGTTCATCACAGATGTGGTTACCAAGTGTGAATTGTTAAAGATGTAATAAAAATAAAATTGGAATTGTTTGTGATTAACCAACATGTATACCATCAAAAGAATAAGCTTAAATTACATATCATATTGGTGCTTTAGTAGGATTCAAATGTTTAGGCATGTTCTCAATAAATGAACATTTCGATGAATCTCAATTTATTTTAGTTGATGAAGTAACTGGTATGGAAGGAGCAATATATGATGGAGTAGTAGGATTGTAATAACAATCAAATCATTCATTTATTGAATGGCCTATTAGTTTATATTATAATTTTGAAAACTCTAATCGTTAATCATCAATTACATTTGGAGGTTATGATGAAAGTTTATTCAATAAGGAAATTAGATTTGTTAAATCTGATGAGCAATGGATTATCACATCTTAATAAATAGATATTAATGGTATATTGGGAGTTGATTATTATGCGATGATTGATTCTGGAAGTTCTTTACTGATCTTTCCTAAAAATATTTTAATCAATTTACAAAATGTTTTTAAAAACTGTGTCTGGACAGAAATCATTAAATGCTCTTGTCCAACAAATGATATATTATAATACCCAACAATTAAAATACTTTTGGATAATTAAGAATTTTCATTAGAACCATAATTCTATATTCATACAAATAATCATGAACCTATTTGTTATATATTAATATCTAATATTAGATCACATAATGATTAGTTAATGATATTAGGTAGTCCATTTATGAGAAAATATTATACTATATTTGATAAATAAAATAGTTAAATTGGTTTAGTAGAATCTTTACAATTTTAAGATTCAAATTCAAAGAATCTTTTAAAGAACTTTTTTACTTTAATTGGATGCACAATTATTGCAATAGGAATTATTAAGATTGTCAATTATATTATGGAATATGAATTAAGAAAATATAATAATTAGAAATCATTAATGGTATGAAGTAAAATGTATGAGATTTGCTATTATTATTAATTTCTAAAATAATCTTCTTAAGATATTAAATAGCATATAAATAAATAATAATAAATACAAAAATTAAAAAAATCAACAACAACTATTTTTTTCATTTTTCTCTTTTTCATTTTATTTTCCATTTAATGTTATATTATAATAAGGAGATAGGTTATTTTAAGATTTACTTTTTTTTTTGGCTTTTCCATTAAAATTAACCTTAATTCCTAACATCTATTTTAATTAAACTATTTATACTTGATCATCTAAATTAATTTATTTTGTTTCGATTTTTCTTAAAATTTTATTAGCTACACTTTCAAAGACAACATCAACATTTTTACCTGTTTTAGCTGAAGTCTCATAAAAATCTAATTTTTCTTATTATGCATATTCTTCAACTTCTTGAATTGTTACATCTTTTTACTATAAATCTGATTTATTGCCAACGAGTACTAATTCAATTTTATCACAAGAAAAAGTCTTAATTTCTTTTAACCATTTCTTTATATCTTCAAATGTTGATCTTCTACTAAAATCAAACACTAATAATCCTCCAATAGCACCTCTATAATAAGATCTTGTAATTGATTTGAATGAATCTTAACCTGCCTATATAAATATGAATAATATTTTTACAGTGTCCCAAATCTATAGCTTTATCAATTAATCATATAATTTTATTGTTTTATAGCCAAACTCTACTCCAACAGTGCTTTCTGTATGATCACAAAATTTATTTTCTGTAAATTGTAACAATAAACAAGATTTTCCAACATCTTTCATAGTAAATATTCATTCATTTACTTGTATCACCAACTACGATGTACTTAAACATATAATTATAATCATTGCTCATTTATTTAAATTAAATAACAACTAAAAATTTCTAATTTTACTTTAAATATAATTTATATATATAGAATCTATGGATTATATTTCTAATTATCCTATAAACAACATATTTAATCAAAACCATTCTAAGTAATTTAATTCATCTTCTATTTTTTAAATTCTTCTCTCTTAAGCCTATATCTATTTTATGAAGGAATTTATCTTAATTCACTTTTTAATTGCATTTTTTTAAATTTCACTAATTCTCTTCATTTGTTTAAATAATTATAATTATTAATGTATTTCTAATCATTACTAGGTTATTATTATTATTATTAAAATCAATTTTAAGTAATAGATGATTACTAAATTAATGTAGGATAAGTCAAAGATTACATTGGAAATGATTTTAATTAATATATTTCTCTTTATAGTTAGTAAAGGATTTTTAAAGATTGTATTAGTCTAGTTTATTATTCCAAATAATTTGATTTGTCATATTGATACTTTTAATCTGATTTCAAGTTTATTTTTTTATTGTTAAATTACAACTAATTATTTTCTATAGATATATATTAAATTCATAATTACTTAATTTAAAGTGATTCCATTACTATAATAGGATTAGAAATCTAATTAAAAATCACTTTCAATTCTTTAACTCATCTAAAGTTTTTTTAATGCTGAGTTTATAAATTTAAAATATTCGAATTTTCTTATTATTGTGGCATTTATTATTGAATATGTTATTTCTCAATAATTTAAATTTACTAGCTTAACTAAGCATTTTCTTGATTTTTTTTCTATAAAATTGATTATTTTGGTACTTAAAGTTCGGAATCTTTTTCAATGATAATATTTTTAAAATTATTAATGGTTTAATCTTAAAATGCTACAATCTANACCTGCCTATATAAATATGAATAATATTTTTACAGTGTCCCAAATCTATAGCTTTATCAATTAATCATATAATTTTATTGTTTTATAGCCAAACTCTACTCCAACAGTGCTTTCTGTATGATCACAAAATTTATTTTCTGTAAATTGTAACAATAAACAAGATTTTCCAACATCTTTCATAGTAAATATTCATTCATTTACTTGTATCACCAACTACGATGTACTTAAACATATAATTATAATCATTGCTCATTTATTTAAATTAAATAACAACTAAAAATTTCTAATTTTACTTTAAATATAATTTATATATATAGAATCTATGGATTATATTTCTAATTATCCTATAAACAACATATTTAATCAAAACCATTCTAAGTAATTTAATTCATCTTCTATTTTTTAAATTCTTCTCTCTTAAGCCTATATCTATTTTATGAAGGAATTTATCTTAATTCACTTTTTAATTGCATTTTTTTAAATTTCACTAATTCTCTTCATTTGTTTAAATAATTATAATTATTAATGTATTTCTAATCATTACTAGGTTATTATTATTATTATTAAAATCAATTTTAAGTAATAGATGATTACTAAATTAATGTAGGATAAGTCAAAGATTACATTGGAAATGATTTTAATTAATATATTTCTCTTTATAGTTAGTAAAGGATTTTTAAAGATTGTATTAGTCTAGTTTATTATTCCAAATAATTTGATTTGTCATATTGATACTTTTAATCTGATTTCAAGTTTATTTTTTTATTGTTAAATTACAACTAATTATTTTCTATAGATATATATTAAATTCATAATTACTTAATTTAAAGTGATTCCATTACTATAATAGGATTAGAAATCTAATTAAAAATCACTTTCAATTCTTTAACTCATCTAAAGTTTTTTTAATGCTGAGTTTATAAATTTAAAATATTCGAATTTTCTTATTATTGTGGCATTTATTATTGAATATGTTATTTCTCAATAATTTAAATTTACTAGCTTAACTAAGCATTTTCTTGATTTTTTTTCTATAAAATTGATTATTTTGGTACTTAAAGTTCGGAATCTTTTTCAATGATAATATTTTTAAAATTATTAATGGTTTAATCTTAAAATGCTACAATCTACAGTTGTAATGTATAATGGGGATGATCTAATTGATTATTATTTTAAGGTATGTTATAGTGAATAAGTTTATTATTTTTCTTATCACTCATTATCTACAATATTATTGGCCAATTCAATAATAAATAAGATTATAATCTATACAAATATTTGCCGCTTTTAGTTAATATTTAAATTATATCATCAAGAAAAGTTTTATGGCAAAAGGAAAATAAACAAAATAAGAACAAGTAAAACAAGTTGAAGTTGTTGATAAGAAAATAAAAAAGGGGAAAAAAACAAAAGTAATTGATGAACCAGTTGAATAACCAGCTTCACCACCATAATCACCTGTTAAAAAAGGAAAAAAATAATAATAAGAAAAAAAACCAAAGGCTACAAAAGAAAGATTTAGTAATAATTAATTTGAATTTAGATAAACTTTATTATCCTGAAGTTCCTAATGAATAATTTCCAAATTAATTACAACGAAATGTAATCAATGTGATTAGTTCATTTGGAACATCTGCACCATTAAAAGATATTACAAATAATCTTAGTTTATTTTACACAAATTCTGTTAATGAATAAGTAGTTCATAATTTTTTGGCTTAAGCTGAAGAAAGTGGAATAATTTATGAAAGATCTGGTCAATATCATGTTTCTTAAGAATTAATTCCATCAAAAGTAGTAATATGATTTATATAATTAGCCTTAACCAAAATAAGTTGTATCTCAAAGTGTTGAATAAGAAGTTTAACCATAATAAGGAATTGAATCTGCTGTTAAATAATAATTAGATAACGACTAAATTGATTTTGAAGATTAAAATTAAAACTTAGTTAGTGAGAAAAAAGATGGTATATATATTCTTAATCAAAGAAGCTCTTAATGATAATGATGAGAATCAAATTATGTTTGAATGACGATTATTAAAAATTAATAATGTTTTTAAATTAACATATCACTTTAATATTCTATCATTTTTTTTTTCATCTTTATTTTATTATTTTAAGATAATATTCTTTTTGTTTTTCATTTTCATTTATTTCTAACAAAGCTGCTGATTAATTAGCATAAAATTCTATTGGATAAACTGTATCCAATCTTAAAAATTACTTAATAAAACTATGCAATCTAAATTAATTAATTTTTTTATACCTCAATAATTCAATAGAATTTTATTCTATTGGTTATTTAAACCATTCTTCTGAATAAAACAATCCAAAATAATATTGATAGATATCAAAGTCTACTTAATTAGGCTATTCTATTTATTGCTTTAACTTATAAAATTTATTATAATGAGGTAGATTTTCATTAAAGTCTATTTAAATTTTTTCCCAATCCTCTTTGAATTTCTAAATATATAATGATTTGTACCTCTTTCCATTTCAATAAAATATTCATTCTTTTTTCTAAATCTTCCCTAAGAATCTTTATTTATCTGGTGTGTTAATTTTTGAATTGTTAAATTTATTCTTTGTATTCATTTTCTGTTTCGAATATTTTATAAAACTAATTAGTCATTTTAACATAATCATTTTCCGAAGCTATAAAATTAAACCCCTATTTTAATTAATAGTAACCATAATGAACAGCACAAACTTTCAACACTCTTATATATAATTAGTTTTGTTTATCATCTAACCATTTATTCTTTGATCCCTAATGAAGCCAATTCATAAGACCATTCACCAATTTATCTCTACTTAAAATTATTGACAATAAATTTTCTGCACTAAATCCAGCTTATTGAATATCTACAAGGTTTATTTCATCTCTATTCATTATTTATATAAAAATTATTAATTAAAAAACAAAGCTATTAAAATACAATTTCTATCAATTTTCTCATACAAAAACTCTTAAATATATTTATTTTTCAAGTTTCTCTTTATTTGTTTCTATTTATATCATTTTATTTATATCTACTTTGTCATAATTTTAAAATGGATACTCCTTGTCTAAATTTAAAAATCTATCTATTTATACTAATAATCTTAATTAATTATTTAATTACTGTAAATATTTTAGTTCCTATATTTTAGTTTTATCATAAATAAACAATTTTCTAATATGTTGACTCCAAAAAAAATGAAACCATCTCCCATAAATCTCAATATCAGCTTTATTTTCTGAAGCAATTAATTTATAAAAATTATCAATATTCTTAGGATAATTAAATTTATTCTTTAATTTAATCAAATCATCTTCTGCCCGAGTAAATATATTTTTTGTTTCAACGAAAAAGTTCAGAACAAATTTTTTAACCTATTTTATAATCTAATTATTTGAATAATAAAATAGTTAGGCTACATTTTCTAATTAATCTTTAAAAATAGTTTAAAATACTGAATTAATTTTAATACATTTATCGTTAAAACAAATGGCAAAAGCATTTTAAAGAATCTTAAAACGATATCCAATTAAACATGTCTATATTAATTAAAATTAATAGTTATCAAAATTAGAAAACTATTTTTTTCTATTTTAAATGATATTTTATTTACAATATTTCTTAGAATAATTGTTCTAAATTGTATACAAGATATGCTTTATTTATAATCATATGAATTATTAGTAATACCTTTTACTAAAGTTCATCCTTTTAATCCATCTTTTATATTAATCCCTATAACTCAAGAAATTTTTTTTCATTAAAACATTGTTCTTGTCCTTTATGTATAGATAAAAGTAAATTATCCTATTCACTTATTTACTTTAATTCTATTTTAGGTGCAATATTAAAAGTCACTAAAATAAATTTGAATTATACTTATTTCCGATTTTAGTAATTCTTCCCAACTAGGTCTTCTTTCTTCTTTTAAACTTAACATTTAATTAATTAATTTTTAAATGAATTGTTTCTATTAAGAAGGACTATTTTATAATAAATCAGGACAAACAAATGGTTTAATTTTTAAAGATTTCTAAAATGAATAACGTTCCAATTTATTTAGTCCTTCTTAAGGTATTTCAAGGAATGCTAATTCATGCAAAATTATTCCCAACTAAAATACTTTCAATTTATACAGAGAATATATCGCATTTAGAAGAGAATGGTTCTCCATTAACTATTTATGGAGCCATATATATTGGAGTTCCAACCCTTGTCTAAAATTATTTTATACTGATATCATCTAAGATTCTTCCCATTCCAAAATCAGTTAACTATCATTTATAAATAAATAACAAAATACTTTTAAAATAATTCTTTGGTTTGCATCAAATTCAACTAAAATATTTGCTGGTTTTAAGTCTCTATGAATAATTGAATTTTAAATTAATGATTTATATCCTAATAATATTTATCTAATCATATCCATAATTTCAACTATAGAAAAGTATTTTTTCTACAAGAAATAATTCTAAATAAGATTTTTTAAATCCCCTCCTCTACATCTATCCATTATAATATAAAGTTAATTTTTTTCAATAATAATATCATGAATTTAAACTAAATTAGGATTATCAACTTTTTAAAGCAATTTAAGTAACTAAACTTCTTTTTAAACTTATGTTATTTAAGTCGTATAATCAATAACCTAAATAAATTTATTGAATACTTTAGCACACAAATCTTTATTTTTTAAATTATTTTCACTTTTACAAGAATAAACTATACCATAAGCTCCTTTGCCTAACATTTCATTTTTGTTTATGGAGTAATGAGATACTTAAATGGTAGACATTTTCGACTAATTATTTATTTTTATGATTATGTTAACTCTAATTAAAAAGACTTAAATTTTTGATTATATTTTATTTATTCGGAATTTTTAATCTTTTAGAAGAAAACATTCTTAATTAAATTCAAAGAGAAGAAATCTTATAAATCTGTTTTTAAGTATTTATATCTAGATAATAAATTGATAAAAAAAATAAACAAAGAAATTTTGCTTAATATATAATATTAAATAAATTAAAAAAAAAAAAATAATGAATTATTTTACGGTAATTTATAATCTCATAGGAAGTATATTAGTTTTAATTAAGTTTTAAAAGGTTTTAAATAGATATAATTTTATAATATGAGTAATGAGAATTCAATTTGTTGAACTTTTATAAATATTTTCATAAGAAAGTAATTTGACAACTTCTATTTATTTGATTTATGATTTATAATTTAAAAATGAAATAAAATGATATAGAATCTCCTTAATTATGTGAAAATCACTTACCTAAACCATAAAATTCAAGACGATCAGCTCTCTTTAAGACTACTCATCCCATAAATTTAACTAATTTGCATAAAAAATATAAAAAGAAAAATGAAATGATGGTAGCTTAAATCTAAAAAATAGTCAAACATATGCCATCTGATGATAGATAATTAAAGGCTGAAAGGCATATTTATGATGCTTATTATCTAAGAACAATTAGAAATGATATTGATTTGGCTGATAAGATTATTTTAAAATACTTATGGAAAATTGAAAATAGCAGAATTTGGAGTTGGATGCTCTTGTCAATCACAATATTTTATCAAATACTTACTTTTTTCGAAAAGGCTTTTCCAGATTCAAATTATTAAGAAAGTTACTCAGTTTTTATATTTGAACTTGTTTTTTTAATTATTTTTGCTATAGACTTTTCTATAACTTTTATTCTATTAGCAACCAAGAAGAATGATGGTGGTTTTTAATTTAACACAAAAAGAATGCTTAAATTAATATTTTTATTAATATGCGGAACAGATTTCATAAACTATTAATATGATTAAATATAAATAAGATTTAGTCGAATCATTAGACCAATACTTATGGTATTTTATTCTAAAGATTTGAGAAGAAACCTTAAAGGTATCATAAAGGCTAGTCAAGATTTAATTCTCTTATTTTTACTATATCTAATTATTATATCAACATTTTCCTTTATAGGGATTAATTTAATAGGATCATTGTAAAATGTGGATATAGATACTTAGGATTATGGAGATTTCTTTAAATTATTTAACATGTTATTCATGGCTGCAACACTTGATTTTTATCCTGATATCATGATACCTGTTTTATTATAGGGAACTTATTATGTATTCTTTTTTGTTGTATATATGATTCTTTTTTTATTTCTATTTTAACCTATTCCATTTGCAATTGTTTATGAAGGATTTCGAAAACATAGGATGTAAATAGCAATTTAAGATATTATCAAATAAAAATCAGCAATGATGGCTAGTTTTATTTCTCTTGATTCTAATGATGTTGGTTTTTTAACTGAAAATTAATTCAAAAACTTTCTTAAAACATTTTATAAAGGATAATTGACTGATGAATAAATTAAAATTATTTTTAAGGAAATTGACAAAGATTTTAAGTAAAATTATCTTTTTAAATAGTGATAAAATATAATTTGATGAGTTTAATTAATTATTAAATGTATTATAGAATAGTAATTATATATAATTACCAAGAATGAAACCTTTAAAATGTTGGGATGAATTTTGCAATTTATGTAATAAATATGGATTGAAAACTTTAATTAATTCATGGGTAATTATTGATTGAAATTAAGGGTTTTATTTTGTTCATGTTATTAATAATAATATTAAATTGTGCTTTAATAATAGCAGCAATTTTTATTGATGATTTAGAAATTTTAAGAATTTTAGATATTATTGATACAATTTTTTTAGGGATTTACATTTTTGAATGTTTAATTAAGATTATAGGAATTGGGATTGTTGATTTTTTTTATGATGGTTGGTAATTTATATTTATTAAATAGGAATATTTTTGATGTAATAATAATCTTTCTTTAAATTTTATTTGATTACATTTTATTTAATTTTGTGAGTGACAATATAGTTTAGTCTGTAAAAGCAAATAGAATATTAAGAATAGCAAAAATTTAAAAAGTTTTTAGAATATGTAAAGCTTTAAGATCAATAAAATTATTCGGATATATATTATAAGGATTAGAGATTTTTGTTCATGTTAAAAATTTACTATATAAAATAATGATATGTATACCTATTATTCTAAGATTAATTTTACCAGTTTAAATAGTATTTTTTACATACGCTTGTATTGGAATATACATATATGGAGACATTAATAAGGAGGAATAAAATCCATTTTCAAATAGTTTTTGTGATCCAAATGAATTTAGATATTAATGGGGAGAATGTAAATATGCTGATTTTAATACAATGGGTGGATCATATTTAATTATGTTATAAATATTTACAGCTGCATCTTGGAGTTAAATAGTATTTGAATTATCTTATGATACCAAAAATTTAATAGTTCCAATGATTTTTGTTGGTTCTTTTGTTTTCTTATCAATTTTTTTATTAGCTTTGGTCGGAGGATTAATTTGGGAAGTATTTACAGTAATTTCTAAAATACTTTTTGAATAAGAAATAGATAAATATAGTCTAGAAGTAAGAGTAGTTATAGAATTAAATTATTAAGATGAAGTAGTATTTGGAAGTAGTTTTGGAACAGATCATGATATAAATAGTGCAAAAGAACTAAATAATATATTAAAATTAAAGAAAAAAACAACTATTTTAAATGATGATAATCCAGATATATTAGAATTTAAACAAAGAAGTACAAGATTGAAAGTAAATTAAGATGAGTATCTTTATACTCCATTTGAGATATTATCTTAAATAGATACTAAAAGATATAATAAGATTATAAATGTAGGTAGAAATATTCACTTAATTTAAAAAAATTAAAAACCTTAAGGAGATTATTTATTAAATATTGAAGAATCTTTTTTAGAAATAAGAAAGATTTATTGTGATTACTTTATTGATTTTCAAGAATTTCTAGAGTTAAAGTTTAGAAAGGAATCATATAATATTTATAATGTAACAACAGATTATGTTGTACATATTCGTAATGAAATCAAAAAAGATGAAAATTATAATAAAAAACGAATTAATATTTCTAATCACGATTTTCTTATTTAAAATGCTGTTTTAAGAGATACTGATGAAGTCTATATTAAAAAGCAAGAAGAACAATTCTTAAAATAGGAATTTGGGTAAAAGTTTGAATTAATAAAAGAATTAAAATTTTAAAATAAATTTAAGGTGGAAAGTAAAATTTTATTTTCTTTAATGGGAATCTTAAAATTCCCTAAACCAAATATTAAATATTTTTTTTAGATTTTATATTTGATAGAGAATTATTTTACATTTTAATTACTTCCGGATAATTCTTATTTTAAATTAATTCACTGTATAGAAGATAAATGGTATTTAATAAGTATAGAAGATAATTAAATAGTCTTCACTAGAATAAGTAATGGTCCTTGGACATATGAAAATTTATTATTTGAAACAGATCAAATGAAAATTTGTGAAAATCTTAAATTTATGAAAGATGTAAAAAATTAAGAAATAAAATATCACATTAAAGAATTTCATAAAAGTTTGAGTATAATGGCCAAACAATTTGATATAGATGCAAACAAAATTGATGTTAAAAGTACAATTATATTATATCAAATAAAAAATGATACAAATTCTATTCCTAAAACTCTTAATTAAAATTTTTAAAATAGTGAAAGCTATGAAAAAATTAATCCTTAAGGAATTGTAGAAATGGATGTACTTTAGGATGATTAAAATAAAGTATAATTAATTAATAATAAATATGAGGATATTCATAAACATGTTAGTTAAACTATAATATTTGTTCTATCTAAGATTCACGCTTAGGAAGGAAGAATAGTTTATCAAAATTAAGTTCTATTGGCTTAATTTATTAAGGATTTGGCAGGGGTTATTAAAAATTATTCATAAAGCTTTTTCTAATAACTTGAAGATTTATATACTCTGAAAATTTAATAAAGAAGAAAAAAATCAGAATAAAATAATTACATATAAAAATGATATTTATTTTAATATAGTATTAACTATAGACTTTTTATATTTTCTTAAAAATTCTTTAATTTTAAAATAAATCTATTTTTATCTCATTATTTAATTATCTTTTGTATATCATTTAAAATATATATATAATATTTCTATAAATTATTGAGAAGTTCACAGTTTTGAACAAATGTCATAAATAAAAGTAATGTAAATTATGGATATGTATAAATTATAAATTGATTATAATTAATAAATTTTATCATGGATTAAAGAACTCCAGAGAAAAAGCAAAAATAGTTAATATAACCATAAGCACCCAAGAAAAGAAAGAATTGTTCATATAACTACAATGATTAGGAATTAGATGCAATTAAGAGACAATTGTTTTTTTCCAAAGATGGATAAGAAGAGAACAAAATCAATTTTTCCCTATGATATATATTATCAATATGATTTTAGTTGTTTATCTCTTTTTCTTAATGAGATTTAAAGTTATGTATATAATTTCAATAGCATCTCCTCTCTAATTACAAGTATAGAACTAATTTAAAATTATATACTTAATGGTTAGATAACTTAAAACAACTAAAGATGGAATATAATAAGAATCATCATTTATTGTTTTAACAAGTAAACTAATTTTATAATAGCTTTTATAAAAATTGATAATTAAAAAAAATGATTGCAATTCTTAAATAATAAAAGTAGCCAGCTTCTTATTCTTATTAATTTCTCGATAATTTAGATTAAGTATAGAAAAATAAAATAAAATTATCAATTAGAAAAGATGAGACATATTAAGAATGGATAGATTGATACTTTTAAGTTAGTAACAATAATAAATATTAAATCTGATTCTGATTAGTGTAATGCATTATTTAAAATGGATTAAATAAAAAAAGAATATATTACACTATAAATGTAATTAATATTTGTGATGTTTTATTATTTAGTTTAAGTCATGTATATATATAAATGAATTTGATTGGAGAATGAATTAATTTATGTTCATAATAAAGTATGAATTAGATGAAAGGGATGATCAATATTGTTTATTATGATTTAAAAGATATTTAATAAATAGAATTTAGATTTAGTTGTTTAAATAATAATATGTAAGTATATAGATAAATGATAATATAATTATAAAATGTTATACGAAGTTAGTCAAAGGGTTTTAGGAATATTTTTAATAACAGTTTAAAGTGACCTCATAAAAACAGGTTTAATAATAATATCGAGCATACCAAGATTCTTGCATTATTTTTCAGTTTCATAATCATCATGAGCAGTACATGCTATAATTGGTATTTTGGTAATTTAATTAGATTTCATTAATTCAATAAGTAATTATGTAGTTCTTCAGAATATTATTAATACATTACTTAAATCCATTTAAAATAGGCATATCTAAATCCATAAAAATCAACTTAATCTTTAAATGATTTTCTTAAGTCTTAGTAATACATTGTCTTCCATCATAAGCATGAATGAAATTTGAATATCCAAGTCTTTTTAACATGACTATAAGTGCATCATGATTAAATGGTTCATCATCAACAATCATTATTTATTAATCTTTATCAACTATTATATCTTAATTAGAATCTATTCCAGCATCTTTAAAACTAAATTATCTCAGAAATGAATTCACATCAAAGATGGATGAAGATCTTTTAATACACAATTAAGAATGTTTACTTTATATCTGTGATGAAGATTATTATTATACATTTGAGTATTTATTATCACTTAAATGTTTTAATTATTCTATTTTTATTTCTTAACTCTTTGGTTCACATCCTATTTGTTCTGTTTCTTCTTAAATTTCATCTATGTGATCTTATTAATTAATTAACAAATTCATTTCTGATCTATCTGAACTTAGACTACCAAATCCTATATCAGTTAAACCTTTATTTATATTTAATTCCTACAAAATAGAAAATCTAAATTCCTTATCAAATTCATTATCAATCTCTAAATAACCCTTATTCCCATTTAATATATGAATTAATTTATTAGTTACTAATAAACTAGTTCCTAATTTGTGTGCCCAACATCTTTTTATTTAATTTTAAGCATTTGCATGATATTTAAATTATAAATTAAAATCTCCTATCATTTCCTTTGTCATTCCTATTCCTGAATCTTTAATTCCAAAATTTACTTATCCTTAATACAATTCTATTCTTAAAAGTATCTATCCATTCTAATTTGAATGTCTATAAGCATTATTTAACAAATTATATAGAATTCTTTCTAATTTCAAAGAATCAGTATAAAAACAAATCATTCTACTATTATTCTACATTCATACCCTTTATAATCTTTATATTGCACATTCTCAATCTAAATATCTAACTCTATTTACTTAGCTTTACATTACTCTCTAATTAAATCCTTAGAATTTTATACTATTTAATTCAATGTTACACGAGAAGGTTGAAATGTCAATGAATCTAAATTTACAAAATCTAAGAAATCCAAAATCCCATATAATTAGCATTTCTATTAAATATATATTTGAGACAATATTAACTTTTAATATGGAAGTACATTTATATCAGTTAACATTGATGTTATTTTTGCCATTGATTGATTTAATGGAGTCTTCAATTTGTGAGAAAATATCTAACTTAAATGTTAACGAAATCTTCTCTTTGATCCTTTCAATTTAAAATATAAAAGACTATCTAATTTTTTAAAATTCAATATATAATCTTTTCTCTTATTTCTAGTTATTTAAACTCTATATATCTCTTTACAGTTTCTCTCCGTTGTTATATATAGAATATAAAATAAATTTGAATTTTCTTTATCATAAATTTATAGTAATTCTTCAGTTGAATAACAAAAATATGTTTTCTTCCATTCAGGAGATAATATATCTTTTAAACTTGGAATCGAATCTTATGCTTAGTAAATCTAATAATTAAATTCATTTTGAATGCTTTAATTCATTGATCTTGAATTTTTCTCTTTATTTTGACTGTTAACATCTGATATATTTGATATTTACCAATTTCGTTTTATTTCTTAATGATTAATATTAAATTGCCTTTGATATTCATTTGAATTTGATTTTTGTCTCTTTTTATAATTTTTGTACTGCAAATAGACATCATATATAATCATTACTACTAATTCTATAACAGTTTGTTCATATGATTTTTTATGAACACTATTAAATTGAGTAATGCAAAAAATTAACATTGAAACAAGTGCAAATTAATTAAGGATTACAATGTCTTTTTTAATGTTGTATACATATATAATAATCCAAAAATCTGTATAACCATTTCTAAATAATGATGTTGCTAATAACAATAACATTAAAACTATTTTTGTATGAAAAATATAAGTATCTAATTTTATAGTGATTAAGTGTACTTAAGATAAATATAAAGAGCATACCTAAAATTAATGAAACTTCAAGCACATTCAAAATTAACAAAGTATAATTCTCTTCAATAATTGAAAAAGGAATAGAAATTGTTTGTAGCAGAAAAATTAGCATCACATTATTTTCGATTTTCTTACACATGTTAGTAATGTAAATAATAATAATATTTAAATCAAATTTGTAATTAAGAAGGTAGACATATCATCAGAATTAATTATTTATTAGAATGTCTCTGTTAATATTTTTCCAAATACAGGTTTCACTATTTCATAAAGCATTCCACCTTAGATATATTTATCCATTGTATCTTTATCATCATGAGCTGAACAACCAATTAAAGGAATGTAATCTAATTTTTAATCAAACATCAATTCTACTAATATTTTTGTAGCCTTTATAATTAAAAATATATTGTACTTCTATTCCTTCTATAATAGGCATGTCTAAATCCATTATAATTATAGATATTTCTTCCTCTTTTTCCATAACTATATCAATTCTTTATTGTCCTTTATATATGCTTTTAAGTATTAATTATATCAAATGTTCTTCATCATTATTATTAATATGTCATGATTAAATTGTTCATCATCTACAATTAAAATTCTATTATCCTAATCTATCAAACCTTTATTAACAAAAGATTATCATATTCTCTTTTTCTTATTGTAGAAGTCTTGTTGATTTTCATTAATTAATTTATTTGATTATTAATTGGAGTATTTGCATTTGTTTCATTTTCAATGTACAAGTAATTTAATATTGGTTATTATTTTACAATATTAGATTCTAGTTTAATCATTTTATGGATTCGGGAATTTAAATATATCAGATTTTTTAAAATATTAAAATTAAGAATAAAAATATAAAGTTTTAATATAATTTTATTAAATTGCATTATCCATTTCTATGTAATTAAAAATAGAAAATAAAAAACTTATAGATGCATTTAATCGTACTTTTAATTTATGAGCAAAAATATCATAAAAATATTTCTTAAAATTTTAGAATTTTTATATCATTTATTTTCAACAAAATTATCTATTTTAATTAATGCAATTATTATTAAATCTTATTTTCGTAATTCTTTGTATAAATCTATTTATTTTATTTGGTTTTCTTATTTTAATCAGTCTAAATAACAATATCAGATCTAGAATATTATTTCAAAATAATTATAAACAAATTTAAGAATCTAAATTATCTAAATTGTATATATGTTTTATAAATGTCAAATAACAATTAAATTTTAAGTTGGGTTTGAAACTACAATAATTAAGGTATTTATTGGCTATTTCTTAATCTTAATGTGCTTTTATATGAAAATTCTAATTATCGTTAGATTGATTTTTATTCAATTAGATTATTATTTAAATTGGATGTAATTTTCAAAATTTCATTAAAATTATATTTAACAACAATTAATTTCTTAATTTCTTAGTTAATTACATTTTCTGCTAAGTCAATTTTTGAATTGGCATAAAGGAAAAAATAACAATAAAATAATTGAGTTCCTAAAAATAAGCATAATTTAATTAAAGATTTTACTAGATAGTAAAAAATATAACATTGATAATTAATTAAGTAAATTTACAATATACAAGTATAGTTTTAAGTTTATCTAATTTGAATATTTGTATAAGATAAATTAAAAAGCATAATGACTTTATTGCATAATAGTAGATTTAAATTGAATTGTGAAGAATGAAAAGAGATATTTACTTATGTAAAAGAATATTAGGTATTTAATTGATCAAGAGAGAATTGATAACAATATTAAATAATAATTAGGAATAAAAACAATTTATGATCAATAGAAATAAGAAGAGAATCATAATTAAATATCATTTAATACTTGAAGATATGACTTTAGATCCAGCTAAGTCATTTGATACTTTGAACTTAATTTCATTTACTTTCATAAATGCTTCTTATAAACTTCTTAAAAATACTGGTTTTGCTATAACACATAACATACCTGCTTAAATACATTCTTATTAAGTTTTTATATCATCATGAGCAGTACAAGCAATTATAGGTATATAGTCTATTTCATTTTATTACATTAATTCAATCAAAACTTTAGTAGCCTTATTTAATTAAATATTTACTCTGATTCCTCCCATTATTGGCATATCTAAATCCATAAAAATTATTTTGATTGAAGAATGATGTTTTTAAACTAATTCTATACTTTATTAACCATTATATCCACTTATAAAGTTTTTGAATCCAAGGTTTTTTAACATTAATTTTAATGTATCATGATTAAAAGGTTCATCATCAACCAACATTATTGTCTAATTGAAATCTTATCTAATATCAACAGAATCTCCAATTCTTTTTAGATTTATAGATTTTTCATATGCTAAAGATAAAGTTAGAGATTTTTCATTTATTTCTTTCTAATATAAATTTTTTTAATATTGTATTATGCTTTATTAAGCCTATTAAGTTCTTAAAGCTGGAATTTATGGAGAATATTATTGAGTTTATGTACTCAAACAAAAGGGTTTCTTAGCACTTGGCTCTTCATCAATTTCTAATCCATCAAGCATTCTTTCTCGACTTATTATACATATTATATATACCTAATCTAATTTTAACTTCGAGTATAATTAAGAAAAGGATAACTATTTACTGGATACTTTGTTGTTATCAAAGTGTTTCTAGTTTAATAATTCTAGTTTAAGAGTTATATATCTGTTGTCTATTGAAAACTTCCTTATTAACAATTCATACTAATAAAGAAATTGTAACTAGCCCCTTCTTCAATCGTATTTCTAACTTAAAGTGAACATTGCATATCACTTAGGAAAAATATTAATTTATTAGTGATTTATAATGTTAAACTAAATTTGAACTTTGATTTCTTTACAATTGAATTTCTAAATTGAGAAATAGATTTATTTTATTGTTAAGCATATGAATTGATTAAATCCATTTATTCTTATTTGAATCCTAAATTATTGTCATTTATCTTAAATTGTACTTAATTCTATTTATAATCTATTTGAACATCAAGATTAATCTTTCCATTTATTTGAGTATGTCTATAAGACTTATTCAATAAATTGAAGAGAATTCTTTCTAATCTCTGTTGATCTGTTTATATATATATAGGTCTATTATTAACAACAGTAATTACTTCTCCCTAATATTTAATGGTTTAGCATTTATTGTAAATTCTATTTTTATTTATTTTGCTCTACACTACAATTCGATTAAATCATAAATTAAACCTAGTGTTTTATTTAAGTTAACTTTTATAATTTAAAATTGAAGCAAGTCCTCCTAATTTATATATTCTAATATATCTTGAACTTAATAAAATTGTATTTTAGAATTTATAAAAGCTGGTTTTAAAAAGTTCATCTTTAATTATTCATCTACAATAAGATTTTCTTATATAATAGTTTATAAAAACCCAAGAGTTGTGTTCAATGGGGTTTTTAATTTATGTTTAAATATTTTGGATAAACTAAGTTTAAATTTATTTATAATATTGTTTGATTTATAAACTAAATTATCTTCTTATGGAATCATTGCAATCAAATTGTAATTTTTGCCTAAAGTTTTAAATTGTTAAACATAAATTCTCCATTTTTACCTTTATTATGTTGAAATATCTAATTCTGAAGCCAAAATTATTTTTTTCTACATTTCTTTTGATTCTTTTTAAAAAATTTCAAGGAAACTGCTAATGCTATCAAATATTAATGGTTTTGATGCAAAAACGTGAGATCCTTGATCATTGCATTTAATAGTGTAACACTTAATTTTAAATTCTTTTTTAATCTACAACTATAATTCTTAATTATCTAGACGATATGAAAACAGAGAAGCTCCAGATAAAATATTTAGATCTGTTGAGTTGAATTTGTTTTAATTGATATCAATAAGATTCTCATTGTATATACAATATCTGATTTTTCTAAATATCTACTTTAAAATTTGCTTTTATGCTATTTTTTTCTCTGTAGATAAATTAAATCTATTGTAAAGTAGGTATCCCATCAAAAATACTTATTCTAATATGGCTTACAAATGACATATTGGACATATCGGTTAAATTTAAGCAGATGTTGTGATAATTGCTAATAACAAAATGATGAATTTCATTAGAGACTTATTTGAAGCAATAGATATTAGACTAAACCAAATATAAGGAACCCCTTTTAATGCAAGCTAATATGAACAATAATAGAGAATAACTGCCAATTCAAGCAATTTAGGTTTCTTCTAATATTTGTGTTTATAAAGTACAATGACTTGAATATGTTTGAACAATCTTACATAAAATGATTCCAACAAGGGCGGAATTAAGAATTATAGTCTAGATTTATTAATTCAGAACACCAAAAGCTAAGTCAAGCACTGACAAACATAGCATTCCAGAGTTTCTATTGAACTTAGGTACATAACTCATAATAAATTATTAATAGTAATAAATTATAAACATAACATATTTAAATAAGCAATCTATTTGAAATGGATATTTATGAAAAATTAATGAAATGAAGAAAAAAAATAGAAAGTTATATAGTAAGATTACTAAAATAAATATAAATGGAAGGTAAAAGTGGTAGAAGTTATACGATATGGATTAGAATGATAAGAATAGAAAATTGAAAGAAAAGAGGGGAAGATTTGAATAGGATTTTTGAAATTAGTTAGAAAATATATAATGAATGAATAAATGCAATGTAATAATTACCATAATTATATAATTTTGATGATAAGAGTTTTAATAAAATATGGTGCAGCTTAATAAAAAATGGTGACATTCTTTTTTAAAAATAAAGATAATTCATTAACAAAAGTAACAGGGTAGATAGGATAGAATTTATTATAAATAGCTCATAAAAATGAGATAGATTTAGAAGGTGCATGTGAATAATCATTAGCATGTTCAACCTGTCATGTAATATTACCAAGTAATAGAAATGAATATAGATATAGAATAACTATATGATAAATTATCTTAGCCTATAGCTGAGGAAGAAGATTTATTAGATTTGGCATATGGATTGACAGAAACATCTAGATTAGGTTGTTAAGTATAAATAGATGAGAGATTTGAGAATGTAGTAATATAATTACCAAAAGCAACAAGGAATTTTTATGTAGATGGTCATAAACCAAAACCTCATTGATTTAATTAAATAATTATATAATTATATATATGTTAAGTATAGACTAATTGGATTAAGTGATAGGATAGAATAATTCTTCAAAATTATTGATGGTAATAAATACAATAGGTTGTTTGGGCATAATGGGAATATTAAAAGAATTATCACCAAATTATGTGACATTATCAATTTAATATGGATTTGTTCTATTGATTGATTCACAAAGATTCTAATACAATTTAGAATCATAATATGATGCATTAATGTTATCATTAATAGGAGGATTAAGTATTGATTCTAAATATGTGAGATGCGATTGGTTATTTTACAATCTTTGGAGCATTACGTAAAATAGATTTATTAGTAATAATGTTGGTTTATGATTTTAAATATTTGATTCGACATAGTATCAAATTATAAAATAAAATGAGTTCAATATTATTTTTGTTTGGATTTATTTTGAATTTAATGAGTAATGATAGAATATTAGCAATATGGGCATTAGTATTTGGATAAATATGTTAAACAGGATCTGGTATTATAGAAGATCATTTTAAATTTAATTATTCAAATCTCTAATTATTTAAAGGAGTATTTATCATAATGATGTCTTTATTTAATTTTGGATTTTATTCAGATAAAATAGAGAATTCTATATTAATATATTTAGTATCATTTCCAGTATTGATAAGTTTTACATTTTTATAATGGTTGAAATATAAAGTGTCAGTAGTAAATGAAATGGTTGATACTTTAATAATAGGATTATAATTACTTGTATTATTATTGTATAATTAATTTTAAATATTGCCAACAATTAGTTGTGTATTTTATTTGATAGGAATAATTTCAATTTGTATAAAGAAGTGATATAAATTATATATATATAATATTGTCTCATAATAAATGATTATTTTCTTATTATTATTATTCACTTAATAATCTAAAATTTCATCCTATTCATAATCAATTATGACTCAACAATTCTATCTTTTTAACACTTTATTCTTCTATTAATATTATTGAATAATTACTTCTTATCTCTCCGCTTCTTTTCCTTTTATTCCTATTGCTGTTCCTCCATTCCAACTATATTCCCATAAATCACATTCTATTTATAATAATTTACTTCTAATAAAATCTGTTATACTAGATTATCTTTAATATATTATATTTTATTATAATCATTATTATATACTCATTATTATAAATTGTCAATTTCATTATATATTATACTATCCAATTATTATCGTATATTTATCCTTCTATCTTATGCTTTATTACTATTACTAAAACTTCTCATTAATAACCTTTAAGTTTTTGGAATCTTCAATTCAAATCTTACAAAATTAAATCTTTGTACTACTTTATTCTTTTAAGATATACTCTCTTCTCCCAATTTATTCATACTAATATACCCTCTCTATATTCTTGCTTTTATTAACTCTGATTTATTTGGAAACTTTGCCTTTTCTAAATTATTTAACATTTCACTTGATTGAAATGAATTTGGAATTATCTACTTTGGTAAATTGCATGATCTATATTTATTGATTTAAATCTAATTCTATCTCAAAATATAGTTTCTATTTAACTTATTTACATAATTTTCAAAGCTCTTATCCTATATCTTACCTTACATACCTTTATTTTAATTTATTTTTTAATCGCATTTGTACTCACATAATCATTTATTTATCTAAAGATTATTTATTAATTATAATATCCTTTTTTAATTATTTTAGTATTTAATATATTTATATTTATATATTATTTTAACTAATCAACCCTATCATCCAGTTATAATATAAGTAAATAGGAGTGGAGCGTATTTCTTTCTTTCTTCCAATGTTAAAAATGGTAATAATTTATCATAATTTGGTCCATATTGTTTCTCTAATCTATCTAAATCCATTTATTCCAACTATTTATTAATTTATTATAATACAGTTTATTTTAAAATGTTTTTTGCTCTATTCATCTTTTCTACTCCAAGAGCATTTTCTAATTTTATTTTCAAAGTAGATGATTTCTCATTCAACATCTAAAAACATTCCTCTTCTTCCTTTGATATTTATTTTATAATCTATTTTGATTTCTTATCAATATTATCTGTTGGTTCATCTTCATCATCTTCTCTATCTTCTATTAACATTGTCTATATGGTATTGTAATCAAAATAATTCTCTTTCCCTCCTTAATTTGGAAATTTATCTATTGCATTATTTACATTATTAAGCTATATTTAAATTTATTTATACCAAGCCTTCCAATTCTTTAAGCATTAAATCAAAATCTTTACCATTTTTCTCTATCTTTTATAATTAATCAGCTTTTGATTTCATCTATTATTTTGATTCATTTTATTTATTATCCATTTAAGATGATCTTTATGAAGGTTATCTTTCCAATTATTACTTTTATTATTCATTTTTATTTATTTCTATATGTTAATTCTATTAACTTTGATTCTATCTCTATTTTTCTTCTTGTCTCTATCTTTCTTATTCTGTTTATTTCTCCAATTATTATTATTATCTTTATCTTTCTAATTATTATTATTTCTCTATTTACTATTATTATCTTTATTTTTCTAGTAATTATTCTTATTATATTTTTAATTCTCTTTCTTTTTCTTTTTCTCTTTCTCTCCTTTCTTTTTCCTATTACTCTTATTATCGTTATTTTAATAAACGAATTCTTTCTTCTTAACGTTAGTATTCTAATTATTATTATTTTTATTATTATGGTTAAACTATTGGAGCTTTATCAACACTTATAGGTCTTTTCTTTTCAATGTTCACTTTTTAAGCTACTACTACTTTTTAATCTTAAACTTAAGGTTTTGAACTTTAAGGTCTTTATTGAATCAATTAAGGTTATGGTTTATCTTTTGGAGCAGTTGGAGGTCTAATTATAAAATAAAAATATTAACCTTGGCTAATCTATTTTTTATTAATGTTTTGGGGATATAAACTATTATTTTTTTTATTCAGGTATCAAAGCTTATTCACTATTTGAATGTTTTTTTTAAACTTAAGCATCAAATCTACATGGTTCACTTTTTTATTATTTCTCTTAATCACTTTTAGGTCTAGATGGATTTTTTTATTATAGTGGTGATTATTTTTTGATTTCCTTTTATGGAGGTGTTTCTTTAGATGGTTCTTTTTTTTAAATAAGAGGAGAATTTTTCGTTATAGGATCTATTTTTTTAGGTATTTCACTTTATTTTGGTATATCTTGTTATTTTTCTTATTAATTAATTTTAGGTTGATCTTTGGGATCATTGTATCGAGATGAAGGTGGTTATTATTATTTAGATAATTAAGGTGGTCTGATAGGATCAAATTCTTAAAGTGAAGGTTTTTTAACAATATCTGGAAATTCTTATAAATTTTTAGCATTTTGTTCTAATAATTAAGGAGGACATGGTTATTCATTAATAATAAGATTAACTTAATTTAGATTTCCTTTGACTTCAAAAACTTTATTATGAAAAATAGTATGAGAGAATTCTGCTCTCTAAATGGTTTCAGTCAAAAAACTTTTAATTCTATTGGTAATAACAGGCATTTCTAGAAATAGATGATAAATAAATACTTAAAATTTCTTAGATTGTAGGTCTTCTTCTTTAATCAACTTATAATAAACATTAGACAAGTTATTTTAATTCTTTAGAATAATGTGCAGGAATGGGTTTATATTAACCTTTAACAATATTTAAAGCAAGAAAATGAAGTGATTCAGCATTAAAAGGTGGTTATAAAGCACATAATTCATAAAGTATAACTCCTAAAGACCAAATATCTGTCATAAATGTGTAAGGTTTTCCTTCTATAATTTCTGGACTTATATAATATGGTGTTCCAACCATAGTTTTAGCTTTTTCAACTGTTTTTTTAAGTATTCTTGCAATTCCAAAATCTCCTAATTTAACTTATCCTTCTTTAGTTAAGAAAATATTTTATCCTTTTAAATCTCTATGAATAATTTTTCTATCATGAACATGTTTAATAGCTAAACATATTTATGTAAACCAATCTAATATTTAGTTTTCAGATAAACATTTTCCTTTAGCTTCTTTAATTTTTTATGATAAATCTCCACCTAAGTTTAATTATATTAATTACCATCAGCATACTCCATAACGATACACAATCTTCCTTTTTTTGTTTTATAAACTTCTCTAAATTTGACAATATTAGGATGTGATAGAAATTCAATAATTTTAGCTTCTCTTAAGGTTTCATCTTTCTCTTATGGTGTCATAGCAGCTAAATCCATGTATTTTGTTACCCATAAAGATCTAAGAATACCTATACATAATATACTTATCTTATAGACATTCAACCAAATAAGCTTTACCAAAGGATCCTTCACCAAGTAATTTAAGACGTTTATAGAGTTCATATTCTGCTTATTTTCTCATTTAAAATAAATATTGTTAACTATCAAATTCAATAATTCAGCTTCTGCTCTTCTTATTCTAATGTATAATCTTTATTCTCCTTTCTCTAATAATTAAATAAAGAAAGGATCTCTCTAATCTGAAACTTTGAACAAATCTTCAAGAAATGGTCTTAATTCTTAATAATCACTATACAATCTCTCCTAATATGGAACATTGTCATCTAATTTAAATATACAACCCATATTTTTATTATTAAAATATTATTGCCACTTTACTATGCATTCTATTGTGTTTATGTTAATCATTCTAAGATCTTTTAATTTATCTTTTATTTTATCAACTTCATTATTATTATTATTCTCTTTTAATATACTTAAAACTTATTTTAAACAATTCTCTCTTGCATTTATTACAAACATACAATGTTATACTGGAGCTAATTTTTAATTCATTAAATTTAATTCCTCTTCTAATACTACTTTTTTATTTTAAGATGCTTCCAATAATCTATTAAAGACATCCTTTATTTCATTATATAAATAATATACTTAATGTACTTTTGGAATATTATACACTTTATATAAGCTTCCTAATTAGTCTAATTTTATTTTGAATATTTTCTATTCACATTCTTCCATTTCATCCTTCTATTTTTAAGAATTATGCATATTGATGTATTTTTACACTATTGATACTGTTGTATTTTATATCTTAGGTAATCTCTTCTTATTCAAACTCTCTTTTGTTCTCAAATGCAATATTTATTCAGATTTTATTATTCTATCATTCCATGCTCTTTCCTAAACTTTTATTTCTTAACATTTACTCTCTCTAAATTCCGCTTTTTGAGAGAAGAATGTAAAGCTTTTCTTTGTCCTATCTATACTTTTCTACTGTTAATAATACTAATATTTATCATTTATAAATTATAGTCAATACAACACCATTTAATTCTATTGATTCTCTTCTCTAAACTTCTTAATCTAATTTTATCATTTTATTTATTGTATATGTTGTGAAATCTTGTAGAGCATAACCTTTTAAAACTATACTCTTCTTATCCACTTATAATTACTCTTAAATTTCCATTTATTAATATTTATTTTCAAAATTTATTTAAACCTTTAATCTTCCATCTATCTCCATCGTTTACTAATTACATATATAATTTATATTATTACAGTCTCTTTCATTTCCATTATCTATTCCTATTATATAACAATATTTATGTCCTTCTACTGTAATTGATTCTAATCAGCTGTTGCTTTCTCTAATTATTTCGTTAAATCTTAAATTCTATCTTCTCCTTATTTTTACTATTACACCTTTGCGTTTTTAAGTTAATTTATTCTCTATTCATAAATTATTATTAAAATACAGCTTAATTTTATTATGATCTTAATTCAAACTCTTCATTCATTCTATGAAGTTCTTTTATTCTTTCCTATACTTTTATTATCTCCTTTATTTATATATCTTTTTAATCTTTCAATTGTTCACTTAATATTCTTTCATTCTTATAATCCTTCATTGTTTCTTTCCACTCCATTAATTTATTTTTATATTTCTATTAATAACTTTTTATTAATTTAAAACCAAATAAATCACTTTTTAATTATTTACAAATTCCATTAACATTTTTTCTATCATTAATTAATTCTAATCATTAAATCATATTTGTAAATAACAAAGCATCATATAATTTATTTAAAATAAACTGAATACTATATTTTATTTTAATTTGCCTTAATTCATATATTAGAATTACAATATTAATTCTTTAAAATTCAATTAATAATAATAGAATGAATGACCTTTCGATAATTGGAACTCAAATAAATTATTTAGGATGCAAAATTTATTAATTGTTTTATTAATTCACTCTTTTCAAAACATAGAAAGTAAAAAGCAGGCCCATTTTTTACCAGAATTTATTAAAGATAAATCAAAAAAATTATTAAACAATTTCAAGTTTCTTCCTTAAGCCAAAAATACAAAATTATTATATATCCAACTTAAGATTTCTAAAATTCAAACAAATCTTCTATTTAATAAAATTTTAATTATTTTAACTATTATCCATCTTTTATTTTAAGTGTATTGAAATGAAAGATTCTTAATTACATTAGCTTAAATACCTTATAATCACTTGTTTTATATTAGTTATTCAATCAAATATATATTTCTATATTATCTGATACATACTTATCAAAATTAATAATAACAAACATTTAATTCGTTGAAATTAAAGCAAAATAGTAAAAAAAGTTCATATTACAATTTTATTGAAAGAATTCGTTAAAAATGGGATTTAAGAATTTACATATAAATTAATAGGAAATAATTTATTAAAAAAGTAATTCAAAGATATTTTGATTATTATTTAATCATGAAAGTTGTTATAAATATACTCTGTATAACTTTGTTTGTTTCTGCTTAATCATGTGGTAAATGTATCTTTCTTAATTCAAGTTTCAAATGAATAATTTTATGATATATTTGCATCAGAAAATGAGACCTAAGAATGGGATTTGAATACACAATTTTTCACAGGAGAGAATTTGAAATTTAAAATCGCTCAAGAGATTAATTTTTTTCAAGTTTTAAATCCTTTACACTAAATTGGATAAACAACTAATGTATAAAGTAAGAAAGAATTTAATTATGTTAGCTTTAAAAATACTTTCTTTAAAACCTTAGAAATAAAATGAAAATGGAGTCTGGACTAATACATTTGTAGCATTAGGATTCAACGAAACTTATTTTCAAATTTTATACTCAAAAGAGTAATTAATGAGTATATTTTCTTTAGTGGTATTTTGAATTAGAATAAACTTACTAATTTTAATGAAACAATTAAAATAAGGGAAAAAACAAATGGATTTTCATGTTTTGATTTTGATTTTATATCAGAAACCAAAGTTGTTGTAGATTGCAATTTGCTTGATTCAGAAAACCCTAATAATTATATAAATGGGTTACTAATAGTTGATATATAAGATAAGAATTATTTCGGTATTGAATTAATAGACAATCCCCTTGGTTATAATTATACTGAATATAGAATAGTATAATTCCATAAGTACATATTTGAAAATTTAAAATATTAAAACTTATACTTTAGAAGTGAACCTGCTTGGGAAACTGAAAAAGCGAGATAGACATTGTTTTTAAAAGAAGATAGCATTTTAGAAGTATTTGAATTTACAAAGATATTTACTCTTTAATAAAGAACTCCAATTACAGTTTTAACAAAATCAATATTAGCTAAGTTATTAGGTATTGATGAAAGTGTTTTACATTTTTCATTAGTAGATTTTAAAATAGACACAAATGGTTAAATTAATATTTTAGATTCAAACAAGGGTTTGTATGTGTTGTCATTAAATTTACCAAATTTAGAGTGGAAATTAGATGAATGGATAATTAATCCATTTAAAACTGCATGTTTGGGATTTGATATTAATCACTCTATTTAAAAAGATGGAACTATTACAAAAAAGTTAATTTTAGTATTTAATGATAAACTTATACTGTTTGAAAATGGAGTAATATAATATGAGATTAGAATACCTCAAATAGAATAATACAATTCAAATTAAATTTAATTGAGTTAAAAGTATATTATTCTTAGGATTAAAACAATGATACATATATACAGTATAAACAATGGAAAATAAATATTTATTTCATAAGAAAATTTAGATAAGATAATTGTAAATCCTAATTATGAAGACATAGTTGGTATCAATTCTTAAATAGCAAAACGATTTTTCCTAAATAATGGTTTATTACAATTGAATAGAGCTGATACTTCTAGTTCTAGAACTAATATTATTACTTTGACAGCTGAAACAATAGAATAACCAGTAAAAAAGTGTTCAGTTACTATTAATTTATATATTCTAAAAAAGAACGAATCACAGATTTATACTTTTAACAATAGTCCATTTAAAACATTTATTACAATTCCATCTAATTCATTATATTTAGATTAAATTGCATCAGGACCTAATTTATAATATACTTCAATGAAATAAATAGACAAAGATTTAAAATAATCTTACATTTCATATTAAATTCAATCATTGATGAATTTTTCAATAGAGAACATACATATGCCAGATCCAAAACAAATTGTTTACTCTGACCTTGTTTTAAATGAAAATCAAAAAGAATTTTATTTGTTGCATTAAGTTACTTCTAAAATAGTATATATCTACAGATGTTAAAACTTAAATTAAAATATGGAGCAGTTATCGTGCGATAATTATAATACTTTTGGACTTCCTTCAATTTTAGATAAATCCGTAGGTTTCTTTTATTGGTTTATTTAAAGTTCAACATTAATTCTTATTCATTAAAGTTCTCAGTTTTCTATCTATGTTTACTCTGCTTAAGAAGGAAGTTTAAAAAATATTCTTTAAATTCTATTTAATGATTCAGTCATAGAAAATCAAATATCATCAGTAGCATTAATATCAGACAATATATATATAGTTTAATCAGGATTGAAAAGAATATCAATTTATTAATTGTAATACCCATTTAGTTTATTATAAATTGTTGATTAAACTTACATATAAAAGTTTGATATTTCTGGATTATTTACACCAATTAAAGTATTTGGAAATAAAAATAATAATCTAGTATTTATATAAACATAAACTTCTCTATTAATTGGAACTTTTTCAGAAATTTATACTCCTTGTCTCATAATCCATAAAGAAGTTTCAATTTTAACAGGATCAGAAATGGAAATAGTAGTAGGAATTAATAGCTTTTTTATTTTATAGATATTAAAAGATTAATAATAAATTGAAGAATATAATTCTTAAAATCTTTAAAATATATTTAAACTAAGAGATGTTCCATTATACAATTATAAATTATAGAAACCCTTAACTGTAGATTATTCTTTTTAGACAGGATGGTTATATGTAAGAGCAAGTGATGGATAATAAACTGTTATATTAATTTATTAACCAAATGTCTTATCTCATGTTTCTTTAAATAAAGTTATTGATACAAAAGGATTAGTAAAAGATGGATAGATTTTTAATTTTGCTGTTGATGGTATAGATTAAATGATTTTGTATTACAATAATATTACTAATCATTAATTTCTGAGTATTTATACTAAGCCTACCTTATATTTAACTCCTAAACCAGATTAAATTGAATATGTTTATAATTAAGTGATTGCAATATAAGTTTCTGGTATTACTGGTGTTAAACCTATAACATCATAATCTTAAATCACAATACTTAATACATAAAGTTAATTGTTTATTTAATAAGCTCTATTTGATAGTAAAAAAAAGATATTTCAATTTATCAAATAATCTTAAATATAATTTATTAGTATGGGAACTGACTGGTATTCAGGTTAGGTTATTGAATTTAATATCAAATGTTAAAAATGTATAAGCGAAACTTAAATAATCTCAAACATTTTCAAAATTAAGGATAGTGACTACTTTGGTTCACCGATTTTAGATGGTCAATCTTTTGGATAAGCAGGTTAAGTATATTAAACAAAAAATGCTTTAATATTTCAAGATTTAAATAATAGATTTAAAAATAAAATATTAATCAATTTGGATTAAGAAGAATGTTATTAAATATCCATATCTGCTGATTAAAATTTCATCTTGTCTGCTTGGTAAAATATTATTAATAATTAATTTGGTTTATATATTCATAAATGCAAATTCTAAGATCTTTGTTCTCCATTTAGATAAGGTATTTATACATTAAAAAGTTTCTAAAAGATTGCTAAAATCTATATGCCTGATTCAAAGAATATCATTATTTTAAATACTAATCATCAAGACTTTTCTGCTTTTATTAATTTTATAGTAGTGGCTTCTTTTGATGATGATGGTACTCAATTTTCAATTACTCATTAATATGTTATAAATAATCAATATGTTGGAACCAATTAATTATTTATTGCTGACTTTGACTTTATTAAATATTAAATTAATGGTGCTTCATTTGCTACTATTTTATTTACAGATATCAATAATGGAATTTATTTTGCTCATTTTAAATATAATGATTAAGGCTTGTTAACTAAAACAACTAATGAATTATTTAAATTAATTAATTTCTAAGATGATTAATTTTTTATTGATTCAGAAACTAAATTTTATCAAGTTAAAGTTATTTTATTCTAAATAAATAAAAAACTTTTGTCACTCAATGTTTTAGTCACTACCAATAATCAAGCTCAATATATTATTGCTTTCGATTTAAATTCATAAAATCCTTAATTTGGCCTTCCTATTATTAAATCAAGTACATCACTTATTAATATCTTAACTCCATATGGAAATTGGCCATCTATTAATAAGCTAGCCTTTTTTAAGGATTTTGTTGCTATACCTTATACAAATTAAAAAAAAGTTGTTATTGGAATTTATTCTATTCCCAATTTTAGAGAATCCACTGCCAAAATTATATCCTTCACTCATTCCCTATCCTCTTATTATAATAATATTTCTCCAGAAGAATTTGTAATGATATTCAATAAAGATAATGAAACTAATTATGTAAAAAATTATTCATATTTAGCCTTCTATTTTCATTAATATTTACTATGATAATAGATATGATTAATTTCCTATTGAATAGTTTTAAATCAGAAGCGATCCATAAATTCTATTAAGAAATTCCACTTCATATGAAAATGAGCTTTAAATTTAAATTTGTTTAAAAAATGATTTTAACCAAATTTGTGGTAATGCAACTTTAACATCCATCAACAAAACTAAAATAAGCAATCCAATTTTAGATGAAAAATTCTTGGAATGAGATTTAATTTAAAATTAAAAAAACATTATTCTACAAAAATAAGGTTAGCTATTTATTTCTATTTGCGATTTAATTCTTAATAAACTCAGTATTAATATAATTTGTTGTACA